CCGGCGCGGACAAGGGAGCTGCGGGCTGCTGGTCGGAGGCGCCTGCTACTCGGCCACTCTGCACCGCCATGTCATGGTCGTCGCGGAGGGAGTCGTTGGCGGAGGCGTGGGAGGGCGGCGGGGGGTCAGCGAAAATGTCGGTTCCTGCGCTGGTCGTGCCGCTCGCGAGTCGCTGCAGATTGGCCCCGAGCCCAACGGCTCCCAAGCTCGACGCGGCCTGGAAGATGCCCTCGCCGGCCGTGTGCTTCGCCTGCGAGTTGCTGTGCGAGTGGAAGGGCAAGGGCATGGTCGGCAGCGCGACACAGCATGTGCATGTCTCTCGACAGTCACGCTGCGTCGGAATGCTTAAAGATAGCTGTTGCTGCGAATTGATGCCACCAGCGGCTGATCGTCCGTGGCTGAGTGGGCCGACGGTGCACATGCCATGCCATGCATTGATTCACTGCCAAGCTTTGCACTTTGAAGCACTTCGTCTCCTTCACACCTTCATCCAATGCAGCATGAACACCACCGCGTGCCCTTGACGGCGTTGGCCTGCTGGGGTCGAAAGGTCGTTCTCGCTGGATCGGGCAGCTGCCTGCTGGCCTACGACACAGCCGACCAGACTTTACTCAAGTCCATCTCGATTTTCGAAGGCCAGGCCATACATGGCATTGTCACCCCTGACAATGGCAATGATGATCTTGTCATCGTATGGGGCGGACAGTTGCTCCGAGCATTGAGACTTCATTCGGACCAGGATGGCTCCCAGCTCCACTATGAGGCAGGACCAATTGCCCGCGTCGACGACTGGATTCTGGACGCTATGATATCCCCACTGGATGCCAACAGGGTTGCCATCGTCACGGCACACAATGCGCTGAGCATAGCAAGTACGCATCCACAGTCACTGTCTCTCGACATACGTGAAGCAGTACCTGGATCCAATTGCATCCTGTACTGTGCACAGGTCACATGGCTAAGTCCTTCTTCTTGTCTCATTACTTCGGGCACTGCTTTCGGCGATATCATAGTGTGGTCGTGTCAACTTGCAGAGCATGAGGCTCAGCTCGAAGCAGCACATCAAGTCCATTACTCATTCCCAGCACATGACGGTTCTGTGTTCGGCGTGCAGATACTCCCGAGCGGGTCAACGAACGTCAAAGGTGAGCCGCAGAGAATACTGGCAAGCTGCAGTGACGACCGAACTATTCGACTGTGGGATGTCTCAGACCTGTCAATACGAATCGAGACAAACGATACGGACCTGCGCGAGACTGGATTTGGCTCTGTCCAGAGTACCAGCGCAATCAAGCCGGCATGCTTGGCGAGTGCAATGGGACATATTTCCAGAATATGGCATGTGCGCTTCGTTGGAGCCGGTAGCACTGTTCGTCTGCTGTCCTTTGGAGAAGATGCTACATGTATCACGTGGAGCCTGACCAGGAGTGAAGGCTCGATCGCTTTGCGGCAAATCAAGGTAGAGAAAGCTCACAATGGCAAGAACATATGGGCAGTAGCCATTCGAAGATGCTCTAAATCAAATGACGATATTACTCAGACGGAGGACGTACTTACTGGTGGTGCAGATGGGTCGATTTCTATTCGTAATGTCGAATTCAATGCCCATGGAAATATTCTCGATTCGAAGGAACATCAGTCTACAAAAACAGCAGTCCGCTATCGATCATACGGTTTCGTGGCACCGCGCAATGTTATTGCAATAACGGACAACGGTGAAGTGGTTTCACTGAAGCTGGACACAACAAGAAGGACAATGCACAGTGATCAAGTCGGTTCACCGGCCAGTCAGCTTCGTGGCTATTCAATAATGGCTGCCATTCACGGAGTTGCTTTCTTTGCTGGAAGAGGCGAAGTTTATTACCACTTGGCTGGAACTTCTCGTTATCAAACCCTCGTTGACGTTGGTGAGAAGGTTGCAGGACTATTTGCGCATCATGGTAATGTCACTCATCTCAGTAGGGAAACGACCGCGGGATGCACACTTTTAGTCACGACAGTGAGGTCCAGGTCTGCTTATTGGTATAATTGTCAAACAAAGGACAATTGTACACTCGAGATCATGTCCTCGTGGGCACTGGCACTGCCGGAAGGATTTGTGGTCACAAGTTTTGCAGAATTTACCCAGGACGACGATGAGTTCGTCACACTCGGCTCAAGAAGTGGTTGCATAGCTGTTTACGATCTGCGCCCTCGAGACGAAGAATCTGGCCCAATATCCAACGTAGGCCACTTCCCTACCGTGCATGGTGTCGAAGCTGTCACTTCCTTACGATACTTCATGGGCATGCTACTCTCGACTGGGCGTGATGGAACCTTCGCCGCACACAAACTGGACATCTCAGGTCCACAAAGTCACTCGAGCGCTGATCAGAGTATGAGTCTAATCACTGTGCATCAGCTGGCCCTCCCTCTTGGACCAAACGTTGAAGATTTCTCCGTTGTGCATTCGAACAGTATCTGGGTCTGGGGATTCAGAGGCAAACATTTTGTTGTCTTCGACGTTACGACACAGCAAGAGATCATGGTCGTCGAATGTGGTGGAGCGCATCGCAACTTTGCCTTTGATCCCGACACTTATGGCGGCACCTTCATCTGGACCAAAACCTCAGAGATCTACTTCCAAAGCCAGAATCGCCTCGCATCTAGCTCGCTTCATGCCGGTGGGCATGGACGGGAAATCAAAGCCAGCGCAGTGTCACCTGTCGATCCCGAGCTGGTAGCGACGGGCGCAGAGGACACTGACATCAAGCTGCAACTGCACGTGAACGGTACCTGGCGCTGTCTTCACACTCTGCAAAAACACATTACAGGTATCCAGCATCTCCAATGGTCTTCAGAGGGCGACTATCTCTTCTCTAGCGGGGGCGTCGAAGAGTTTTATGTGTGGAAAGTTACTCACAACCTTCCGCTGGTAAGAATTGGCGTGGTCTGCGAGTCTGCGCACCCTCAGTGCAACCTTTCGGATCTACGAATCATGAACTTCGAAGCAAAAGCCCGTGACTCTGGTTACGAGATCACAATGGTATACTCCAACTCCAATCTGCAAAAATGGCATTACTGGAACAAGTCATGGACGCTGTTAGGCTCTGGCGATTACCTCACCTCATGTTTGACGCAGTGCCTCCGGATGAATGCAGTTTCCTTGAATCTAGAGAATGCATCAACGATACATCAGGCTCGATCCTGCCTCTTCACAGCCAGTACAGATGGACACCTAGTTCAATGGAACAGAGACCATTCCGGCCAGCGTGATTTGACCTGGCAAACACGGCACAAGGTCCATCAGAGCGCAGTATTGAGTCTGATCCCTGTCGACCTCTCATCCGGTGCTGGCGACAACCTCCTGTTGATTTCAGGCGGAGACGACAATGCCTTGGGTCTGACAAGAATCACGTTCAACTCTCAATCGAGCAAGCCGACAATGGCAACTCTTCTCGTGCCTCGTGCTCACGCGGCAGCTATCACTGCACTGGCAGTCGTACGCAATGTCGGTGACAAAATATGGCTGTTGAGCGCCAGCATCGATCAACGTATCAAGTTATGGAAGGTTGTCATCAAAGACGGCTCTGGAGTTGATGGCATTGAGATTACACTCGCGAAGAATGTGCATTCTGCGGTTGCGGATGCATCTTCGATGGAGCTCGTTGGGCAGAACAGAGTCTTGATCTGTGGTGTGGGTATGGATATGTGGAAAATTGATCTTGACAGCCTTTGAACAGCATGTATGCTCATTGATTTGACCAATTCCTTTCCACTCCCTTGAGTCCGACTACGCATCGCATCTTCGGACACAAGAGTATTTGGTCAAACCCAAAGAGCCAGAAATAGCAACTCATGAGGCTTACAGGATGTGCTGTGCTTCGATACTAGTACTTCCATAACCTTTGATCCAGCGTTTGATCTAAAGTTTCCACGTCGCATATAGAGCGTGAAATGGCGTTTTAGATCACATACCGTTCAATAGCTGTATCGACTGATACGGCATAGTGTGAAGAAAGTTCGGCGAGAACGTATATACTTCTAATGGCGTGAAGATCACGATGATCACAAACACGCCACAAAGATAAACCTTCCACTATCCACCTCGATATATCTAATTTCTCAGCGTGAGGACCATACACAATAGACTATCGAAGTAACTCGCACCGCCGGTGTGATAGTGTCACGGGATGGGTGGGAGACTAGCATCTCGACGAGCTGGAGTAGCCTTCGTTAGGGCATCTTGGGAAAGAGATCACTTGGTTCGAGACTCAGAGTCTAGATGTCAAGAATAGTTGTCTGGAAAATCAATTGGATGCATTCCTGATGGTAGTAGTGCGGAAAATTGTCCTCACATCCTTCGCTGGATATCAATCGGCGTAGAAACCGAACGAATGCATGGCAAGAAATCGCAGACGGCGTCGGAAATCCGAGCTCCCCGAACATTGCGCATGCGACGTGTTCATCTGTTCCATAATTCATTTGACTCTCGTCATGTCTTCACAGATTTTGTGGAGGCGACCCATTTCCTCTGATCCGCGTCTCGCCAAACATGGAGGTGGCTCGCGTGGCTGGTTGTCCATGCTCGCCTGTCTTGTGAAGAAAGAGCTTGTCGCTCTGCCTAGGAGGTAAGCTTTTTAAATACACGAAAAAACTGGTGCTTTGAAAGGCTGTAGCTGTTCATCAGCAAGCCTCGAGCAACCGAGAAGGAAAGTCGAATAAACGCTAACATAGTCGTGGCAACATGATGGGGTATACAAAAATTTAACAAGAGATATTCTTCTTTTTTTCTTTCTTTCACTGTCGATTCATCATTACTGTAATATTGCGACATTCGTGCCTTCTGTTGTATTCAGCGTGGAAACATCGAGGTCTCCCGCGTCTCCCACCCAGCAATTCACTGGCCGGTGGGCTGAGGGTTCGTAAACCGCCACTGTGCAATTGTCTGCACTGTTCAGGTTGTTATAGCCCGCGCAAATTTCTACACAGTCGCTGAAACTGTATACGAATGCTTGGGCGATTTGCTTGCCGTTGTTTATTGACAATGGATTTTGGAGGTCGCAGTTCTTGATGAAGACTAGGCCTGCGTCGTCTGAGGTGGATTCGTTTTGAGCATACTCGGAGGTGTACATCGTGCCATTGGACTCTGGACAGTCGTTAAGTGGTTCAAAGGTGGGTGTTGGAGCTGCGAAGGTTGATGTTGCGGCGACTGTCGTCCCGGATTCCGTGGTTGCAGTTGCTGCAGCAGATAGCGCTGTGTTCGTCACGTTTGCGCTGGAGCTGGTCAGTACAAGGCATTGTGTCCAAGCAAGGGATGTCCCCACTCACTTTAGTTGTGTCTCGTGCTGTTCCCGTAGCTGTTTCCCACCAACAGCACCTCCTACGGCTGCCCCAACGACCACAAGAATCATGACAGTCGCCACGACCAAGAATGTCCTGATCTTCATCCCAAATATGATGCGGGGCGGCCGATTGCTGCCGTCACCATAATATCGCCCATTGCCATTGAATTTGCCCTCGTAGAGAGGCGATTCCCGTATCACAGGGTATTTGTCCGACGAAGGGTATATCGTGTCATCGTACTCCAAGCCATGTGCTGGTGCGACCTCCGGTGCGTTGTGGTATTGGTACAAAGCCGATAGGCGAGTGGGCTCACGCTGGACAGTGCTCGCGTTAGCGGCGCAAGTGGGCTCTGGGGTGGACATATCGCAACGTACAAGTGAGGAGTCCATCTCGGCGCCCATACATCAAGACGAGCAATGGTGAGTGTCAAGCAAAGGAGTGGCGAGGTCGAATATGATCGTGGGCTGGCGCGCGAGGCTCGGACGGGCGATGTGCTGAAGGAGAGACTGGCTGGTGAGTGCACGGCGGGCGGGAAGATGTGCAAACGCCTCGTCAAGAGGCAGGACGTGTATAATGCAAACAAGAGTCGTGACGAGGAGCGTGGGAGTAAAGAGAAGTCTCCCGGGCCGTCCGTCTGCAGCGTGAGAGGGTGCGCTGGGATGCCGCCAGCAGCGTCGTGCCCCGTCGCCCTCCAGGAGCCGAAGAAGAGGCTTGCGGCTTGGGCGACACAGAGGGTGCAGTAGTCACCGAGTGACGATGAGTCGTCCTGCAGCAGCCAGCGAGCACGGGCAAACGTTCGAGGCGCGGACAAGGTTGCCAGTGCGAAAGTCTGGGTAGCACCACATGCACGCCCGCACTCAAACGACACATCCACATCCACCGTCCATACTCTTCCGGCGCAGTGCAGTTGGCCCACGACGCTGGTCCATGTCCGCGCCTGCTGCTGCTGCTCGACAATGGCATGGTATCACTCCGGGCAGATCTGCGGGCGCTACAATGGGAAGCACTAGCTGGTCTCTCTGCCGCATCATTTGCTCCTCCAATTTTTGTTAAGATTTATTGAACCTCGACGCGGAAACGTGCCCAGACGCACATCACCCCGCCGCCTGGTGCGCGCGGTTGGTATCGAGATGCGCCCCCAGCAAACAGGCGACCTCAGGACCTGCAGATCCGTGGTTCCTCGCAGCGGGTCGGTGCCCGCGTGGTGTCGAGACGTGAATCTGCGTCCAATCACGACCAGCCAGCTGCATGTCTCTCGCGACCTGCGACAAGGACAAGCTCGCTTGCGCCGGCGCCATCTGCACATCTACCCGGAACGCTATCACGCACATCCGCGAGATTCGTGGCGGCCAAGGACTTCATCTCTTGCGAATACCCCTTCCGATCAGAAGTTGCGACATCGAGAGCGACCTCCGGCGGGATGCAATCTGAGCCAATATCGAATCGGTCACTGGCCTTCTTCCGACGTCCATTGTTCATCACTGTGAAATACTGGGCGCTGCTCTGCTGCAGGTACACGATGCGGTGGAATCGGCTAGCCTGCAGGATGCATTAGCCGCCCGAAGCGAGCACACTGGAGCTTGTTGTTGAGCATCCTCTTCTGCTCACGTTTCTCAATCGCTCAAAATGTATCCGGGCTGGGCATTGAATCGCGAGAACACCCAAAGTTTCAGACCTGTGATCAAATATCCGCAGCTTGAATTTGGAGCCGATATAGTGCCTTCGGACGGCCAACAGAGCCTGGCAATCACACAAACTGGGAAGCTTGAATGCTATCGCATTCGGCGCTGGTGTGGCCATGATGGAACGTCTTGATCAAGTACCTACTCCCGCGGTGCAGGGTGATCGGTGCTTCTGCAATGTGCGCAACTCCCATGCTCAGCTTCGTCGCCATCAACTGTCCCACGATCATTCCTTCCATTCTTCAAGAGGCAGGCATGCGCAACATCCGAAGCCTTTCAGCCACAATCTATCGTCGACCCAAGCATTCGTCACGCCTGCACGCCGTCAATCCCCAGGCCTCGTCGATTCTTGTCGTCCGGTACAGCCAGCCAGCCTCCACACGGGCCATTATTCGCGTGGTGCTACCGCACTTGCCAGCGAAGGGCTCCGCTTTCCTCCATCATCGCACATATCGTTGCCAGGCCTGTGCCACACGAGCGCCAGACAGGTTGCGCAATTCTGCAATCGTCGCTTCTGGAGCACTGTATCCTCGCCTCGTACCAAAGATGGGTCATCCACGTTGTCTCAGCTGCTAGGATAGGCTGGTCAATGCTGTTTATACGAGGTTCCTTCCGTTTCGTCTTTGCTACGTGTAACACTCTGGAAGACTTCGTCCGCATGTTAAAGGAGAACTGTGCTACGCAGCGAAAATACATCCGCCCGATGGGCCAATGTGGTGAGACACGAGGAGCAGAAATAGCTGCACGCACAACTCTGCATGTGCTCGTACTTGTGATCTAGCATTGTACTGCTCGCACGTGGCCTGTTGAAGCGACAGTAGCAAGTCCATGCAGTCTTTCGGTGTCCTTTCAGCTGTATGGACAATTGACAGCCACGATGGGCTTCTGCTGCTGTTACACGTGTGTGCACAACTTGCACAATACGCACTCCACGAGCAGTTCATCGGCATGACAGCAATGTCAACCATGTGCATCCGTTTCTCCCGTTGCAGCTTTGACTCCCGTCTGGCGTTACAGATTCCGTTCGGACGTTGCAGAGTCGCGCCCTCCAACGTTCGCCCTGTCAGTGGCATCGGAGCCATTGCTGCCGCCACCGACGGCATGATCACAGAGCATTTACCTTTAAGAATAAGACCTGGAGAAAGAGAAGTTTTGATAGTCCGCAACAATGCCGGCGGTCTCTTCACGACAAACTTTGGACTGATGCTACCTCAAATGCTGACTCCCATTCGCATTGTTGATGTCCTCCCTCACCAGTATTGATCGACATATCGCGGCTTAAGAGCCTACACACCACGACTCGACAGCTTTATGCACTGCGGGCCACAATATGCTTGTAGCAGAGATATTCGCTTCAACGGGCGTGCGCTTGAGTGTTCATGCGATGCGAGCGATGCGAACGAGTGTCATTTCCACGCCGTAGGGAAGTCGAGCGCAAGAGTGCAGGAGGTGCGAGAGTGTGCCCCCATATCTTGGTGTTCGCGGTTCGGCCCCGACTCGGCTTGGCTGTCCCTCCACCACAGCTCTCGGTGTCTGCTCGTCCGCGACATCACTATAATTTTGCCGTCCGTCGGCAATTGACCACACGCCTCATGGAGAGCTCAAGCAAGGTAAGGATGGAATGAGTCCATGTGTTCCTGCCTCTCCTACTTCTTCTCCCGCATCTGAGAGCTTTCGTACTCTCAACCCTCTCACGACACTTCCAATTCCAATCCCGCAGACAGAGCGGGAAGCACTAACAATATGGCACCCCTCAATGTGTGCATGGTCGGCACTGGCGAGTACACCACTGGCTTCGTGGGAGGTGGACAGTCTGGTAGCGACAAGAAGGTCGGCGTTGTTGGTCTCACACTCTTCGATCTTCGCAGGCGCGGTATTGTAGGCAAGCTGTCTATGGTTGGTACATCTGGTAAGCATTGAAGCCATTTGAGCGACTTGATCAACAGGCCGAATGCTAATGATCTTTCGATGTTCTCTAGGCCAGAAATTCCCTGCAATTCGAGAGCATCTACACAAGAACATCACCCAAGCCTACAATGGCCTTGATACCGCCTTCGACTCCTTCCCTGCCAACGACCAACGCGACCCAGAGGCCTACAAAAGCGCCATCGATGCCCTATCACCTGGCGATGCGATCACCATCTTCACACCAGACCCCACACACTACCCGATCGCCTTGTATGCCATCCGCAAAGGCATCCACGTCATGATCACCAAACCCGCAGTCAAACAACTAAAAGAGCACCAACACCTCATCGAAGAAAGCCGAAAACACAACGTATTCGTCTACGTAGAACACCACAAACGTTTCGACCCCGCATACGCCGACGCTCGAAACAAAGCCATCAACGGCAACTTGGGCGAATTCAACTACTTCTACTCATACATGTCGCAACCCAAAAGCCAACTCGAAACATTCAAAGCCTGGGCCGGCAAAGATTCCGATATCAGCTACTACCTCAACTCCCATCATATCGACATCTGCGAATCTATGGTCCCATCATATCGTCCTGTCCGCGTCACGGGTTCGGCTTCGACGGGTATTGCGACGGATTTGGGTTGTGTGCCTGAGACGGAGGATACGATTACTTTGCTTGTGGATTGGGAGAAGAAGGATGGGAGTAAGAGACGTGCTACGGGGGTTTATACTGCGAGTTGGACGGCACCGCAGAAGGCTGGTGTGCATTCGAATCAGTATTTCCATTATATGGCCTCCAAGGGTGAAGTTCGCGTGAATCAGGCGAAGAGAGGGTATGATGTTACGGAGGATGAGGGAGGTTTGACGTGGTACAACCCGTTCTACATGAAGTATGCTCCAGATGGTAAGCAGTCTTTTTCCTTGCTATACGTCAGCAGCGGAAAAGGACAGACATGCTGACTCCTTAACAGAAGAAGGAAACTTCGCGGGTCAATCCGGATACGGCTACATCTCATTCGAGAAATTCATCAATGGCATCAATGCATTGAAAGAAGGCCGTGCCACGCTCGACGATCTGGACAAGAGAGGTCTGCCCACATTGAAGAATACCATCGCGACAGGCGCAATTCTGGAAGCTGGACGCGTCAGCATTGATGAGAAGAGGCCCGTGGACATTGTGGAGAAGGATGGGGTTTGGGCTTTGCAGTAGACGTGATAAAGATCTGATCATTCTAGACTTGGGCAGGATCGCTCAACGATTCAGATGAATGGGAGGAGTACGTCTGCATACATAAAAGCTGGGAGAATGCCTCACGAAACAGCATCTCGGCATGTAGCAGCAAAATGCAGTGAATACCGACTTGGTCACGCAAAATATCAGTCGGCCTTGATGATGACCATGCCAATGTATGACACATTATGCTTGACTCAAGCTGTGGCCAGAGAGGAATGTGGAGGAAAAGTGATCTAGCTTTTCACAGTAAACTTTTATTTGCCCTTCGTGACGATACTGTCCATGTCTGTAATGCATTTCTTACAACAAACTCCTGACGATCATGCCTTTTCATTCCCACTCAGAGCAAATTTATCAAACATGCCTTTCTTCTCTTCAAACTCTCGCAAAATCGTCTCCTCCATGGCCTTGGACCGCACATTGAACTGAGCATCGAAGTCGTTACAGCAGACAAGGAAGCCTTCCGAGTAACCAGTTACGGGATCTGTGTCCACCGTTCACTTTCCATCCTTACCAGGCAAAATTTCGAAAGCCCAAAGCAATTTCGCCATGGCAATAAAGAGGCTGCGGTCTGCCAAATGGACACCCGCACAGAATCGACGACCCGTGCCATATCCATAGTGGTCGCGCTTCTCTGGAGTTCCTACTGCGAGTTCGGCGGCGGGCGTAGTGCAGCCTTTGAAGTGGTCGGAATCGAAAGCCTCAGGGTTGGTAAAGTATTGTGGATCATTGTGCAGGCCCCAAGCGTTGACAATAACAACGGTACCTTTTGGTAGGAATTTACCATCGACCCAGTCGTCTTCAGATAGAGCGTGAGGGAAGTTTAGCGGGGTCACAGGACGCCATCGGATGGTCTCCTTGACGCATTGTGCAATGTAGGGAAGTGACTTAAAATCTCCCCAATTCGGGCTGCGATCAGAGCCGACGACGGCATCGATCTCAGCTCGCGCTTTCTTTTGGATCTCCGGATAAGCACACATGGCGTTAACAAAAGCTGTGAGAATCGAAGCTGTGGTATCGGAGCCTCCCTCGGTCATCGTGCCACCGATGAACCACAACTCATGGTCTTTGTAAGACAGTCCATTCAAGCGCTTCTCACTGGCGGCTGAGTCGAGCACCGAATCCATGAGCGAGTCGCGGCTGCCTCCTTCTGCACGACGAGTGCGAATATCGGAGAGAAAGTCAGAGTAGAGCGAATTCATCTCATTGCGCACGTGAGTCGCCCGGTCGACCCAGTTGAGGAAGAAGGATTGAGGCAGATAGTGCAAAAATGGGAAGATGTCAACGGGTGGGGTGGCGCCAGTCTCCATGACCTTTGACCAGACATCCATCAAGCTGTAGAGACGTTGCATGTGCTTCGTCTGCGGAGTTGGAGTTCGCACGCCCCATACCAGGCTCATAGTCACGCTGTTGCTGAAGCGCTTAGGATGCAACATATGATCGGCCGGGTTGAGCAGGTAGTCGCGGATCATTTGTCGGCATTCAGCTTCCTGCAACTTGATGTGCCGCTCCTCCACCAGCTTCTCGTTGAATTGACCATGCAGTAACCTTCGGCTGTCTCTCCATTGTGGACCATATTTCATCAACAAAACGTGATCGCCGCCACTGATCAGATTGGCGACGTAGGAGTCTGGTCTGGTGGAGTACTTGGAGCTCTTCTTGTCAACCAGCTCCTTGACCAGTCGGCGGTCCGTGATGACCACGGCTGTACCAGTGCCCAACTTGAGGCTGTAAATGCCGCCATATTGGCGAGCCCATTCTGTGAACTTGAAGTGAGAGTACTTGAGAGGGATCTGCGAGATGTTTCCCAAGATTGGCAAGGTTGGTGGTCCCGGAGGCAGGTGCTTCTCCCGCCTGCCCACGAAAAGCACGGCGTACAGTACGCCTGCTGCGAACAAGGCCAGCAGTGCGAGGACAGTGGGAGACATGATGAGAGGGGAAAGGGTAATGTGAAGGCGTCTCACCTCGCTCGTGAAACTCACCGTGCCTTTATGGCAGTGTCACACAGCTTATCTCACTGGCAGCGCTCGAGCTGCCGGACGGCATCCCCTCGCACAGAAGGGCGTTGGAGGTGTGAGCTGAGCACGCCGGTATACATGTCGGAGTTCGCGGGGCAGTAGAAGTAGCTCTCGAAGCGGCAACGGCGCTGCAGCTCAGGGTCCGGCGCGCGCAAGAGGCGTTACACGGCATTGTTTATTGCTGGGCGCGATCCTGACGCGTGCCCACTGCATTTTGCTGCTGCTCGTCGGCGGGGCGGACATGGCTCACGGCGGGGCGGAAGCGCATCACGGCAGCGGCGGTGGGCGGAGCGGCAGGCCAGGCATCGATGGCTGGTGCTGTGGACGCCCGACCACACGGACGGCGCGAATGTTGTCGAGCGTGCACGGCGAGGGGGGAATTATTTTATTTGCACGCCCGTCACGAGGGGAGATGGGAGATCAACTCATTTGCGGTAGTGCCCGTCTCCTTTTCCTGCTCCGCCGCTGCCATCACTGACTCTCCACACTTTCCTCTGCATCCTTGCCGTCCAGACGACACGTCAGTCGTCTTGCCAGTCGTCGGCCACGCGAGGTGGCGGAGCGGAGCGGGCGTGAGCAGCAGCGATGTGAGTGCAGGCCCCCTTCCCCAATCCCAATGCTCGGTGACGCCGCCGCAGCGGATGCCCCTGCCCGCCGGTTTCACGCTTCGGATCCAGCTCGCGCTCATCCTTGGCTCCGATCATCGTCAATGCTGCCCATCGTTCGTTCTTGCCACGATACACCTCACCTCTGCCCGAGAATGACTCCCGCATGACATGATATGACCCGCTGACCACCCGCCTCTCCGCGCGACAGAAATGTCCGAAGAACCATCATCCGAACGATCATCATCTCGAATCCGCGATCTCAGGTCCCTCTTCGAAAACAGAGCTTCCGAGCCCTCCTCCTCGCCCGGCCGTGGTAGATCTCCTGCTGACCTCGCCGGCGACGACGAACCTCGACCGCGTTCCAAGATCCGAGCATCCTTCATCGCTGTCGACGCGCCCAACGGCCAACCGTCCTACACCATGGCCACTGCTCCCGATTTCAGCAAAATCCCTAACAGCGATGCCAAGGCTGCCATCGACGCCAGCCCGGCCTTGAACCGCGAGCCCACCACCGGCCGCCGGACCAGCTTCAGCGAGAAGCCCAACAGCGATGCCCTGCAAGCTTTGAAAGCCACTGTGGCACAGGAGGGGGAGCGCAGGAAGTCGCAGGCCGGGACCGAGACCGTGCCTGAGACGGCAGTCGAGACACCTTTGGTGGAAACTGGCAAGCAGCTGGGAGCGTCGAAACCAGCGAGGAGCGTGAGCCCCAAGAAGGGACCTTCGCCATTGCAGCAAGTCCAGAGCAGCTCTCCGGCCTCAAAACGGGACAAGGAGGCTGAGAACCCAGACAAGCCCGTGACTGGTGCTGAGGAGGAGCCTGCCGATATGAAGCCTGCCGACCCGACTAGCGCGGGTGCTGTCAGTGGAGGGAAAGCATTATCCCCTTCTGCCGAGGACCTGCGCAAGACCAATGCGAAGACAGCGACCAAGTCAAACAACGCGAAGCCAGCGTCGAAGCCGACAGCGACAGCGACTTCAACGGCGAGCAAGCCACCTAGACCGTCAATGAGCGCCAAGTCTCCACAGCCAACGACAGCGTCGACGAGAACTGTCACATCGCCCAAACCGGTCACTAAGAAGGCCAGTCGCACTTCGCTCGCGGCGCCGACCGCTGCATCGAGTGCCAAAACAGCTCCAGCTGACAAGACCGCGAAGCCAGCGTCAGCTGCTGTAAAAGCAAAGCCACGAGAGCCGACCAAACCAGTTGAGGTTTCTTCCCGTCTGACTGCGCCCACCGCGGCATCTCGAGCACGAGTCGAGGGACCCGCTGCTGCTGCTACTGCATCCAAGCCAGCCACCACCACGACTCGTTCAAAGCCATCGAGCTCAGCCCGTCCTTCCCTTGGTCGACCAGAATCTCGAAACTCGCAGACTGGCACGAAAAAGTCGAGCGCTCCCGTAGATGGCAGCTTTCTCGAGCGCATGACAAGACCAACTGCGGCTTTCGCCAACCGGACAGCAAAGGAGGTAGAGGCAAAGGCTTCTGCAGTCAAACAAAAGCTCCCCTCACGACCGAAGACCAACGGACAGGCGAAGAAGCCTCGATCATCCACCGGCACCTCTGCGGAGCCAGCAGACGAAACAATCATTGACGAGCCATCTGTCGTTCACGAAGGCAGCCAACTAGGAGATTCCACGGAGCAAGCGCAAGATGCGGCTGCCGACAACAGACCGGGCTCTCCTAAAGTTGACCACACACCCATTCCGGCCACCAATGGTGACCACAAGGACGCAACATTGGAGGGCACTCCTGCAGCGATTGGAGCGAGTGACTCGATCCGCTAGTCTCGGACGATCACCACGTCAACGTTGCAGGTGAAAGCCATTCGTGATTCTATCTCACCTCTCGATCCGGGCCGTACTCGTTTGCTGGACATGTCGCCCAACCTTCAGCGATGATGTTCTAGAGGGGGAAGTGAAGGAGATCTTCGACTCCGCCAACACTCACGAACGACGGTGTAGAAGGAAGAAAGAGCCCGACACACTTTTCGAAATTCCTCGGGCATATAAGAAAGTGTTAGTATTGCAGCAAGCGTATAGTTGATTTGTCCTTTTTTCAGAATGGGTTTCAGCTAGATACCACAGCATTGTTCTTTCAGCTTTTAGTTCTACTCTTTTTTCGACCAACAATGCATTCTTTTTGAGTCCCTGAGCGACTTTGCAAACCTTTTCATCACTGTACTGCGACAATTGCCACACGAGGCTCCACGCCTGCCTTCTCAGCACGTTCTGTATGGCTTGTTGCCAAGGCTTAAGACTTGAGGAGAACGACCAGTTTGGAGTAATCGCCGGTCTTGTAACAGTGCGAATGAGCTTCGCGAAGTCTAGTTGCAGTTCTATGTCCTATGATGCTGCCGTACGTCTCTTCCTGGTGCTGGGTACAAAGCCGGCTTCCTAGTCGTTCGACCCCAGACGGCTGATGTCGATATGATAGATCAAGTTTCCTATCTCGCTTTTGCCTGGAATATATCGGGTTCGAGACAGTCGAGTAGATGCGAAGTCTTCCTTCCTTCTCTGCAGCGGGCATGGCCGTTCATGGTCGTGGCGTAGAGGGACCAGCTGAGCTCTCGAGAGTCGTCGTGTGATACGAAACGAGGGCCGCCGTCGAAAGCGGAGGCGAATGCGGAATGTCGAGGAGTGCTGGACATTTTGCAGCTATGCCGTGAAGACCGACCTGGCAATGCAAGCTCTTCCCCTCGAGGTCGTTTGACTGTCATCGCAATCTCATGTGTTGTAGAAATGTCGTTCTTTATCTTTTTCCTCTTCCCCTCATCTCTCAGTCCGATTCCCCTCTTTCCCATCAACATTCCCCTCCACTTCCTCCGCCACCACTGCAACTGTCTCATGCGCAACAGGCCCATGCCCCAAATCCATCTCAATCTTCGGCCTCAATTGATTATTCTCCAATTCCTCATCACTCCACTTCTCATCGTCCCTTGTAGAATCCCTCTTCATCGACTCAAAGCTGTAGAGGATATAAATCGAAACAACCAGCAACAAAGCAGCAAGCGGTAAAACAAGTTTCCACCGCTTATTATTACCGCGACCTTTAGACTGGATGTAGGAGTCATTGTGAGGATTGGCGAGCGAGTCGGACATTTTTTCGAGAGCTCGAGCTTTAGGAACTGGTTAGGCTTGTTTCAAAGTGATCAGAAAGAAGGATTCAGAACAGCTCGAACGAGCATGGTAAGGTAGGGGCGGGAAGAAAGGCATCGGGCATGGTTGAAGGATGCATGCACAGATGCACAGCATGTGGAGTTGAGGACGGGATATTGGGGGGTAAATGTGGTTGCACGAGCGCGAAGAGAGATATCGTGGGGAGCCGTCTTCAAAGATTTGACTGGCAAATGATCACTGATCTTGGGCTAGTTTGGTGACACGAATGTCGTCTGACAAGCATCACCCCATAGTCTCCACAATCTTGTGCAGCTTGGTTTGAGTCTCGTGTGGCGCTTATGTATGCAGACGTCGTGTATAGCTTTGATGCTTGAGAAGTGAAATCTCAACATACTGTGTATTCTGAAAAGATGCCATGCAAGAGAATGATCTATGCTGTATCCAATGCTTCCTATCCTGGGCCATGCAATAAGGATGTCTTGGCGTGCGTCTAAGCGACTGATTTCCAAGTGGATCATATGCATCATCGATATCTATCATGCTTCGTCTGAGGCTCCGTATGCTGTCGTTACTTCGTACGTGTCCACTTCTCCGGTGACCAGCGTCTTGTGCTCGCTCTGAATCGTTGACTGGCGAGTGATGAACTCTCTTTCAAGTCATCTTCGTGTTCCTGGAATGTGCTCCCAAGGCTCAAAGTGCATGTCTAAAGCAACAACTTGACCCAGGTTGTCATTCGCAATTCAGTGCGGTTGACGCTACCGGCTGTCTTCTGTCGAGGTTTGTTTGGCCTCTGGCGATTCACCAGGTCCCGGTCTTTCTACACACTCCTAGTCTAGGTCATCATCCTCGGGTTGCTGTGTGATGGTCTGGGACTCTTCTTGGTCTTCTTTGGGCAGCAGCGTGAATACGATCACGAACAGTGGCTCGTTCGTCGCTCGATTCTTCATGACATATCTGAGCGAGTGCGAGCTTTGTCAGCACGTCAGTGGTTAGTTTCCTCCGCGCGAACCGCTGTGCACAAACAGTATTCGATCAGGTGAGGTAGACGTACCGAAGTGGCTGACCGTCCCAGTAACTGATAATGGGAATTGTGATGCCAGGGATATAACCGAAACCCGGCAAGCGGAGAGCAAAGTCTGGAGAGCACAGTCAAAATGCGGGACCTCTCTCGTTTATTCTTGCGAGGACCATACCATTGAAGTCGAGGTAGGGATTGAAGAAATCGTTGGAATATTCTCTGCCCTTCTCAAACGTGAAGTCTTTGAGGTGTTGCTCGGTCAAGAAGAACTTTTGTCTCGCCGGTCCGAGCTCTGGCAGGCCGTGGGTCTTTCGCACTTCTTGCCCATCTCCGTCGGCGCCTTCCTCGAACACCAGCGTCGCTTCCTGGGCGCGAGTCTCTTCAACCTTCTCCTGCTCGCGATCGTCTTTCGGTCCAATGCGCAGCACGTTCATAGAGCTCAGCAGTGGGCTATACAAATATGGCTCTTCCGCGTAGACGTCTCCATACAGCCCAGGATCGATAAACCACGTCGCAATCTTGAATGCTTGATTAAAGCCTGGGGGTAGCTTGTCGCGGATGGGGTGATCGAAGTCATTGCCGAAGACGATGTCGTGCCCGTTGAAATCCTTCTTCGGGGTGAAGGTGAAGGCGAGCGAATAGAGGTCGGCCTTGTGCTTATCGTGCTCGAAATAGGGCGAGGTCTTGGGGGCGCCTTCGGGCAGGCCACGGTAGTTCTGGATGCGTACTTTGAGGTCCACCGAGACGTGATCGTTGGCGATGTGGATCGACTCTTCCGAGTTGACCGCGACGGGCTTCTGCTCTTCGTAGCTCGGCCCTGCGGTGACTTTGAGAATGTACTTGTCCGCCATGTCGAGGGCGGTGTGAAGTCGAGCGGCTACTGGACGTTACCGATGAGCACGAGCGCGAGAGTGGCGCGTGTAGTGATGTTTGCTGCCTCGATGTCGATTCCCAGAAATTCCCGCCATGTCGCACGCGGGGCGACGTCACACTTCGGCGCCGCATCTGGCCGCCCCTCCCCGACCAGCATCAACTGCTCCTGCATCTCCATCTTCAGCCTCAACGATGGTACGCTTCCAACATGGCTCGGACACTCCGCGCTTCTTGCAAGCAGCTAGTCCGCCCAGATGTGCTGGTCACAGGCTCCGGCGGCCACCTCGGCCACGCCCTGATGCTTGAGCTTCCCAAGCACGGCTTCCAGCCGCTCGGGCTCGATCGATTGCCTCCTGAGAACGGCATCTTGAGCTTGACAGGCTCTGTCGTTGATCGTGGACTGCTATCGCAAGTCTTCAAGGAATACACTTCAATACGATATGTGATCCATTCTGCAGCGCTGCATAAGCCTCACGTTCCTACTCACAGCAAGCAGGCTTTCATCGATACAAATCTCACAGGGACACTCAATGTCCTCGAAGAGGCCGTCAAGCATAGTGTGGAAGCCTTCGTCTTTGCCAGCACCACGAATACGTTCGGATCAGCCGTCGCTTACGCTGCTGGTGCGCCGTCGGCCTGGCTCAATGAGGAAACTGCGTGCAAGCCAAACAACATATATGGCGCAACAAAGCTTGCTGCTGAGGATCTGTGTCAAGTGGTTCATATGGAGTCTGGAATGCCAACCTTGGTCCTCAAGACGGCAAGATTCTTTCCAGGAGAGGACGACGATCTCAGCTGGCGAAAGGAGTACAACGGCATCAGTGAGAATCTCAAAGTGAATGAATTGCTCTACCGCCGAGTAGACATCGCAGATGTAGTGACAGCATATGTACAGGCATTGAAGAAGGCGAAAGTGGTCGGATTCAGCAAATATGTGATAAGTGCTCCTCCGCCATTCCAGCCTAGCGGTAGACTTCTCACGCAACTGGGCCACGATGCTGCTCCAGCTCTTGCGGAGTTGCTACCCGAGTACGTGGAATTGCTGCGAACTGTAGGCTGGAAACTGCCCGCAAGGCTGGACCGGGTTTGCGACTCGTCCAAGGCTATGCGAGAGCTGGACTGGCGGCCTGTGCACACCTTCCAGCGTGCTGTCTTGGCGGTAAGCCAGGGTCGCGGTTGGAACAGTGAGCTCGCGAGGAAGGTCGGTGAGAGACAATATCATTGATGGCGGAGAACACCAGCGATCTTGGCAGGCTGTGACACACGCTCGAGAGCAGGTTGTCGAGTGGGAGCGAGTGTGATGAGCTGCGATACGAGGAAAGAGTGCTTGAATGAGGCTCATTATTATGCACGTGCCAAGGGTGCACAGAAACTGGGAAAGCGTCGTTCGCGTTCGGCAAGCATGTGCAGAATCCTTCCTCCTTCCTCCACTCTCTGATTATCCGAAATGAGCCGATGCATTCACGCAGGCTTCGACTTCGTGTCTTGCGTCTTGGGCAGCGTCTCGAGCGCAAGTTCAGAGCGCGTGTCCGTGTTCTTCAGGCACCAGCGCAACATGAGCGAACAACACTTTCTCTCCACGCTGCTGAATCCGCCATAGCCGACACTTAGCGATCCGGCCTAGCGACAGCGTGGCTGTCCCGAATACCGTGCCCAGAAAGCTGGTACGTTTCCTTCCTAACTGCGGGGTTTTCTGGGTTTCTCCATGCGTTCTCGCGTGGCGCCTGCAGTCTGTCGCGAGCCTTTTTGCACTTTTGATCTTTCCACTCCCACTCCCCCCGTCACCAGCTTCTCGACGCCGGGATTCGACCGTAGGGTCATCGCCATGCACAGCACTTCCAGGACGATGCAATGTCTTCGACTAGTCATGTCATATCACAGAACGAAGCCTTTCTAGCGAGCTGGATTTGCGCTGCACTGGCTCTGACCATACTCGTTGCACGTCTTCTGACACACCAACACCGCCAGAGGGCATGGGACACCATTACAGCCATTATCATCTGCTCCATTGCAACCCTTGTGGCACGCACTGTCCTGAACGCCCTCATTCTTCGAATGGTCAATTCGCCCTCCATCGACGATGACAGCACGCTACGCACCAGCAGCATTCTCGTGCTCGCCGCCCGCGTAGTCGTCACGGCATACTACTGGTTGCAATGCGTGGTACTACTATTGTTCTACCACGAGATGCTCAACCACATTCCCTGGATCCACCATGTCATCAAAGTTTGCTGGGTTGTGATTGGAACAACCTTTCTGGCCGTCATCCTGGCCACCTTTCTCGAATGTCGACCAATCAATCATTACTGGACCACGAGCCTGGAGGGTCCCCATCAGTGCAGGCGCGCATATGTCCAGATCCTTCTGCAATGCGTTTCGAATCTTGTCATCGACGGCTTGTTGCTCCTGATCGCAACACCGATACTCAAGGCGCAAGCAAAAGTCTTCCCACGCAATCTGCAGCTTGGCTTCCTCTATATACTCGGAACATTCTCGATCATCCTGATTGCGCTCAAGATTCATTTCATATTCAAGGATGGCTCGGTACAACATGCACGAAGTTTCTGGGCATCAGTGCAGGTCGTTGTGTGCACATTCGTCGCAAATGCGCCATCAATTTATGGAGCAGTCAAAAACGTAAAGCGACGACGATCCAGCGTCATGTCGCTCGCCAGGATTCGAACAAACGAGAGCAATTACTTCGAGATGCCAGGACCCCCACCAAAGCCCCCAGTCCTCAAGATTCCAAAGTGGGCTGACGACACGAGGTCCAAGTCGGCCTCGCCACGCATCGGGGAGCCTTGATGTTACACTGGAGTTGTGGGACTCATTGAAAATCTTATCAAGTATCACGTCCTGCTTCACGAGAGTCGCCTCCTATTGCCGGCCGACAACATAATTTGATCAAATGCTTGTACTTTGCAAGGTACCTGGTCTCGATTCCGAGCTTGTATTTGATGAGCTGAGCCACCTCGAGAGACGCGGGCTGCGAAGTACAGCCTTGATTGATATTGGACGAGATACACTGCTCAAATCCACGCATGAAGTCCAGACAGCGACTACTAGTGCAGGAGGGTCGTTGGGAACGCCATTAGCTTTCGAAAGACAAACATCTCGCCTGAAGCAGCCGCACGGGCTCGCGAGCCTGTCTGTCAAAGCGACTACACACTACTTTACGATCCTTCCCGGTCAATTGTACGAGAAGTCGTGGAATACACCGTGCGGGGCCTGGACTCTCCTCGCTGTAGTCCAGAACAGCAGCCGGAATGCTACACTAGGATTCTGAAGCATAGCACCTTATGCGACTGTGGAGGCGAATTCGATCTCGAACCTCCAGCGACGACCCGCAACGGTGATTTGGGCTCGGCAAGCCTGATCAAATGGTCAAGCAATTGCACCTAGCATGGATGCTCGTTTAGTTAGTGGCAGGAACGAAGATAAGCAACAAACACAAGCACCGATGCCCCTGTTGCACCGGATCACAGCAGTGCATTCGTAGTCCAACGTCACCATACGCCGCTGCTGGCATCTACGGAATGTAGTAGACACCGATTCCGTACTTGGACAACATAATTAACCACTCCCATCCAGCACATAGCTTACGGATATTCTCGTATGTCGGCAAATTGAGGCGCTCGCTGTCGTCGTCAGATACTACACAAGCTGACAATTTCACAGCGACGCAATCGAATAGCTTACAATACCTCAGGTCCCGTAGAAGCAGGCATTGATGGCACGTTCAGGAGCGCTTGGCAGGTGGTCTATGACCTGAGGCCGAATGTGCTCTGAGCAGCTTCGGGAGCGGAGGATCCGAATCAGCAGCATCTCGCCAAAGAACGGTACGACAGATCCGAGCGCTATACACGTGTATCCGCATTCCTCGGCGAATTGATACTTTCTCCTGGTACTGATTGATCGCCCGAAGTATTACCGGTCGCAACTCAGATCGAGCTATACCACGTGCGGAAGCACCTTACCTCACTTACCTCACGTTATGGCGAACCAGCAGAAAGATCGAATTTCATCCATTCAAATGCCACACAGAGGACGGGGTCCAGATGTGCAGCACCGTTGAAAATACAACGATGTATTGTTGTTATGGGCAAAGGAGGGACTGGTCTGCCAAAGCTTGCATGGCTGTGCCTCCAGAGACAGTTAACGGTCCATTCGTAGCCCGTAAGAGGACTGCTCGGTTGGAAACGGAAAGTGACCTAACGAATCGGTAGCGCCTCCGGAAGCCCAGACGAAAGGTCGTGCTACATCCTAAAGGATAGCAAGCGCCCAGAATTGATGAGTTATCTGCCGAGCCAGAACGCGTAGAGACCCTTTTGTCCTTCGGAGAATCATCACTGCGCAATTACGACTCACGTCCTCACTTTGTATCCACTGTCTGTCAACCGACTGGTCAGATCGTGCTGATCATGGTAGTGCTGTGCAAATCGGGCCCCATGCAATTCCCCAGAGCGCGGAGACGTTACCCCGTGAGGTGAATGGACAGCATCTGTGACCAAGGAAGCGTAGTCAACAGGTACTCCGTGCTCAGGACGGCGCATTCAACGGTCACATCGCCAAGGGCAAGAAGCTTTCTCTCGAGCCTTGTTCGCATCACATCCATGACTGGTGACAGAATGTCTCATCGCCCACGCGAATGTTGAACGAGCCCTATCCGTGGACCCCACGGGCACGGTATGAATATATAATCAAGCTGCTCAACCCCTTCTTCGACAACACATCATCAACCACATTCAGTTCATCTCTCATCTCATCTTCTCTTTTCTTCCAAACCTTCCAACAATAGCAGCGCAGGCGCAGCGACAATAACATCAAACAACAAAAAATGAAGGCCTTTACCGCTACAGCAATCTTGGTCTACTGTGCCACCTTGGGACAGGCTGCTCCGGTCGCAGCTCCTGAGCCCTTCCTTACATTCGGCAACCCAAACTTTTTGCAGAACTTGAACGCTCGTGACGCCGCCGCTGATCCAGGTTTCCTCAAGGGTCTCTCGTGGGGTGCTCAGCTTGGTTCTCTGCTTTTTGGCCTCGGTGGTAGCAACAACGACAAGCGCGATCTTCAGCTCGTCAGTCTTTCTCAGATCGCTGATGAGTTGTCGAAGCGTGACGCTGATCCACAATTCTTGTCTGGCTTGAAATTGGGCTCTCGACTTGGAGGCCAGCTTTTCGATACCAACGACGATGGAGAGGGTGGCATTTTCCGCCGTGAGGCTGACCCGCTATTCCGTACTGGCTTGAAGGTCGGCTCCCGAGTTGGTAGCCAGCTCTTCGATATTAACGACGATGGAGAAGGTGGCATTTTTCGCCGTGAGGCTGATCCTCTGTTCCGAACTGGTCTGAAGGTCGGCTCTCGCGTGGGTAGCCAATTGTTCGACATCAACGATGACGGAGAAGGTGGCATCTTCCGCCGTGAAGCTGACCCTCTATTCCGAACGGGCTTGAAGGTTGGCTCTCGAGTTGGCAGCCAGCTCTTTGATATCAATGACGATGGTGAGGGAGGCATCTTCCGCCGTGAAGCTGACCCACTTATCGGCGCCGGCCTGAAGGTCGGCTCTCGCGTTGGCAGCCAACTTTTCGACATCAACGACGACGGCGAAGGCGGAATCTTCAAGCGTGAAGCTGATCCTCTGTTCCGTACCGGCTTGAAGGTCGGCTCTCGCGTTGGTAGCCAGCTCTTCGACATCAATGACGATGGCGAGGGAGGCATCTTCAAGCGTAAAGCTGATCCTCTGTTCCGTACCGGCTTGAAGGTCGGCTCTCGCGTTGGCAGCCAACTGTTCGACATCAACGACGACGGCGAAGGTGGAATCTTCCGACGTGAAGCCCAGCCAGGCTTCCTGTCTGGCCTCAAATGGGGTGCTCGACTTGGTAGCGAACTCTTCGACTTCGGTGGTGACGACAACGATGACTAGGTGCATCACGCCCGTTCCTTGGCTGGCATCACGGCCGCCCACGATGTTCTTTCACGAATGTCTGGAAGTCAACAATTTCTACAAGGCCAAGATGCTGTATCTGGTCCACTTGCGCGTAGAATGACTTGAGCTGCTGGTTTCGGCAAGAGTTCTTTTCTGCGTTTCATTGTAACGAATTGGCATTGCAATGGGTGGACTCTTTTCCTTTTCTGATTGAGACCAGATGAGATGAGACGACTGAATGTGGTTCCGATGTATGATTTGCTGTTTTTTTGTTTTCTCTTTTGGATAGACCGATTGGGTGCGGCGCTGGAGATGGTACAATGTGCGAGATGGTTCCGTAGCCTGTGTATCGAATAGTGTCATTTCAGCGAATTGTTCTTCCCAACACTCTCAATCAATCATCGAGTGTCTGATTTGCACAAGTCGGCGTACGAGTGTAAAATTTTTGATGCAAGCAATGTGTCACTACTATTCCGATTCACAACTCACCAGCAATGTCGTGGCAGTCCGACGGGCCTTGGTGTTCTACAAATTGAGGTACATAAATTGATGGTGCTTCCCTGCTTCCACCAATCAGCCACGAAAGTCAAAGACTTTCGATCCCGCGTGGCACAAGTACGTCTCATCACCTTACCAACCCAAAATTACTGTGATCCTAACATCTTCGCAGTTGGCTAGCGCGTGAGACTTTTAGCAATAAGAGCATCTCAAGGTTGAGAGTTCGAGCCTCTCCGCGGGAGCGTTATCTGTTCAATCAGATGCCTGATTTTTTTGTCCTTCTTTTGGTTTTATTTTGGCCGTTCGGGGGTAGGGAAAAAAAAACCGGGACAACCCGCAGGAACTCCAGAACGACGAACTTCGCAATACGCCGCTACAAAGGCTACGATTTCGCGACATATCAGATATAGCGCTATATTCCGCAGATGCGTAGTCCTGTCCGACGCTCTTAGTTGAGAATTGTACCGTTGTCGTCGCGTTGTGTGTTGAGAGATCGGTTTGCGACGCTTGGCGGGATGTCCCGTCATTTTTGTCACCCGGGTGGCTGGTCCACTTGTGCCTGCAATGCAAGTCCAACTTTTGTCTCCCTTTTGCATCTTACTAGGCTTTTATGACTAGCTGAGAGAGCTTGTGGAGCATTGAGCCCGTAAAACCAACGGCCATTTCATTCCTTTTGCTGTTAGAAATACCCTTTCACACGCTATCAACAAATGAGAACCGCCCGGGCACGCACAGCACAGCTGGCAATCATAGAAATAATGGTACAAGAATCGAATTCGACCTCTCGCCGGTCCGCAACGACATGCAATCCCGCACAGTCGTTCTACTTCCCCTCATCCGCCTCTTTCAGCGGTGATCCATTGATAAGTGAATTCGGAATCCAATTATCATTCTCATCAGTGCTGCCATCAACTCTTCGCCACCAGAGTACACCCTCATTGCCATTGTCCCATTTCGACTCCATCCTCAGCAATTTGGTGCCCTTGGGAAAGCCCTCGCTCGATTTGGTTTCGTGAACAGAGTAGTTGCTGTGTTCCTCGATTCCAGTCCATTTGGGTACATTTGCCACCCAGATTGGGCCGTGGACCAAGGATCCGGATTTCTCAGTGGTTGAATCGTCGTGAGACACGCCCCATGGTCCTGCGTAGGATAGTGTGTGTTGTCCTACGAGAGCCCAGTCTTGGTTTGAGTCGGTTTCGTTGTAAGGAAAGGTAAGATTGGCGGGGCGGTATTGTGATTGAGCTGATGCGAATGATTTAGACGTGTCCATGTTTTTGTGGTTAGGATGCGCTTACTGGCGGCAATGTTGAGTGACATGAAGCCTGAAGGAGTGTATGTTAAGAGTCCAACAGGATCGTCGCCAAATGCGAGGTCGGGAACAGCAACGCCATTCAAAATGCTATGCTTGGGTCAGCTGCGATGCTTCGTTGCAGGTCTTATAGAATACTCACGCAGTGCTATTGATCAAGGCGTACGTGCCAGCCAGGGCTCGTACGATCGCTTGAACTTTGGAATCGGAAGACATTTTTTGTGAGAGATCCTGCTCAGAGTCGCACGAGGGCGTTGCTTGCTAAAGTATCATTGTCTCTTGGAACGTGTATGGAGAGCAGGAGGATCTGTATAGCAGCCTGATCAGTACAACTAGACTAGGTGTCGCACCGAGATTAGCAAAGGTAGTGATCTGCTTTGCTTGACGTCGCAGAGCAGGGGTGTCGCAGTCCTGACGCAAATACTTCGGGATGCGAATGCTGCCCATGGGGTACTCGTAGACGCGGTACGACAAGTCAGTAAGATGATTCGCGCTGGAGGTCAACAAACGGAAATTCATGAACGCTGTACTTGACCAAACTCGAGAAGAGCAAATAAGTGCGAAGCACAATGCACAAGGAAAATGAATGCCTTGAATTTGCTTTCGCGATCTCCCCGCAAAAGGGGAGAGATGTGCACCTACTACACGGCCAAGTGGGTTTGTTCCATGGTTCGGCCGCTAGGACGGAGCGTCGCTGTTACATCTTGCGCATTGGCATACAAAGCCCCAGGCGTCTTGCAATCTGTTTCGACGGGCAGTGACGTCGAGGTCCTTCTCGTCGCCGCCCAAATAGGTGATGCACAACTGCTCGCCGGGCAATATGTCGCGAGCTGTGTGGAAGCTCCATTCTCTACCGGCACGTTTCTTGTGGACATTCGCATCGCAGGAATGGTTGAAGTACGATGCGGAGGGGTATACGGCGTAGCCCATGTACTCCTCACTGTCTTCGCCGCCCGCGCGTATGCCGAAAGCATTGTGGTTGTCGGCACGCACAATGTTGAGGCAAAGCTGAGGCGTCAAGAGGTCAATAAGGTGGGTCGGCAAAATTGAGATGAGCTGAAGGAATGCCGTGCAGCTGTCCTCGAGATCCTGCTGCGTCTTGTATGGCGTGTCGTCCATGGCAAGCTCGAGAAACTCTTGTCGTTGACGCTCCGAATCTGCTCGACGCTCGAGGAGGAGGCCGCTCAGGAAGTAACTCAGGGTGTCGGCGTCCTTGGACTGTGCGAGCTGCCGCTGGATGGCGTTGAGCGTCTTTCGCTCCGTCTTCGACACGCCGGACTTGGCGCGGGCGCGACGCAGCAGGAGAGCAGCTTCTTCCGCCTTCTGCCAGAGCAGTCGGATGGTATCCACGCTGGGCTTCGCGCCTTCCGCCATCGACTCATCGCTCCCGCCGTTGTTGCTGGACTTTGTCTTCACGAACGCCGTCAGAGTGCGCCATGCTTCGATCCCATCGATTTCCTGCTCCAGCATCCATTGCACACGGCACTCCGCCGAGCAGAAGACTTTGCCCAGCTCATTCTCGCGCTCGCGCAATGTCCGCCCGCGGTCCCACAGGAAGCATTGTGCGCATGTTTCTTTGCCGTATTTCTTGAAGATGACGTGCACCACCGGCGGTCCGCTGCGAAGGATCACAGTGTCTTTGGGAATCGGCTGACTGGCAACAACACCACGTCCAGCATTGTCGATGCGCTGGACGGTCCACAACTCCGAGACAGGAATCGTCATTCGCTTGTGCACTGATTGACTCAAGACCACCGCTCATCACCAGCAGGGGAGCCTGGAGGGAAAAAATGGAGAAGGCTTCTTGGCAAACACCGCACCGCACCGCACCCTGCCTTCCCTTCTCCCTTGCTTGGCATTGGTTACTACATACTCCGCGTTGGAGGTACAATATTGCCATTCGTGATGGCATATCTCACTCTAGGTCTACCAGGCCACAAGGATTCCATAACTAGTTTCTTCATTTGTCCGACAGCCAGCTGGACGAACGACAAGTTCCTCCTGACCACGCGCCGAGGCAGGACGCTGGAATGTAGAGCTACTCTCGCGCTGTGAAAGTCCGTGACAATTGTGATGTTGGAACCAGATGTATCGACACTAACGCTTGAGATGAATTGTGCTGTAGGAATATCTTCAAGGCAAGCGCAGCTGGTCGCAGTGCTCCCTAGGAGATTAATATGATCGGGTACTGTTCGATACCGAGCGAACGGAAGACGACGATAGGAATGTGGTTCGGATGGCGACCGGGTTGACTGCACGCTATTGTGCTGTGTCAACGTATACTAACAATTACCCTCAGAAGATGATCACCACAGCTGACGCTCTCAACTTTTTGACACATTGTTTAGTCTCTGGACATCGAGCCAGCACAAATGGCCCGCTTCTCACATCGTATCTGCAACATTGCAGTTGCTTCTTTCATTCTGTACGCCACAGCAAGAGCTCAGAATGGGCCCAGGACAGTCACCGTCGTCCCAATGCCTATCCCTGAAGCGTCCTCTGAAACGAGCAGCGAGTCTACAACGGCCAGTGTTGCGCCAGCAGCTTCTGGCATTTCTTGCCCGACGGACGACGGACGCAACTACACTGGTTATGCTGGCTCCTATTACGTCGAATGTGACATGGAGATTGGTGGTCTTCTGCTAGACAATGATATGGCAAACAAACACAAACGTCAAGCTATGACGCCAGAGACATGCATGGCAGGCTGTCAAATGTACGGCGACTCTTGTGCAGGAGTCAATTATCGTCCTGGATACTGTGTCTATCTTGGCTCCGTCAACACATTGAGTCCATCCGAAGGCACGATTGCACTGCTCAAGGCTGCTCTTCTCGCTGGTCCTCCGACTACATATCCGACCGCCTCTTCCCCAGCTACGACAACATCTTCGACTGTGGCGGTCTCGAGTGGGGTTGCTGAACAGTATTCATCGGCCACTGGTGATGTTGAGCTTCCGGGAGGTTACCCAGCCGGCCCATCTGTATCGAGCGCAGTGCCGACCGTTTCGACTGAGACCTCAACAACAACTAGTAGCATCGAAGTACCGAACAGCTACGCGACTGGAGTAGCCCCGCCTTCCACACCAATCTCCGCTGCAACGAGCACGCCAACGGGAACATCCGCAGGGCCGAACACTTCTTCCAGCGGATCTCTAGTCGCTTCGAGTCTCACATCTAATACAACGCCGCAATCGACATCAACGAGCACATCAACCAGTGCGAGCGGCTCGGCATCACCAAACACAAGCAGCTCAGGCCCGTCCACAGTCAATGTCTGCAGCAACATACGGACTCGTACGACTACAATCACCACTACCTCTACACTGACGACCTGTTTGCCTGAACAAACATGTCCTACGGCTCATTATAAGCTGTAGCGATCAGCAGGTTTTGGTGTCCGTTTATGCGTTTATGCACAGCTTAGAATGGTTAGGGGATTCGTTTTGTTAGAAAGTCGCACTTGTGCGCTTGTTGGGGATCACAGGGTTATGGCACGTAGAGTAATTGAATGCAAAGGGAGATGCTCGGCATGACTTTGCCTACCTGTTCACCGGCAACGAGTTGTGCATCTGCACTTAGAAATGCTAAGTGTTTTGAGTTGTGAGACTTGGTGCGCGTACTTCCGCTGTGACATTCACTCCTACCTCCCTTTGAGCTTGTTTCTATACTCATGCCACCAATCTCTACATGTCACATGCATGCTCATGTTATCAATCCACCATTCCCCAAACGAATCGTTCACGTCAGAGTCCACCTTTACAACTCTCTCTTCCCGTTTCAGCCCGCACAGGGCACAAGCATGCGGCGCCACGAAGCCACCTTCTGTCGCTTTCAAAGTCTTGACAGGCATCGTCTCCGCAATCTCTGGCACACTTGGTAATTTGTCTTTCCCGGTTTGCGGCGTCCCAGAAGCAGTCGTCACCGCAGTCCTTAGTTTTCCGACTTGCCCCTTCCACTTTTGCACCACATCGAGAACTTCTCGATCTTCCTTTCCAACTTCAGACTTATCGATACTAGTCAACTTCATGCCACCCTTGCCACCTGCGGCCGAGGGTCCGATGCGCATTGATTGTGCTAGGATTTGGTCTCGTTTCCATCGGAGTTTTCTGCCTGCGATGATGTGTGCTAGGACGATTGCGGACTTGAGATAGGATGTCAGGAATTGGTGCGTTGCGGGGTGAGAGAGGAGTTGGGCTCTTGAGGAGAGATCTAGTTTTGATAGAGGTGCGAAGAGGGCTTCTTGTGCTGATGAGAATATTGAGGTGAAAGCGGAGAGCAGGATGATTGGTGGCGGAACGTTAGTTGGGGGGACTTCATTCTGATCGGTCGATTTGAAGTCGCTGCTCGTTGATATTGTTGGACTCGGTGAAGGAGCAGGGCGCGTGCCACTGTGTGCTGGAACAAGTGCAGGTGCGGTGACCGGTTCAGTCGCATCGAAATCGTCCCATGCATCGTCGTCGCGTTTGGGAACAAGGCTTGATCCTTTTGGTCGTGTCATAGAATCGGCTTTTGCGTGCCCTAGGATATTGTTGGCACGTTCAGATCTTGGGCTCAGAATTTCTGGCACGGAAACCTCGTCGCCTAGCCCGAGGAGATCAATTTGTGGCATTCTCGGCGCCATCGTCGCCTTCGGTGTCTTCTGGCCAGGTGGGCCGTTCTTCTTTTGCAATTTGCCGTGAGTGGTTTTCGCAATGGGTGTTGCAGAAGTGGTGTTGGGCCTAGATGTAGATGGCGCTGCCTCGAAGTCGCCGAAATCATCATCATCTGTGTCATGCTCAGACACGTTATCGGCATCGAAAAGCACATTCGGGTCTCTAGTAGGCACATACCTGAAGCCGAGTAGAAAGTAAGCTTCTGTTCCAGAGTGATCTATGGCACTTCCCTATCGCCGCAAAGTTCAAGTCGATGTGCACATATTGCCGTCATTTGGCGAAAGATAACAGAGGAGAGAGACACGCACTCCACCGAGAGCTGAACTTACCCAGACTTTTTCTGTAGTTTGTTTGGTGCTTTGGGAGGATTTTTGGCGGGCGACTGCGGCTTTGAGAAGGGAAGAGGCTTCTTCTTTGCCTGTGCTTCTTGCTCTGCAATCATCCGTTTTGAATATGCCATGGCTGCTTCGGGGTTCCTCGACAGGTCTTCAAGATCATCTGCTCCAGCATCATACTCATCATCGCCGCCAGAGAACAAAAAGTCCATGTGGTCTGCAAATGGGTGCCTGCCAATGACTCGCTCTGGCTCCGACCTCCCGGCATCTGGCTTCGGCGAAAATGGCAATGCTTTGGGGGCCGAAGGCGCAACGTGTGTCGTTGTGCTGCCCATGCTCGACGCCTTCGTCATATCTGTGACAACAGCAGCAGACGCATCCTCAAAGTCACCAAAATCGTCATCGTCGTCAGCAGCAGGTGCCGAGGTTGATGGCGCTGCTGGCGGTTCGCCAAAGGCCGCGAACAGGTCGGACGACATTTTGACCTTTCGCGTGGTTGTCAGGAGCTGCACATGCGGGCGTGAGTTGCCGTCCAAGTCAACGTGATGTCGAATGGAGCGGCGTGGCTTAACTTAGTGGCGGTTCCTGTGAATGGAGGCTTGAGTAGTTAGGGCTGAGTCAAGCTTTCGGACCGGAACGCGACTCTTCGCGTGATACTGCAGCTGCCCATTACGACACTCGCGTCGCGGCTGCTGTATTTCTTTCTTTACCTCGTTTGCAGCACCCAGCTCCAAACGGTTGGCCAACGGCACGCCGCGGTGGTGCGAACGAGCGAGCGGTAATGAAGTGAGCAGCGGGCGGGCGTTTGGCAGTCTTTCACTTTGCTCTTCTTGCCATCAGCTGCAACCACAATCGGCAGCGCTGCCATTGCCGCATCGGCTTTCCTTCTCAGCAACCACGCCAGACACTACAACGCCCTTCCTTCGATTCTCACCTGCGCGCGCGACGCATCTTCGAGCAACCCTTCTTGCAGCTGCCCTCCCTCAACACCACCGCTTGGCAGCCATATCAGCTCATCTGCCCACGAAGGTCCAGGGTCGCTGTACATAGATCGTCTATAGCGTGATCTTCACGACTCTCACGCCGCAGAAGTTTGTCACACACACGTCTCCGCCCGACCTCTGAGGGTCTGGGCGTGTAGTGCATAACATATGGCGGGACCACAACTGGTGCAGAAATTGGAGGAGCTCGCGCAGGATGAGGAATTGCACTGGTTCTGCCCACGAGGCCCGGGTCGAGAGGAAGTCTACTGTTTCGATGAAGACGTCGACGCCGAGGAAGAGTCAAAAGAGGCCAGGCAGGCGCGGCATGAGCTCGTCAGAGAGGCACACGAGCGACGAGACAAGGCACTAGAAGTGTGCATCATCCTGGCCTTTGACGGCTCTGATGCTGTGGCATATCAAGAGAAGCTTAAGGCGAGCTTACAGATACAGCTCACTCGATGTGACATTTGTGTCCGCGAGTACCATCGTGGCCGTCGCTTGCTCCGCAATCAATTGGAAGCTGAGTATCCTCCGGACGATGTGCTGGTCTTCATGCAGACATTCGACTCCATGAACGAGGCCCGAATTACGGCTGGCCTGAATGTCATGACCGAAAGCCTTGCCGTACTGCCTGAAGAGAAGCGCAAGATCAATGCCGCTGGTGACGTGGGGATGTTCGCCCTGTTCGAGTCATTACACTGCATCCCGTTCCTCAGGAGTGAGGACGTACTGCAACGATCTTTCGATCCCGCTTTCACACTCGTACTGGGGAAGAAGAAAAAGCTGTTTCTGCCCAATTTCGCACCTGGAATGGCCGCCTTTCTTTACAATGGGAACCAGGATCGACAAGCCTGGGCGGAGCGCAACATGATTAGGAATGGTGCGAAGCGCAAGATGTTCAGTCAGGAGTTCGACTTCGCTGTCAGGCCATGGCTTGAGCCCGCCATGAACAGAGTGCAGCTCATTGGCATAGAGGCTACGTTTCTGCCCCGATTTTGGAAGGCCACGCGACTGCTACTGGCGCAGATGGATGAGTCGACCATGACTACGAATCTGCGGGCAATGGACATCAACTTGTTTCAATTGGCACTTGACCACTTTCAGCTGGATCACCCGCACTTTGCAGATCTTCTTGCAAGTGTACATACCATGCTAGAAACTTGCGGCTCAAGATTTTGGGATGCTGTTGGAGCAATGACACCGCAGTATGTTGCGGAGCAGATCTTCAAATCACCAAGACTCAAGTCTCTTCTTCAAATCACGAACGAAACGGAACCTCTACGCCTGGAAGAAAAGATGGCGTGGGTGGACGTCTTCATTCGCAGCGTCAAGCCAGCCAACCTCGTCACGCCGCTTCGCACAGTCTTGGACCAGCTCTTGAGGCGGTTGCAGGAAGACCCATATTCCAAGTATGCAAGCAATGTGTCGTGGGAGAAGGGTCTGGAGTGCCTGCTCCTAGCTATTCGACTGATAACGTCATCCGTGGACGGCGGACCCGTATACACACACCTGATCGAGACTGTGTCCAACGATCACCTCAATGCAATCTTGAAAGAGTTGAGCGGGATTGAAAAGAAAGGAGAACTGCAAGTCTCAAAAACCGAGCAATTGGACCTCGAAATCATCTCAAAGGTGCTTGATATGGAGGTGAAGAGCATGAGTCGCGACCGCCGCTACATTCTTCAACACAACGAGATCGATCACATCGTTGGTAGCGAAAGCAGGAACCTTTGGAGGAAAACTACGCAGCATATCAAGGCCGGGAGTGGCGCTCTGCCTGCTGCTATTCTCTCCGGCATCAAGGGTCTAGTGCAATTGGAGCCTTTTCCAACCAAGCGACCCGGAGACCTTTGTGCTGCAAAGACTAAATGGAACGAGACCTTCAACACCACGCGAGACAATGTTGTTGCCCACTTGATAGCTCGCCTTGATCTCTTCAGCGGCGATCAATTGTCCGAACTGTATCTTGACCCTGCGGCCGCTCGAGGTCTTATGGCTCTGCTTTTCAGCGGAGACGATCAAGTGCACCAGGGCTCATTGGCCATCCTCAAAACGCTCACAAGTGAAGACAGCAGATTGGATTGTTTCAAGCATGTCACATCGATATACTTCAACACCACACTGGAGTCTGTATCAGAGTGCTTGCTCTCCATTGCGAAAGCCAAAATCTTTAGCCCGTGTGCGATCTTGATGAGAGTCAGCCGCGATATCTTGGACTGCCTCTGTGATTCACAGGATGGCATCCTTCGGAAGAAAGATTCGACAACCGAGCAGGAGCAGAAATCGCTTCGAAAATTCTGGGTGGCGATTTGGGCGGCAATTTCCACCATTTTCGAGAAGACCGAAGCCTGGAGTGCGCTCCAAGAGAAACGCATGATGATGGATTTCTGCCGCGACATAATGGACTTCGCAGAACATGCTTTTGACCAGTATGCAATCTTTGCTGCCAAACTGGACTCTGAACAACGCTCGCAGCTTTTACAGCAGCCTAGGCAGACTTTCCACAACATGATCAAATATCTGCGTCTCAGAGATGACTGGTTGATTGACAAGTCTGTCGCCCTCACCTGCAGTATTCTGCAGCGCTTACGAGATGCCAATATTCAAGCAAGGGAAGAGTCTCTCGAACACCTTGTCGAGATACTGCAGGGCAAAGTCAAGAACAAGCTGTCTACGAAACACAAAGCAGAGCTGCAGCGAGCCTCAGAGCATCATACCGACGAGCCCCTTTTTGGCGAAGAGGACGTCGCAGAAGTCTCTAAGCAGAAGAGACAGAGCTCTTTGCAAGGTTGGGCCAAATCTGGACCCGTTTCTGGATCGTCTACGCCAACTCACCCCGGCAAGCCCACCAAGCATGGCATTGACCTGGAGGCTTGGGCGAGCAGAGCCGCAGCGCAGAAGAGCCAAGCGAAGGAGCACATGAAAAAGCAACCCCTCGGTGTCAAAGAGAAGATGCTAGCCCAGAGTAAAGTCGGAGTCGTTGACCAGGCCAACTTCTTAGCTAAGCGTAAGGCTACCTTGGCTGAGCAACAGAGGCAGAAAGAGCTAGCGCTTGCAAAGGCAAAAGGAAACGGTGCAGGAAGTGGAGTTATTGGACTTGGCAACTATGCTGCTGATCATGACAGCAAAGGACAGACAATCATGGTGGATTCGGATGAAGAAGATAGCGACGATGAAGATCTCGATGACGACCTATTCGGCACTTCTGCCAAACCGAAGAAGCAGGTACGGCCAGCGCTCGACGTTAGCGGCACATCGGGCCTCAAGCCAGAAGTGAAGAGCGGTCCCACCAAGATCGCGCGCACGAACCGATCCCTCAAGGATATGCGCGCACGATTGAAGCCCGATCTTGGTCCACTGCATCGCCTGATGCTAGCGTGGGACTTTTTCCACACTGGTGACTACCCTCCTGGATCGAATGAACATGAATTCTCACATGTCGAGAACTCGTTCCGAGATCCTTCGTCCTACCAACGAACATTCGAGCCCTTGCTGATTTTGGAAGCTTGGCAAGGCATGGTGAAGGCACGGGAGGAACTGAGAGACACCACCAAGCCCTACGAGATCAAGGTTCAGAACCGAAGCAACGTGGATCAGTTCATCGAAGTCAGCAGCGTGATTGGGCACCAGGAGAATAGAGATCTGCAGCTAGGAGAAGGCGACATCATTCTCTTCTCTAAGAGCAAGAAACCGGCGGCCGATGAGGATGAGCCACATTGTCTGGCTCGGGTGTATCGTGTCAAGCGTCAGAAGGCTCATCTGGAAATCGTCTACCAGATCATGCCCGGTTCCTCCCTTGCTAGTCAGCTAACAATGCAAGCCATTGTTTACGGCCTCAAGCTGCAGTCAATAACACCGCTCGAGCGCGAATACGGTGCTTTGAAGGGCCTGTTGTACTACGATCTCTGCAACCAGATAATCCGCGCCAAACCTTCGCAAAAGATCAATTTTAGCGAGCGGCAGGTTGGTGCCTTCCAGGATGTCTACGATCTGAACCGTGCACAATCCGAGGCCGTCAATGGCGCGCTCGAAAATGAAGGCTTCTCGCTCATTCAAGGTCCACCGGGCTCTGGCAAGACGAAAACCATCGTTGCAATTGTTGGAGGGCTGCTCACTCCGGCTCTGAAGAACGCTCCTCGCGGTGCTCACAAGATCACCTTGCCTGCTTTGAACGGCCATGCTGGTAGCGGTACCGATGCTCCAGCAAAGAAATTGCTGGTGTGCGCGCCGAGTAATGCGGCAGTGGACGAACTTGTCCTGCGTCTCATGAAAGGCGTAAAGACCAAAGATGGTGAACACCACGATATCAAAGTTGTCCGTATCGGACGTAGTGAGGCCATCAGCGCGCAAGTGGCCGATGTCACAATGGAGACGCTTGTGCAACAGAAGATTGGCGGGGCCAACGGCCCCGATGACAAGCAGCGGAAGCTGAACGCCAATCTGTTCAAGGAGCACAGTGAGGTCTCAGCACAGTTGCGCGATCTATACCAGCAGCGTGACTCGGAAGAAGAGATGCGAAAGCTGGAACCACCGCAGCGCAAGGAGCTCGAGGACACCATTATTCACGTTCGGAAACGCAAAGCTGAGCTAGGCCAACGCATAGACTCAGTGAAGGACAACGAGAAGAGCGCAGGACGTGAGCAAGAGTTGAACCGAAAGAGAGCACAACAGGCCGTCTTAGATGAGGCACATGTCATCTGTGCCACCCTTAGCGGCTCTGGTCATGACATGTTCTCTGGCCTAAGCATTGAATTCGAAACGGTCATCATCGACGAGGCTGCTCAATGTGTTGAGATGAGCTCACTCATTCCTCTGAAGTACGGTTGCGTGAAGTGCGTCATGGTGGGAGACCCAAAGCAGTTGCCACCAACCGTGTTTTCGAAAGAAGCTGCCAAATTCCAGTACGAGCAATCTCTCTTTGTGCGCATGCAGAACAACCATCCGGGCGAAGTGCATCTTCTCGACACACAGTATCGAATGCACCCAGACATTTCGGTCTTTCCAAGCAAGACGTTTTACGATGGCTTGCTCAAGGATGGTCCAAGTATGGCTGGACTCCGCAAGCAACCCTGGCATGCCAGCTCCCTGCTCGCGCCGTACAGATTCTTCGATGTGGCAGGTCAACACGCTTCTGCCCCGAGAGGAAACTCGCTCGTCAACATGGCGGAGATTGAGATCGCGCTTTTGCTATACAGTAGACTGCGGACCGATTTTCCCAACTATGACTTTACAGGCAAGATCGGCATCATTGTCACCTACAAAGCCCAGCTGAGGGAGATGAAGAATGCATTCATCAACAAGTTTGGGCAAGACATTGCTGACTTCATCGAGTTCAACACCACCGATGCCTTCCAGGGACGTGAGAGCGAGATCATCATGTTTTCATGTGTTCGCGCTAGCCCAGCTGGTACGATTGGATTTCTTCAAGACATCCGACGTATGAACGTTGGTCTCACACGAGCAAAGTCGAGTCTGTGGGTACTAGGAAATGCAAACACGTTGTCATCGGGAAGATACTGGAAGAAGCTGGTGGATGACGCGCGAGACCGCAATAATTACACGACAGGAGACCTCAAGAAGCTGCTTGGTCAGAGCAGTAAGAACTTCCCGGCTGGCGAGACTCCCGTCAGAAGTACAGCCAATGCACACGCTGCTGCCACCAAGCGACCCTCCTCTGTCGACGAGATCAAGCGAAAATCCGTTGATGCAGGGCGTGAACAGAATTCCCCTCCCGTGGCTTCTGAACAGAGGTCCAGTGTCCCAGACAAGATGGATGGCGTTCGATATCGCTTTGAAGATCGCATCGGCAAGAAGGCTGCGGATGCAAAGCCAGTGGACGAGGATATCGAGATGGAGGATGTTGCGCCTGATTACGAACCCGAGCTTGAGGCTCCCGCGCCCCTGAACGGCACTTCCGGATTGCAGCCTCCCTCGAACCTCAACGCGTTTCCTGCTCAAGATCAGTCATCCAGAGCATCATCGGATACTCCCTCCCATAGGACCGATCCAAAAGCCAAGACCCCCGCTTCGAGAGACGCAACACCAGCCTCCGAAGCTTCAAAATCCAACAGCGGCGCTTCAAGCGCCGTACCGCGTCCTGAGCAGCAGAACAAGCCGCCGCCAAAGATGGTCAAGAAGAGGCCGGCTGCTCCAAGCATGTTTATGCCGAAGAAGAAACCCGGACAGAGATAAAGTTAGCCTGACAGATAAGAGCATCACGAAGCTGGGCAGGAGGATGCCAGGATCCGCTATGTAGAGTAAGTAGAGCATTGCGGCCCAGGCGAATGTAGGTCGGGCCAGCAGGTTCGTCGAGTCGACATTGAGCAGGCCTTTGTACTGAACACTGACGAGGCGACTGGAATCCTGATGGGCTCTGTCACAATGCAAGTAAAGAAGGTGCATCTCTGACAACTCTCTCACAGGCCCGCTCAGAGGATGTCTTCCCGTTGGACATGGCTGCTTCGTGGACGATCCTTGGTGCTACAGTACACGCGCTCTCGTGGCAAGGGAAGTTCGGAAGCAGAAAAACGGTGCTACCCGTCTGGACTCTGATGCGTGTCGTTGCGATTGGCCTTGCCATTCAAAAGAGTTTAAGCCAGAATAGGCCAATGCGGGCATCTACTGCCCTCTCCCTTGAGTGAAGTTGAGCCTGTGCATCATGAACAGTGCTTCAGCGTGTAGGACAAACTTGCAAAAAAGGTCGCCGATTCCTGCTTCCGATTACAGCAGCAGCAGCGGGTCGCTGACAGTTGCCAGCACAATGCCGTGGACCAGGGCTTTACATGCCAGTATTTGCCTGATGGGAGTGCCACGGCAGACTTCAGTGTGATAGAACGCCCCTCGACTCTGACACATGCGTATCCTACGATCCTGTGAGATCTTGCAGAAACCTTCCGTTGGCCTTCTACAAGCGCTGGCGTGTATCATCGCCAAGACGTTTTGACACAACGCCAACTGTAACGTTCCTCAAAGAGCCGCGTGCATTTGCTCCACAGACTTGGCCTGAGGATCTTGACGGCTTCTCGGGTCGCACTTGGGTGAAGATGGATGTCACGTTACCGTCGCACGGGAGCTGCAGCGCGCTAGAGATGCTATGCGCCGGAGTTTCGCATCCCTGCTGCAGAGTGGAGCCCAGGCACGGTTTTGTGATACCTCACCTGCATCTTCGCCGATACATGTTATCCATCGCGCAGATGTTAGCTCCATTTCTCGATTCACCGCCCTGCTGCCTCCTCCCGAATCGTCCTCCTGTGGGCCTGGAGCTGGAGCAACAAGGCGAAAGAGACCAGGCGGGCATATTTCTGACATTCGCAGGCATTGATTTGTATTCAATCGCCTCTGTCAAATCGACATTGCTGCTGTCTCAGACAACAAATCATCCGGAGTGACGGAGTAGCGAGCACGGCATTCTAGCCTCGCATTTGACCGCTGATCTGGCGCGCTCCTCCAGTGACCTTGGGGCACCGCAGCGTGGGCCGCATTCGAGCAATCTTGTTTGCGGCCACGGATAATGGCGTACGAAGCTGCTGTGTCTGCTCTACTTTTGTTCCACAATTGCGTCCAGTGCGCTGCCACTGCTGAGAACGCCGTCTCCTTGCGCCTTTGTGAGAGTCAATTCGGTCACCTGGAAACCGCACGCCTTACTCTCCTGTTGTTTGGCTTGTGCTTTGCCCTCATACATGCACGCTCCCGCCTCGAGAAAAGTTTTCTGTCTTTGTCTTCGCTTGTCTTCGCTTTGCTTTGCTCGACTCTCGTTATCGTTCCCTCCTCGTCTGACATTCAGGATGCTGGTCGCCATGGCTTGGTCGACGTAGGAGCAGAAAATCACTGGCTGCGAGCTCCGAACTTGCAGCTGGCCAATGATCGACAGTACCTGGCCATCTCGCTGTACTTGTTCCCGTCCGGCATCGATTTGGATAACCACGCAGCATCTCCGTTCAGATGAAGGACCAGCCTGGTGAGCAAGCAATTGATTCCGGTCGCTCAGAGTCTCGTGATTAATCTGAAGCACGACGCAGGCAGCACAACATCCTTGTGGTAGATCCGACAACGAGGTCGTCCACACGACATCCACACGCTGTACTGCACGTTCTCTCCGCCCGAGAGTGCGTTGCAGACACACAGGCGCGTGTGCAATGCAACTCGCCGCTGCTCTGCAGCATCGCCATCCACCACCAGGCTTTGCCAACCACACTCCCCGCGAGTGGGAGATAACAGCAGTCTGCCCCGCGCAATCTCTTCCGTACTCGGATGACATGTTCGGACTTGGGCCTGGCATTGGCAGGACAGTTGGTGGTGCTGGTCCACCCTATACCGAGGCCTCAACCATGGGCCAGGCCCCATCATCAGCTCCTGCTACTAATGCCAAGTCAGACCATTTGCGCAAGGCGAGCTCCTCAGCAATTCTTCGCGAAGACTCTATTCAGCAGACTTTCGAGGACAGTCAGTGTCCAAGTCCAGCGACCGATTATACCCCTGCATTGTCTCGGTCGGATTCTTGGTCTATCCATTACGACTGCACGACCCAGGCACCTTACTCTAGTGCTTGCCCCGGTGGCGGGCCGTCTACCGTTGGCAATATGAACACTCAAACGAGCCTGACTCGCCTACCGAAAGACAACCCGTCTCACGATTTGGCCTACTTCCTCAAGAATACTGCTCCCCCACTCGCTCACAGGAAGCCACGGAGAGTACTGAGTGGCAGGACAGCTCTGCGTCTGTTGAGGAACGGCAGTGGACCTCAGAGGAAGCCGCGAAGCTCATTGATACAAAATGCTCATGACAGGCAAGTCACCGGCCACATCCATATCTTGTGTCTGACTGACTGTGGTCTCCAGACTCAACGGCGTTTTACGTGACGAGGGTGGACTGCTCCCTGGAAGCGTCCCGCGAAACTGTGAACAAAAGATATCATCTACTGGTGCGTGCCATGTGTCGAAAGCTAACGTTGACAATACTGACTGCACGATGCAGGAAAACGATATTTGGCGTTGGTGCCTGAGCAACCGGAGCTTGACGAAAGTGGCGATACGACAATGGAGTTCGATGAGCCTTCAATATTGAGGTACGTAGTATGAGTTTCGCATCAAACGCTCGCCAACCATTTACTTAGCCCAGACATCCTGGAATCGCGAGTGTCGGTCTGCTTCCACGACGATGTCACATCTGCGACTGACGACATTCTTGACAACTGGCTGTCGTCCTACGCCGATTCTTTGACGAAGCAGCAGACTCACAGTATCAGTGACCAACATACTATCATCAGCGACCGAAGCTCGAAACCACCTTCTAGTTTCCAAGATGTAGCTAGTCGTCTGTCCAGGCAACACCACTATTCAGACACACCGATACGACCGGCGGCGTCAGTCCCACCCAGTCCCATCCCCGAGTCGGCAATCTCCATGGCAGATTCGTACCACAGTAGTGTGTTTGATCGACCGCCTCCAAGGCTATCCTTTGACACTACAAGAGCACTGACTAGCCATCCGACATCTGCGAAAGAGGCGTCCCTGTCACGGTCGTCGAACGTCGCTCTGCCACACGAGGCTTTTCCTGTTAAGCACCCAAGTCCTGGAAAGGAAGTGCAGATCCGTCATCCAGTACCTCGTCGGCTAGGCAGTCACCCTGTACTTCTGCAAAGAGCTTCAAGCATAGCGTCAATGATGTACCAGAGGAGTCAGTCCGAACACAGGAGTTCTTGCGACAGCCCCGGACCTCCGCCTCCTCGGAGTCCGTTACGGTTGCGACGAGATCCTCGAACGATCGAGGGCATCATCTCAAATCACGAAAACTCGCGTGGAAGTACGGCTAGACTGGCGCCCAGTATCAAGTCTGCCAGTGAGTTCAATTTCGACGTTGAGCCGATTCGGGCTACAGTCACTACTGAGTGCTCTGGGCCCATCAAGCGCCCAAGATCACGAGGAAAGAAGGAGAGAGCGAAGTTACCTAGAGCCCCATATCCTAGTCCTCGCAGGGAACGCGAAGAGCGTGTCCGAGCACGCAAGCTTCGCGACAAGCCCTCCACGATCAGAGCGATCGATGCCGTGGTCAATGAGCCAGAGCAGAGCACCAAGCAACGTCTTAAGAAGATGAGACCAAGGATTCAGATTCCCACTCTGATACCACATCGAGCTACTTCGACAGCAAGCGATGCTTCGAGCTCCGCTAGTTACAAAAAGGTCACCCAGTCCACAGCGTCTCCTGTCTCACCCGTGCCCTCCCTGGCCAGTGAGATCTCGGAAGAAGATAACATGGGGTGCACTCCAATCTCTCCTACAGCATCAGCCGAAGTACAAAACATGCAAGCAGGTCTGCAGATGTCCCCGATGATGTTCGTGGCCGAGCAGGTACCAGTGCCGAAGACGACCAAAACTCCCTCTTCGCCCAAGCTCATCATGAGGGAGACGAAGAGTAGCTCCAAGGCGCCCTACAAGCCAAGGCCAAGGTCGGCCTCTTTACCGCGAAATGCTCTGAGACGTCGGAGTCGGCAGAGCGTCAGCAATCGCTCGTCACCACGGAGCAGTAGTCCAGTACTGCGGGCTTCATTCGACATCGTCTCCTCGGCCGATCTACCCTCGCCGCCACCCACGAGGGCTCCACCACCAACACCACCCCAATCAGTCATCGAAAAGCCCGCCGTCTCAAACATTGGCGCGAAACGCTCGGTCCAGGGCAAAGAACTCCCCACAGTCCCATCCTACGAAGTATCCCCCATCTCGACCTCCTCCACCAAAAAATTCCCACCCATCACCGCAGCACAGCGAAAACCCCACGCAGAACGTAACCAAAAACCAGAAAGCAGCATATCAACCAACCGAGCAGCTTCCCGAATCGACGCCCGATTAGAAGCACTCGAAAAGCAAAACGCCCTCTTATCAGCAGCTTTGATGGCAGTTCTGAAAACCAACGGTCAACACAATGGTCCTTTGGCAGAATTGGGAATCCAACAACAGCAGCAGCTAGAACCGGCTAAACCTATGGCGTGGGAGACGCGTGTGGCGAGGAGGAGTGAGGCTACAATGGCGAGTACGCATACGAATACTACTACGGCGAGTAGTAGTGGGAATGATAATGCTCTGGAGATGTATATGAGTACCAGACAGGGTCGACGGAGGCAGGAGAGGGGGGTGAAGTGAGGGGAGAGAGGTGCCTTAGATATTATGATGGGTGGAGGAGCAATCTTCTCGATTTTTTGCCTACCAGAGCGTAGTATCAGGTACTGCAGACGAAGATGTCAACGGCCGTCAATGATGAAAAGTAGGGATATAATCTTTAATATCATGTATCGTGCTGAATAACGGCGATGGTCGCATCGTAACATGGCTTTTTTACCTTTTCGTGCTTCTTCGAAGTTATTACATGGTAGGAGGTGTAACATCGTCCTTCTCGGCTGGAAGCATCCCTAGTTTCATGGCCCAATGCTTCTTTCCTGTTTCTTTGACGAGCTCGTCCGCGAGGAGTCTCCGTCGAAGATACGGTTTCGGGCCGGCTTTGACTTTGACGATCCGGCCATGCATCTGGAGGATGCCTGTGTAGCTGTTCGCGATGCCAATCAAAGCAACAGACCCAAATAGCAGACCCAGCAGCACCAATTTGCCTTCCTGGCGCGCATTGCCCGCAAGTGCTGCGACCAGGTAGACAAGTAAGGTCGCGAGGGCCGTTATGCAGTCATCAGTGGCTGTTGGATCTTGCAACCAAGTGCCCGAAGTGACAGCCTTCACATCGTCCGTGGGTCCCTTCATCCTGACCCATCTATCTTGACTGAGCAATATCAGAAGATCGCTCTTTTCATTTGGCTCTGGAGCACCAAACCAGCAGGGTCGCGATCTTTGTCGAACGACGAAGACATTGCATGCGCGGGCGAAGATCAGAATTCCGAGAGCACCGAGTGCCCACCAATCCTGAAGTAGAACGAAGATGGCCAAAGAGCAGATTGTGAGAAGCACTGCAGCCAGGTATGCTGAGGATGCGAATAGTGAATTCGTGTGAGGGTTGTGTATTGCCGAGAGAGCTCGTCGCCAGCCAGAATCCGAATAATTCGTATGTGATACTTCGAGTGTTGTCAAATGGCCGGTCTTGCCTAAAGGTAGCAAGACAATGGTAAGCCTAGATTTCCAGAATATCTCTGCTTCGCAGCTTGGGATGATTTGCTCCACAAACCCCGGAGCCCACATGTGTCATTGAGAACAAGTAAAGTAGATATCATCTGATGATGGCTGTACGTACCGACTTTCTGTAAATAGAAGACCATGGCTTGGTTCTCCACACGGAATACATAGCCAGTCGTCATGGCAGCACATGCTGGATACTCGCCATGGTTGAGATCTACGGCGGTCTGCTGGCGATGGAGGCCAGGAGCGATCACAAACATGTCCAAAAGAGAGGACGTTCCCGTCAAAGCAGTCCGCTTTGCTAGAGTGCTGAGGTCTGCGAGAGCAACCAGCCCGGCTGCATCGAGGGATATCCGCCAGTCAGTCGGTGCTCGTAGCGCCATTGTGCTTGGGTGGTGCCAGAGATCCTTTTAAAGCAGTACAGCTTTGCGTGTCAGTCTCTCTTTGAATTTGGGGATCGCGCTTGAGGTTTGTAGCAATCTCTCTAGATCGTGTTGCAGGTGACATATGTTCACTGTTCACATCAATCGTGGGCATTGCGACGAGGCGCAGTGTTTCCCTCACACTTTGCATGCAGCCTACACAGCCACCACTTGCAAGGCTGCACAGGGCAGTGTGTTGTGCAGCCTCCTGCTGCATATAGTGGCGATTGAAGTTGATGAAAAGATCTCCATCAGTGAGCTGAATATGGTCTGTGGCCACCGATCTGGAACTTGTCTCATAGACTTGGTTCTGGTCGAGTGGTCAAGTCGTGGAAAGTGCTGATCAGTTATTGGTCCCGGGCTCGACCGGCACTAGGCTATGTCGTCGACAGGCATGTTTATTTTCACAGTTGGCTTTATCGGATGTGCATCTTCTTGTGCTTTTCAAGCGAATACCCATCAATAGGCGATACGCAGTCATGCTTGGGACAGTAGCAAGACAAATACTGTAGCAAAGAGCTGTAAGCTACAATCAACAGGTCGTCGTTGTTGTTCGAGACGCGTCTGTAGCGAAGAGATGAAGGAGAATTGAGGGATGACTAAGGCGCGATACATTGCGCATTTACGGATCCGGCTTCGTGTAGAATACATATCCTCGGATACATGCCGAACTTCCCCTCAGGACGCTTGATGTGCTTGATGTAGCAATGACTTATGCAGGCACTCTCCATGCATTCGCTGCGATATTCCTCCAGCATGGAAGAGTCTGCGAACTGGAAAGATAGGGGCGCATTACAGAATATAGACATGTTCTTACCGCTTATGCTCGCGAATTACCCCAGGCGCGTTCACATGCCGGTGAGGTCATGCAGCCGCTTGCCGCGGTTAGCACATGCTGGCATGTGATGTGCATCTGTCTGCTCGTGTCAAGCTCCAGTCTCTCGTGTCTTCGTGTCTGCAACTACAACCGCGCACAACAGTGCGCCGTCTGTCTTCTCATCACCACCATCTACAGACGCCGCCATCATGTCGACCCTCCAGGCTTTACAGGTAAACCCGCACACCACCAAACAACCATACCATCCACCAAACCACCCACTAACTCCTCACCATCACAGTCCTCCCTCGAGAAAATCGTCCTCGACCCGCAATACAAAGCCCCCCTCACCCTCCTCAAAGCCATCCGCAATGGCGCCGTCTACGGCACCAAAGTCCGCTTCCCCCACGCCCTCGTCATGATCTTCCTCTTCCGCTCCGGCACCCTCCGCGAAAAAATCTCCCTCGTCCTCAAAGCCACGCGCCAACACGCCAGTAATCTCGCCCGTTTCGCCCTCCTCTACAAAATCGGCATGATGCTCCTCCGAAAAGCCAACAACGGGAAAGAGGCGCCGTTGCATAGCTTTTTGTCTGGTTTACACGGCGGATACTGGGTTTTCGGACACGGAAAAGGAGCGTCGAGTAGTGTGAATCAACAAATTGTGATTTACGTTTTCGCGCGTGTGATTTTGGGATTGGCGAAATTGGCGATTCAACCTCCGGGGAATAATGCTTTGGTGGGGAGTCAGTATGGGGGCCACGGCGGGAAAGGTTTCCTGCAATTGACCGAGGAGCAGAGGGCGCTGGTGCAGAAATATAGCTGGCCGGTTTTCGCCAGTTTGAGTTGGGCGAGTGTGATGTGGTTGTTTGAAGGGTATCCGGAGACGCTGCAGCCCAGTTTGAGGAGCAGTATGACTTATATGTACGTTGAGAGTGAGATTTCTTTTGTTTTTGGTTTTGTTTCTGCTGCGCTTACTGAATTTTTCGTCTTCTTTGCTGCTTTCTTCCTCCCTTCTTGTTTTTCTCCCCCTTCTTTTGTTATACGGCTCTTTCTGCTGCGTTCCGTGCTTCTTCGCGTTCGCGATATTCTACTGACACAGGGGCTGACGAGACTTGTACCCTGTGTAGATACGCCAACGCAGAAAAATGGGACTCATTACGGAACTTTGCATTACACAACAAATGATGATGCAGAAGAAGACAGAAAGAGAGAAGAACACACCACCAATCACGAGTTTCCTGCTGCATATCGCACTGCATTTAGCGTGGAGTTGTTGTTTGCCTTTTTTCACACTACAAACACCAGAGCTGTACATATCTTGCATCTGTTCTCATGCATATTATTCACATTTGGAAAGATCATTCTTTGATGCACACACGCTCTGTCTTGGGCTTCCACTGACGAATGCTTCTCTCTCAGCTTCGCCAACTCCGACCATTGGCATAGTCTGGACTCGTTCATCTGGCAGTACAGTCGCCCCGTCATCCCAGGACCTGCTGGCCTGAACACCTAGTCATGCACCAGCAGATGTTGTTGCGATATGGGGATACGAGACGTGGTGCCTGTCGATTGATAGAGGTTTCTTTGGGTCAGAGGTTGTAAACGGGTGGAAATTCGTCCTAGATGGGCCTTTGCATTTTTTCTCTCGCGTTGTGGAAAAGAAGCATTAGCTACTGGCCAGTGCTTGATCTATTCATCTAGACTAAAGAATTTTGGGAGTGCCCTTGTGCGGCCTATAGAGCTACAAACAACCAAGTGTCATACACATCATGGCCATGGAAAACCTTCGTTGCAGGCAGTCTCACCATCCATCGTTGTTGCCAGTCTGATTGAGCTGAGGATCATTGTTACCCCAATGCTGCTCAGACGCGGCCGATTTATCAGCATTGACTTCACCTTGTCCAACTTCCTGCCAGCCGTCGTTATTTTTGCCATTGACGTTGCTCACCGAGTCCGAAGGCTTGAGCTCGCCTCCGCCTACCTTCGAACCGCCCCTGGAAGCCGATTGCCCCAGGGAGATCTTTGAACCCTTTGCAGAAGACGGGCCTAGTGTTTGCCTTCTCATCAGCTCGGCCACCAGTTCATCCTTGGGAAGTCTCATTAATTTCTCTTGCTCGACCTCGTGCGCAGCTTTCTGGATATTGCTCGTATCGATCTTGCGGCCTAGGATCTTCTCCAGAGCAGGTTTGCTGCGGTACTTGAATGTGAAGATGGCGTAGGGTTGCTGCATCGTGTCGAGGTATTCCGGTCGATGAAGTTTGTGTGCATAGTTTGCGCCTCTTCCGGCTTGTACTCCGTGGCTGACGCTCGGGGCTTTGCCCGCTGGTGCTGCAATTGAGGGTGGTGCAGGGTAGACATAAGCGTCTCGTGGCTGCGCCCGGGGTTTTCGCTTGTCATCCGGTCGTGTTGCCCAGTCGCCCCAGTAGGGCTTGATGACAGGTCGAAGCGCTGATACTGTGGTTGCAACGTCGGAGTGCCCCTTAGGGTCGGCGCCATCGTTGCCCCAGCCGCCAGCTTGTGATGCCCCCTTCTTTCGCCCACCAGCACTGGCAGCTTTCCGTTCGTTGCCCCATCCTCCGCCTTGATTGTCTTTCTGCTCGTTGCCCCATCCTCCTCCGCCTTGGTTGTCGTTCTGATCATCGCCCCACCCTCCGCCTTGGTTGTTGTCCTGCTCATTACCTCCTTGATCAGGTTGATCATTGTCCTGCTGTTGATTCCAATCATCAGCGTCAGCTTGATCCTGTAGTGGTCGTTAGTGTGTGCGTGCCAAATCCTGCAGGAGACTCACATTGCTGTTGTCGTTGTTGGCATTGTCCCATTCCCCACCATCGCCGTTGTTGGCTTGGTCAGCACCTCCGCCTCCGCCGCCGCCCCAGCCATCATTCTGGTCATTATTTCCGTTGTTCTCCTGATTATCGCCGTTCTGTTGTTGGTTCCAGCCATCCCCGGCTTGTTGATCACCATTAGCTGGCCAGCCTCCACCTCCCTGATTCTGACCATTATCCTGGTTCTGGCCATTACCATCAGCCCAGGCATCGTTGCCGCCCCCTTGCTGGCCCCATGTTCCGTCACCTTGATTTCGATTGTCTTGCTGATTGTTCCAACCATCCCCGCCGTTGTTCGATTTCTGTGGACTATCACGCGCGGGTGTTCCCCATGTATTGCCTTGTGTCCACTTAGCTGTGCCGTCGATATCTTGATTCGAGTTCTGAGTTCGGGTGGGAGTCCGCCAGACATCGTTCGAAGCTACTCGCTGGTTCTGCTGCTGGCGCTTTCTCTCTGCAAGACTGCCCCTGTTGTTTCCACTGCCCATGTGTTTCCCACTACCCATAGGTTGCCAGTCATCATCGACAGGTTCTGCAGGGCGAGACGCTGGTGTAGGCAATGGCGTGGCCAGGTCGATTCGCATTTCTGGCAGAATGCGCTGCTGGTGCAGAAAGCCACGTACTCGCTGATAGTCCTGGTTGTCCATGGCTCGCATGCACGCGTCGATCGATCTATACAATCCGGAAATCTCATCATTCAGGTTTGCGATCTCTTGAGCTTTCCGCTGCAAAGTGGAAGTCATGCTTTGGAAGACTTGCGGATCTCTGCGATGCGCGATAGCCTCTTGCTCCATGATCAGATGCTTCTTGGCGTGGTCACTGCCCTGCGCAATGAGAAACTCGATCTGCTTGGCCGACTCCTCGATGAAGATAAAATCACCTCTCTCGGCATTCGAGTCCAGGGATGGCGCATTGGAGCGCCTAGGCTGCACATCGAGACTTTCGTCTACGAAGCGTGGCGGAAAACGGTCCAGTGCCGGAACGTGTCGGTACAAGCCCTGGCGAGCATCCCAGTGGTAATCAGGCGGTTGTCGGCGTCTTGTTGCGTGGCGATGGGTGTCACGCCCGTAATCGCCTCGATCTTGGTCGTTCACACCATCGAAGGTCAAGAACGAATCGTCTGATGCTCCATCAAACAAGCCAAACAAGCCGCCCATCGGATCCGCTTCCGAAGGCGCTTTCGATGGCGCTTGAGCAGGTGCTTTTGTAGCTGACACTTTGGAGGGTGCTTTTGAGGGTCCCTTGGCTTCAGGTCTGCTTTCGTTGGTGGCTTGCACAATGGTCGCAGGCCGAGAATGAGAGCTCTTGTCTGGCTGCACATTGATGGCTGTGTGCGCTGGATCGATCGCATCGTGGCGACCGCCGCCATCTTTGCAGCGAAGAATGACGACTTCTATGGTGCCCACGTTCTGCGCGTAGCTTGAACTGTGGTCAGGCGTGCGGTCTGCAATGACATTACTGTTAGTAAAACAGTCAGGAGGGGGTGTAGTGTAGAGAGAGTGACCTGTCTTTAGTTGCGCAAAGGTCCATTCCCGTGCCACGAACAGTCCGTCGGACGTCTTTTCCTCCTTCTGTCGAAGCGTGAAGTCGACCTCGTACTCATGCGGATCCACTTGAGAGTCAGGAGGTGGCATGGCCAGTTTCTGCCGATTGCGGTTGCATTGGTACGCGCCATCCATGAACACATAAGCAGCCAATCCAGGGGCTATGTAGCCGCTCGAAGTGACTCGAACGCGGAATGGGATTGGAGCATCGGGGATGGCGACGAAAGCCTCGACGCCGCCGTCGGTGTAGGTGTGGCCATACTCCTTGAGGCGAGTGTTGGTGCCGACTTCGAGCGAGCAGCTGATCTGCTTGAGTGTCGGCATGGCGATGGCCTGTCGAGGTCTAAGTTAGATGCGGGTGCATCAGTGCTGGAAAGTAAGTGAACTGTCCGGCTGGAAGTCAGTATTGTTTGCCTCGCCAGTGCGCGTCAGGCAAACATCGACGTCAACGGTCGCGCACGAAGCTCAAGATGCGTATGGGCTCACTCGATGCCGCACCAGCACATGCAAACTGCTTCAGGCAAATGCTCTCTGCAAACTGCTCTGCCAAGCGCGTGAGAGTACGATGCTATACCAGAGATGAAGCTCGCGGAAGGGCGAAGAGCGTGAGGACTGCGGACGTAGAGCATCGCTGTCGTCCTTCGCTTGAGCTCCCGTAGATTGCATGACGCTGTGCAGCTGCCATGCTCGATGATAGCGCTCAGCAGCGACAAGACAGATATGGGAGGTGTATGCGATGCGTGGGACTGCGGTGAGCGGCGGAGAAGGAGAAGGACTCGAGCTGCAGGCAAGCGCGGAGATGGCCGACGACACGCATGCCCACCTGCAGCTCACGTCCACATCCAAGTCGCGCATTTCTTTCACGTCGCCCGTGACCCATTCCGCTGTCCCGTACCACGCGCCCACTCCTCACCGCCCGCCTTGCCTCACGAAAGCGTGTCGTCTCTCGCCATCACCCTGTGTGTCGGGTGTTTGTGTGCTACACCCGCCCAAACAATCCACGATGCAACGGAGCGCCATGCCTTCATCGTTTGCACCTCACCATATAGCACATGGTGAGGATTCCGACGACAGCGATTTTGGAGAAGCTGCGCTTTCCTCCGAAGACGCCGGCAGTGACAACGGCGAAGCATCCCACGCCTCACAACCCCAAGGTAGATCATCACAACGAGCAGCCGTGGCGGACGGGGGAGACACAGGCGCTGCAGCTGCCTTCGACGACTCTTCTGCTGCGCCCGAGGGCATGCTGTTGCGTGACAAGCAGCGCCGCACCACCCACTACAATTACCAGCTGGAGAAACAGATGTCTCATGTCGAGGCCAAGCAGTTCTATCAACAGCAGCGTCAAAACACGCTCGACGAACACAACCTCTCTGCCAGTCCCGTCACTGGCACCAGTCCGATCCTCAGAGCAAAGACGTTTTCAAGCCATCCCGGAGCAGATCCTACTTCTCTCACGAGGTCTGGCAGTCTAAAGAGTAGGCAGAGCACTTCCACATACAAAGAGCCTGCGCAGACAGGATACAAGTCCGCCCTCCCCGTCGGGCTTAGCGATCCTCGTAAGCATCCTGATAGCTCTACAATTCAGTCTCCCAGCATCGGCAGATTCGACGGCTTTCAAAATGCAAGATCAAATTATGCCGCAGACGAGGAAAATCTGCTCGAGGCAGATCGGGCCGCTCGTGCACACGCACTGCATCCGGGCTTGCCCCACGAAAATAAACCTCTACTCGAGCAGGAAGGCATTCACGGCGCCGGTGCAGGCATAGGCCAAGATGCTGCGAATGATTCCAGCGTAACTTCCGAACTCAGTGCCATCTACTCAAACATCCAGAAAATACTCGATCTGAGGCACAAATATATCAGGTTGTCGTTGCAAGGTCCGTCCGACAATCCTCGCGATGAGCCCGGCTGGAACCTATATCCGCCGCCTCCTGAGCCTGTCTGGTACGAGAACAAAGAGCGCAATGCCCAAAATAGCGACCCGAACGGCGATGCCGATGCGAAGACTCCTACCGCCTCGAGCGCCAAGCCGAAAAAGCCTCAGAGAAAGATGGGCCAGGACATTGGCGAAGACTTTGACTTCGAAGAATGCCTTCCGGTCCCTGACGCTTCGGAAATGACTTTCAAGCTCGACCAGGGTGGAGTGTACCAAGTATACGAGACTTCCAAGTCTGCAGAACTCGGTGAGCCGATTCTTCACATTCCCACAATTCGCGAGTATTACATGGATCTCGACAGCATCCTCGCCATCAGCTCAGATGGACCAAGCAAGTCATTTGCGTATCGTCGCCTGCAGTACTTGGAAGGCAAGTTCAATTTGTATGTGCTTCTCAACGAATATCAGGAAGTGGCAGATACCAAAGCCGTGCCGCATCGTGACTTCTACAACGTGCGAAAAGTGGACACTCACGTACATCACTCGGCGTGCATGAATCAAAAGCATCTGTTGCGCTTCATCAAGAGCAAGATGAAGAAGTGTCCGGATGAAGTAGTGCTCTTCCGAGACGGCGAATACTTGGCCCTTAAGCAAGTGTTCGAAAGTATCAACTTGACCGCCTACGACCTAAGTATTGACACACTGGATATGCACGCCCACACAGATTCTTTCCATCGCTTTGACAAATTCAATCTCAAATACAATCCCGTGGGAGAGAGCAGACTGCGAACTATCTTCTTGAAGACCGATAACCACATACAGGGCAGATACCTCGCTGAGCTCACCAAGGAGGTCATTTCTGACCTGGAGAGCAGCAAGTATCAAATGGTCGAATGGCGCATCAGCATTTACGGGCGCAGCCTGGACGAATGGGACAAGCTGGCAGCGTGGGTCGTAGACAACAAATTGTACTCGCCCAACGTCAGATGGCTGATTCAAGTGCCTCGTCTGTATGATGTGTACAAGGCTGCTGGTACCATGGAGACGTACGAAGAAGTCTTGCGGAACGTCTTTGAGCCGCTCTTCGAAGTCACCCAGGATCCACGCAAGCACCCAAAGCTTCACGTTTTCTTGCAGCGCGTCATTGGATTCGATTCTGTCGACGATGAGAGCAAAACCGAGCGACGAATCTACCGAAAATTCCCGCTGCCAAAAGACTGGGACACAAAGCAGAATCCTCCGTACACGTACTGGATCTACTACTTGTTTGCAAACATCGCTTCGCTCAACGTCTGGCGCAAACAGCGTGGCTTCAACACTTTCGCTCTGCGGCCACACTGTGGTGAAGCCGGAGACACCGACCATTTGGCGACTGCGGTGCTGTGCTGTCATAGCATCAGTCACGGCTTACTACTTCGTAAAGTGCCTCTTTTACAGTACATTTTCTACTTGGAGCAGATTGGTGTCGCGATGAGCCCGCTGAGCAACAATGCTTTGTTCCTAGCCTACGAGCGGAACCCCTTCTTGCAATACTTCCGACGAGGCCTGAATGTCAGTCTTTCGACGGACGATCCTCTGCAGTTCGCCTTCACGAAGGAGCCTCTGATTGAGGAATATGCTGTGGCTGCCCAGATCTACAAGCTCTCGGCTGTGGACATGTGTGAGCTAGCAAAACATTCTGTGCTGCAATCGGGCTTCGAGCACGTCATGAAACAGAGATGGCTCGGTAACAATTGTCACCTTCCTGGCGTGGCGGGTAATGATATGGCAAAGGTCAATGTGCCAAACATTCGTGAGGCTTTCCGTCATGAGACCTGGCTCCAGGAGCTGGCTATGATTGATCGCTACACAAACGCTCCTCCCGGCCGCCGCCTAAATTCGACAACTCTTCCACCAGATGTTCAATCGAACACTGGGCCACCTAGTCCGACTGCCAGCATGATGACGCACCCATCGGCCACCAATCCTATGCACGGTATTGATGCTTCCAATCACAAGCCCGGAACTTCCACCTATGCTAATCCGAACACCATAGCGACGCCTCGAATTTACCAAACCAATGCTCAAACAGCGCGACTCTCGAAGCTCGACATAGGCCAAGCTCACCCAGATGGCGCAAATGGACTTCAGCGCCAAAGCTCGCTCAACCATATGAACGATTCTCCCACAGCATACCAACCCCCTATTGATGTTCCTCCAATGCCCTCGGCCTCATCCTCCACAACACTACAGCCCGTCCTTAGCAGCAGTACCCTGGCCGGCCATGAGCCAAGAATGTTTCCTGGAGTTATGAGCCGTCGCAGGAAGAGCTCTATCGCCAAGGGCGGCGTATCTGGTGAGGATTCAGGCGATTGTGGACTGGAGAGAAGCACAGGCAGTCTTTCAGGAAACATGACCAGAAGCACTGGAGAAGAGGGGCTTATGATGGGATTGGAAAGAAAGAATACGATCGAAGAGGCCGCCAAAGAGGAGGAGTCTCCGCACAGGAGCGAAGAGTAAGCGGATTGGCATGCACCGACAGTACACATGCACCTCACAGACTGATGATTATGATGGACGATAGAATGGATGGTCGGGAATGTTGTATCATTTAGGAAGATGACACGAGACTAGATGTCATGAGATGTTGTTTGAGGCATGCTTTTGGCGCGGCTAGGATCTCGCTCTGAAAGTTCTAGAATGTATCAGTGGAATAGAGATGGAGTTCTGGTGGCGTGAATGACCAAGAAACTAGAGAACCAACACTATAGCTGTATCTGTACTTGTTGAGATCTTGAATCTGCCGTTTCCAGGTAGAGTGATCCCACACTATGACCGAATATCTTCGTCCTGTCTATCTTCTGCTTACTTGTGCCTGTATCCCCCCAAACCCCTCCCCTCATACCACAAAACGCCATCCTCAATCCCTCATGCACCCAACACACACCAAAATCCACTGATCTAATCACCACTATTAGGATAATTCCCCTTCCCCACCGGATTCGCCGGTCCCCCCCTCTGTCCCAAAACCCCTCCCACATCCACATTATGCTGTTTTTCCGCTTTAATCGCCTCTCGTGCAGGCGCCTGTTCCGCTTTCTTCTTCTCGATATCCGTCTCGAGACCGGGTTCTTTCCCTGAGGCGCCTGGTTTTTTCTGAACGGCATTTACGACTTTTCCTTCGCCGGGGGCGCCCATTTGGGCGGCGTCGAGTTCTTGGGAGTCGAGGTCGGATTGGGATTTGAAACCGCGGGTTTCTTCGCCGGGGGGTGCGCCGCGGACGCCCCGGGCTACGGAGGTGGGGGTTGCTTCGGATTCTTGGGCGACGCGGGAGGTGGAGCGGTGGGCTCTGGAGGGGAGGTGGAGGGTTAGTGGGTGAGAGGTGGGGAGAGAGGGAGGAGGGGTGAGGTTTACACGGCGTTGTCTTCGTCGGTTAGGGCATTCTTTTTGGCTTGGGCTTCTTCTCTTTCGCTCTTGTCGGTGGGGTTGCCTGCGGTTTCGTAGGCGTGTTGGAGGTTGGGTTGGCTAGGCCCTTCAGGATTGAGTCCGTCGCTCATGGTGAAGGTTCCTTGCTTGTTGGTTGTTGTAGATTTCTGAGAATAGCAGTTCAGCATATGTGAAGACCTGAGTCAGATCAGATTGTGAAGATGTAAAGTAATGAACTGAATTCGGTGGAGCAACTTTTGAGAGCTGCAGTGCATGTAACGCATCATCCCACCTCGAATTCACATTGATCGACGTCACCGTCATCGTTACGTGCATGTGAAAGCAGATCCCACCTCTCTCCCACCTCATGGCACAAACTTCGAAAGTGCATTCGACAACAATCACACGACCATTTACCAACAGCAAATCAGAGTAAACAAGATGGCCTCCAACATGTCGCGCAAAGAAGTTCTGGGCAAGGTGTTCAAGATGGTGCCGCCGATGCTGGAGAAGTTCCACAAAGGTACACAAACGTGACCACAATGCGTTATGCCCGAAATGGTCAATAGCTCACATATTGCGCGATACAGGTCAACTCGGACGTGTTGCTGTTATTGGAGGTAGTGAAGACTACACTGGAGCGCCTTACTTCTCAGCAATGGCTTCTGCGAAGCTGGGAGCAGATATGGTTCGCAGAAGACCCCCTCAAGCATGTACATTCGATCCAAAACTAACACTCAAAATAATAGTCTCATGTCATCTGCGAGCCTGGAGCCGGCGCCGTGATCAAGACATACTCTCCCAACTTGATGGTCCACCCATACATGCGCCAACAAAAAAACCTCGCAAAAGATGAAACCATCGACAGCATCGCCGACCAAGTCGTAGCAATGCTCGATCGTCTCCACGTCGTCGTAATCGGCCCCGGTCTAGGACGCGATCCCGTCATGCAAGAAACCTGCGCTCGCGTCATCACAGAAGCAAAGAAGCGGAACATTTCTTTCGTCTTGGATGCCGATGGGTTGTATTTGGCTCAGACCCGACCGGATCTTGTACACGGGTACAAAGATTGTATTCTGACACCGAATGTTGTTGAGTTTGGACGTTTGGCGAAGAGTCAGGATATTGATACTACGAAGGAAGATCCGACGAAGCTTTGCGAGAAGCTCGCAAACGCGTTCGGTGGTGTTACGATTATCCAGAAGGGTGCTGTGGATTACATCTCCAATGGAAAGCAAACCCTCATTTCAGACGGCGAGGGCGGCCTCAAGCGTTCAGGAGGCCAGGGAGATACTCTGACCGGATCACTGGCAACACTACTGGCGTACCGCAAGGCATACTTGGAGAGAATCTGGGACCACGAGAACGATATGTCCGCTGACGAGCTCTTGACTTACGTGGCATATGGCGGTTCGGCCATTACGCGAGAGTGCTCGAGACTGGCGTTCAAGGAGAAGGGCAGAGCATTGCAAGCTTCTGATCTGACGGAGCATGTCCACACTGCTTTCTTGGATGTCATTGGCGAGAAGCCGACTGATGAGGCAAAGCTCTGAGCTATGAGAACGGGACGAGGAACGATTGTATAATTAGGCATGAACAAAAGCATAGCGGGGCGCGTATGTCCGACGATTGAAATGAAAGCTGCGGCAATACATAATTGGGACACCCTTTTGATGCACGCTTTTTTCGTGTAAAGGGTGCGTGGGATATTGATCTCATGCTCTGCAGCACAATTCAGTGCTTTACACCCCCCATGCAAAGACTGCCATCAATGTATCTCTTCAATTATATGTATCATGAAATAAACAACGCTTCTCGGCCAATCTGGCTATGGTGTTTCGACGATGATACATATTTACAGCCCCTGTCATTGGTATCTTTACATAATCCGAAGCTAGTCTCGTGCGGCGCACTTGACGAATATAAGCTTACAACCCGTGGCCTCTAAGCTGATGCGAGAACGCCTTCGCGTCTTTGTATATCATGGTCACAATGTGGGTGTGTTCTGCGTATGGCACTGGTTGCAACTATTGTCGTCCCTCAATCTCCTCGATGCTTTTGATCCTCACTTCTTTAATTCTCAGAATTGTGAAGCGATGCTTGCTCTTGACTTTTCGTACATGCCTTTGCCGTCTCTTCGTTTTCTCCTTGATCCTCAATGGTTCGCTCTCCACTCCCATCACTACTGCCCTGCATTCGAATAACCGGTCATCGATATAGGAGAACTTGCCCTTTGCAATATGAGGGATGAAGTGTGGAACACCCTCTGGACCTTCGGCCGCGTGGTCTCCCAGCATTGTCCTTGAATGGCTGGCTAACGAGCCCGTGGTGGGGTCCAAGGTAGAAGAAGTGTTCTTGGTTGGGCTTTTGAGCTTTGGAGTTGATGCTGGGGCCTTCAGGGTATAGTCTCGGCTACCCAGATTGACGGCGCGGTCAAGACGGAGAACATCGCCTGGCTCCACGCCATGCATGTGAAAAGGCAGACGGACAGTGTCTCCTTGTGTCAAGAGATAAGGATTTCCATGGATATGTGCGGTGATATAGTGCGGACCTTGCGACTGTAGGAGCGGAAGCAGTTCGCGCGTCGTCTCATCGAGTTTGAGTGTGGCTGATGCTGCGCTTGGGCCCTTCGCATTGGGGCGTATGGGCAGCTGGGTAGATGATGTGCGCTGTTCACTCTGCGCTTGCTTGATCGATGCAGGCGGCGGAGGCGGAGGTGTCGAATCGATGGCGGCATTGGCCACGGTGCTGAGCCCAGCGGTCCATGGCAGCAGGAATGTCGGCGGCAGCGAGGGCCCAGTCTCCTTGAGCGCTCGTCGCAGCGTCCTGGAGAGCATCTTGCAAAGCGTTACAGATGGATCGAGCGGAGTCTGTCGCTGGAGACGCGCTGCGATGAGGCTAACGGCTACAGCGCCAAGGCCAGAAGCGAAGAAAGTTCAAGGACCCTCCAGCATTCTTTCCTCCACGCCACGCCACACGGGCAGGCTGCAACAACACCTTCTCCCCAACCGCTGTCGTCGCCATGCCTCAGAACGAGTATATCGAGCGCTTCACCAAGCAGCATGGTCGCCGCCTCGACCATGAGGAGCGCACCCGAAAGCGCGCCGCCCGCGAGGGACACAAGGCTTCCGAAAATGCGCAGAATCTGCGTGGTCTGCGCGCAAAGCTGTATCAGCAGAAGCGTCACAAGGAGAAGATCCAGATGAAGAAGGCGATCAAACAGCAGGAGGAGAAGAATGTCAAATCCGCCGAGCCCGCCGAGCCAGCGAGCAAGCCTCTGCCCGGTTATCTGCTCGACCGAAGCAACTCCACCAATGCGAAAGCCCTCAGCTCTGCGATCAAGAACAAACGTACTGAGAAGGCCGCCAAATTCAGCGTTCCGCTTCCCAAAGTGCGAGGAATCAGCGAAGAAGAGATGTTCAAGGTGGTCAAGACGGGCAAGAAGACTGCGAAGAAGAGCTGGAAGCGCATGATCACCAAACCCACATTCGTTGGACCCGATTTTACAAGGAGACCTGTCAAGTACGAACGCTTCATTCGTCCTATGGGTCTACGATACAAGAAAGCCAATGTGACGCATCCAGAGTTGGGTGTTACTGTGCAACTGCCGATCATCAGTGTGAAGAAGAATCCACAAAATCCAATGTACACGCAACTTGGAGTTCTGACCAAAGGAACGATTATCGAGGTCAACGTGAGCGAGTTGGGTCTTGTCACAGCAGGAGGCAAAGTGGTATGGGGTCGTTGGGCACAAGTGACCAACAACCCAGAAAATGATGGCACCCTCAATGCCGTCCTGTTGGTGTGAGCAATTCTCTACAACTGCTCGACGCGCTATTCAACTCGATCTACGATCGAAACGTCCCACCAGGCGCACTTCTTCGACCGCGGTCAGCTCCGGAAGGGAGCACTTTATAGACCCATCTATTCTTCTTGTCAAGATCAAGGAGATGTGTGATGGACGGCGCTTCGACTGGTTTGCAACGAACATGGCTCAATCATTCGCCCGCGTTGCGTACCCAGTCAGCCGCCAAGCAGACCTTTGGAGTCAGGAAGACAGGCGACACATGAGAACCCGTTGAGTGGCGTTCAAGGAGAGGTCCTCTCACCAAGCTGTCCAGTGATAGAGCGCTGTGATCTGTACTTTTTGTCGCCTCAAAAGGTTGAAAATCAAAAGCACCCCTGCCGCCATCACGTGGTATAAGAGGACGCACGGCACAGCATGAAGAAGAGCTCACACTTACACGGCTCACAAAAGCATTACATGGCATGGTCATCAGTAGTTAGAACGAAGAAAATGTCAATGCGAAGGCGCAATGGAAAATGCGTTCTAATCACTTTTGTGTCCTGTTCTACAGCGTGCTTTCTATATGCTTGCGCTTCAGTCGTCCAGCTTGACATAGTTTGCAGGGAACAAGCCAGCCCGGCCATTGTACTCGCCAGACCACCAGTTCTCGTCGGGGAATTCCTGTGTCAAGTTAGTCTCTGTTGTGTATAGATGGTAAAATGGATTTGAACTTACAACGTTGGTGATTTTGGCGCCGTCTGGAAAGCTGAGCTCGTTCTCCTCTGCTGCCTCGTAGTCATACTCAGCTGTAGCCGTCGGTAGCGCGCTCTGTTGTTGTTGCTGAGGAACTTGCTGCACTGGAACAGGCGCAGCGCTCTCTTGCGCACCAGCGCCACCCTCGACAAGTTCCACATAGTTGCTTGGGAAGAGTCCCTTCTCTCCTTTGCTGTTCTCGCCCATCCACCAATCATCATCGACCATTTCGATGTTGGTGATGCGTTCGCCCTCCTGCAGCGCAATTTCATTTTCTTCATCCTTCTCGTAGTCATATTGTGCGATGGCCTCATGGCCTCCCGCGACTCCAGCCCCTCGCGGATCTTCAGCGTGCCCGAAAGTGGCTGCAGCGGCTGCTTGTGCTGCACCTCGTGATGGATCGTGATCGGCGACTTGTGGTTCTGGTTCAATATCTTGATGCTGCGAAGCTACCTTTGCCAAAGACTCATCAGGGACCGCCCGAGGAGGTAATTGCTCAGCAGGCTCGATAGGATCCGCGCCTCGCCCAACAGGCATGGCGATTCGAACAGGGGAACCTTGTGGCAGAGAAGCAGCGTTGTCGTCGTCCTCATCTTCGTCTTGTGGAACTCCTCGAGGCGGGGGCGGAGGGAGATCTTGGTGCTGGGCAGCAGGGACTTCTTCCGACGATGGCTGTGGCAGGCCTGGGATGGGAACGCCGCGTGCACCGGCGTTTGGCTTGCTCGATGTGTCGAGCGGTGGCGGTTCTGGTGCACCACCAGTGTTCTGCCGTGGTGCACCCATTGGCGCAGCGCCTGCAAATCGGTCCCTGATGGAACCCACGCCGCCTGTCTGTGGCTCGGCTTCTTCCTGAGCATGGTTGTCTGCTTGCCCTGTCCGCTGCTCGCTGTTACCGCTTCCTCCAGTTCGTGTTGGGATCTGAACGTCCCATTTCTTTCCACCATACGAGCTCTGCCAGCCTCCACTCGGCTGGCTCTGTATCGGCTTCTCTGCAGCACCAAAGCTTGGCTGCTGGGTGTCCGCTGCGCCACTTGAGCCTCTTTCGCGTGCTTTCTTCTCCGCCCAGATCTGTGCCGGAGTCTTTCCGCCTTCGTCTGCGAAATTCTTGCCAGCGGCACCTACAGGTGCGCTGGCCTGGATAGGTTTCGCCTGAAAGCCTACTGGCGTTGGTGCTTTGGTGCCGGAGAAGTTGCTTGCTTGAGAACCAAATCTGTTGGCAACCTTTGGCTTGGGCAGTTCTGTGAGTGGCTTGTTCTGCTGGAAAGCAGCAGAGCGATCTGCGAGCGATCGCGGGGCGTCTTCGCCGGTCGACTGGCTGGGTGCAGGAACTGGCGCAGGTGGAGGCGCAGCTTGTGCCTTTCGTCTGATCTCGTTCAGGTCGACTTTGCCCACTGGCTCGTACGCACCTTTCACCACAGTGGGCCTATCGTCTTGTACGGTACCCGACTCTTGCGCTTGTCGCCGTATGGCTGCAATGTCCACTTTTCCGATCGGTTGGTATCCGCCAGTCACAACGTCCGCACGGGCGCCATTGCCTGGTGACGGTGCCTGGAAATTCGAAGGCTGTTTCTGTGCTTGCAATTCGGCCATATTGACTTTGGTCGGCTGATATGAGGGAGCTACCTTTTCCAGCTGGGATCGCGTGACTGGTGGTGCATCATCGCCCCATCCATCTGCATCTGTGGAGGTGGAGGTAGGGGGCGCAGCACGAGTCCTACCCAGTGGGGAGAAGCCTGGCGTAGGGCCAAAGCTCTTCGTTGGCAGCACTGGCTTGGAGGCTTTGGGTGGAGGAGGCGCCGCATTCGATGTTGGTAGCGAACCTCCTCCGCTGTACTTTGAGCCTGACGAGTCGGCGACTTTTTGCACAATCAGCTCGGGCGTCAGATCTCGGTCGGAGCGAGCGGTAATCTGCACGTGGTAGCCGTGCAGCACTTTGGAGACTGCATTGAGGTGACTTGTGAAGTATCCCTTGGTTCGCTCAGGCACGCCCTCGCCACACCAGGCAATGAGTACACTTTTGGGCAGAGTTGTGTTGGGGTCCTTGACTTTCACGAATGCGAACTGGATGCGGCCGTCCGAGAAGTCTTCAATCAGGTCGGCCAATTCGCCCTCGCCGGTGCTTTGCACAGACAGCACGCTCTCTTTGCCCGACTCGGCCTGGAAGGCATTGGCAAGGGGAGCCTTGACGGAGAAGACTGCCCAGATGCCATATGTTGGCGATGAGGCAGCGGGCCCGCTTGGAGCTGTGTTTACGATTTTCTGGTAGCTGGCGGTAATTGATGCGCCATTTTGCGACAGATTCAACGCCGCCATGGTCGGGAGAAGGAGGGAGGGAGGCAGGCGAGTAAGGACGTGGTGTTGGTAGTAGTAGAGGTGGAAACAGTGCTGGTCGCGAAGAGCTTACGATGTTGCCTGCATTGGACCCACGTCACTCAGCCCAAGCCGCACCACGCCGAGCACACAGCACACGGCCGCTCGGCGAGATGAGCTGCCGCTCGCCCCATCAAATATTTGAATCAGGATTTGGGGTGGCCGCGCTAACGAACGAACCACGTACCACCTCCCCGTTCGCCTCGCGCTGTCGCTCTCTCCTCCCTCTCACCACCACCGCCATCCTCTCCTTCCCTCTCACCGCCTTCATCGCAGCCCGTCTCGCGCGACTGCGCCATAGTGCTCGCGGTCTTTGCTGACTTAAGTGCTGTTCTCTCTTTCAGGTTCTTCTCTACTGATGCTCACACAACATCCACCGGCATGAGCATGACAGCATAGCGCACACCCACACTGACTGCTAGAATGGACGCCGACGACGATATCGACGCGAGCAGCGACTCGTCCGACTTTTACAGCGCAGAACCCGCCGCTCCCAGCGATGCGCAACCCCGGGCGCAAACGGCGCCAGACGCGAACATTGTCGATTCCACAGCGCCTGCTGTTCTTCCTGGCAGCAATGGTGACATAGTCGCCGACGCTCCTGACGCGCAGGAAGATGCGATCGCGACACGCGATGGAGATGATCAGGATTCCTCTTCCGAAATGGATCTTTCCGATGAGAGCAGGCCTCCGACGCCTGCGCACAAGGACGCGCCCTCGTCTCCTTCTGCCACGGAAAATGCCATTGCTGAGCCACCAGCAAGCCATCCCGGAGCCAAGCGCAAATTGAGTGACGTCGAGGAGAGCGCGGACGGAGAGGTACAGGTCGCTGACGACCAGGCCAAAAAGCAGAAAACATCCCCTCAGCTGCCCCAGCTCTCTCCCGCAATATGGCAGCGCATTTTCTACTTGCTGCCACCTGCCATGCTCTGCCGATGCTTGCGCGTGTGCAAGGACTTCAATCGTTTTCTAACCGAAATGAAGGCGCCTCAGGCTCCACAGAAAGATAAGTTCACGGCGCGCGTCGTCGATAGTGAAGCGATTTGGATACAGTCCCGGAAGAACTATTTCCCACAGCTACCACGGCCGCTACGCCAACATAGCGAGCTGGACATGTTACAACTGGTAGGTGGGCAGGCCTGCCAGTTCTGCGGCAAATTGCCCTCTCCTGTTCCTGCAACATCCGTCTTCAATTGTGGCCCTGGAACAGATGGTGTGCGCGTAATATTTCCATTCGCCGTAAGGACATGCGGGGCCTGTATCGAGCCTCTGCTGCGCAAAGTAGGTGCTGAGCGAGACAATGGTGAGATTGCATCTAATTATCGCCTAGGATGTCCAGCTTCTGACCGACTCTACATCTGCACGCCTACGGCTTGGGATCGCACACGCGTTCCGCAATGAGGAATCCCATTTCGTAACGGAGACTGTGCGCCAGATACCGCCAGGCATACCCGGGAGTCTACGTTTTTCCAAAGTGTACTACCAGCCTCAGCTTGCGGCCATCAAGCAGGAAGAAGACGACGCCCAACAGCTGGGACAGGGCGCTGCCGACGAGTGGCGCAAAGGTCTGTACAACAAAGGCAAAGACGCCATGGCAGATTCCGCTCGATGGGAGAAATGGGAGGCGCAGCTTCGTCTCGGCGCAAACCTCGCCCATGTGCTCAGGGAGTATGATTTGTCTTCTTTCCCACAACATGTCCAGGCCATTCAGAGTAGTTCTGCCGGAGCGAGCACTTTTCAGTCATCGTCGACGACGATGGCCAACGGTAAGCAATCATTTCCAGTTCTGCTATATCTTCGTCATGGCCATCACATTCTCGCCATCGTTTCCTCCTCAGATTGGCGAAATTTGGCAAGTCTTCAATTTACGGCCAAGGTACATTGGAAGCTCAGGACGGACCTAATTTGCCACTCATAGGACCACACCCCCTACCTCAACCAGTCCACGTTTTTCACAACGGATATCCTCCACAATTCCCACAGTACCAGCAGCTATCCAGGCCGCCTTTGCCCCAGCAACATCAGCTTCCATTCCCACCTCCGCTTCCCTTCGCTCCGCATCAGGCGCCTCACAGAGTGGTCCGCAATCCACAGGAGGTTGAAAGCGCACGCCAGGCGCGAAGAGCCGAGATCGAGCGTCGATGCAAAGAACTTGAGCCGCCGGTGGAACCCAACGTGCTGCAGCACATGGAGTCATTCCAGGCCGCGATGCAGATTACCACACCGTTGACGGACGCCGCCTGGGACATGTTGAAACCCAGGATTCTTGCACAGAGGGAAAGTGCCGAGCTAGCGGAACACATGAGAGCTTCACAACTTGCCGCGCTGCAGGCTGCCATGCCGTCTGTCATGTCAGAGGACATCATTTCCAGACCAGCAAAGGAAGTTTATGATCGCGAGTACGAAGACTCGCAGCTGCCACTCCGTAAGCGGCTAGGTGAGTATGCTGATGATCTGATCAATGGTCATTGGGGCGGTGGCAAGATGCTTGGGAAAGACAACGTTCCCATCTTCGCCATTCATGTCCTGCAGCACGTACGTCAACGTTACGTGCAGGACAAGGAACTGGGCCTTCTCGCTGATTTGGAGACGACCGGATCGAAGAAACTGTCCAACGGGCAGACGACTCCGCAGCCAGCTCCGTTTCTGTCTCTCGACAATATGAAATGGGTTTACGACAACAAAGTAAGGTCATTCACGGACGTGCATCGCAAAGAACATTTCATTTGTGCTGGGTGCGACGAGGAGAAGAAACCCAAGTGGTTCGCTTTTGAAGGTCTGATTCAGCACTATGGAGCAAAACACACCACTGCCTTCAGTAAAGGCAATATCGTCGTACATTGGCAGACTGCCGAGTGGCCGGACCCCCCACCATTCCATACCAATCCTGCACATTGGCTGAAGATGGACCGAAGAGCATCGGAGTTCAAAAAGGATCACCGAGCGAGAAACACGCCTCAAGGGACCCATGGCGGTTCTTCTCAAGCTTCAGCGAACGCCCTCCCCATGCCTCAAAATACGCACAGCCCAGTCGCGGTGTTTGGCTCTCACAGCTCGGCATACCCATATCAGGCTTATGGGCGAACCGTCTCGCAGACCCCGCAGACTTCGTCTAACGGCTATCACATACAGTCTCCAGGCTCTTTGAACGGTGCGGCCCATGGAGGCAGCCAGGAGACACAGCTCTTGAAGCTCGCAAGTGACTCTCGCGAGGTTTGGGACACGCTCGAGGGTGTCAAAGATCTGCTGGAGAGCATCCAGGTGCAGACTGTTCTTCACCACGCTGTCCTTCGATTTGGGGAGCGATTTCATTACAAACCAACGCTTGATATGCTGACGGACGCTTTGGCAACGCACAACTCGATGCGCCCGTTGAAGAACGTCACAGGTCTTGCTTGCAAATCTTGTGTAGCGGCTGGGCCAAACTCGCATAGTTCCTCGTACTGGACGCGAATCAGAGCTGCCAAGTTCTTCAATACCTCGTCCTTGATCACTCACTTCAAGCTCATACACCAACCACACGACAATATCGGTCCACTGGATTGGGTCAAGGACATGATTGAAGTGCCGGAGAGGCAGATACTCAACCAGCTTCTCCGTACTCCGGGCATGGACGATGGGAAGCTGTCGCTTATAGCCGCGGCCTTCCCATCTACGTTCCCGATGCCGTTGCCTAAGATTGGTCACATCACTGAGGACGAGTCACGAAAACAAGTAAGCAATGCTCCAGTACACAGCCTCCTGGAGCGACTCGGCAAAAAATCGAAAGCCCAAAGCAAGAAAAAGAGCCAGAAAGGTGCGAATGGTGTGCAAGATCGTGATAGTTCCAATGAGCCATTGCCGGAGCCGAAAGAAGACGAGTATGACCCATCGCGCCCCGCGCTTGTCCAGTCACAGACACAATTATTCGATCCAGCACAGTTTGACACTGATGCCCGCAAGACGTCAACCCCCGCCACAGCGGTGGCTCAGGCTCCTTCAGCAAGCATCGATTTGAATCCAGAAACAATCTCAATGCTCCAGAACCTAGCACAGTTCTCTAAAGAGACCTCAACACCGAATGGCAACCGTGTGAGTAGAAGTCCATCGGTTGGTCGCGCAGAGTCAGCATCAGGACCCAAGCCGACAGACTCTCGTTCGAGTGCAACGCAGAATGGCCAACCGGATATCGCAGCTATCTTGGCGGCTTTGACGGGGCAAAGCCAATCAGTTGCGCCATCCATTCCCGAGGCAGCCAGAACGGACAGTATACCTCGCCCAGCCATGGTCGATGCATGCGCCAGCGAGCGCCAGGAGGTACGATCGCGCCCAGACATCGGAGCACGCAGTTCATCGCAACACTACAATGCACCTGTCCCGGTGCCACGTCCAGCGCCTGCATCCTCGGATGTTCACGAATTGCAGGCGGCGTTATCCCGAAATACCAGACACTTCGACCAAAATCAGCGCCCTTCGCACGCGGAGCGCACATATTCAAACGGGCCCCAGCCTCATTCCCAGCCCGCACCACAATACCAGTACATCTACGAGCATGACCATGCATATGGTCAAGCACCTCCTCCGCACACGGCTGTGTACAGAGAAGTTGGTGCACCGCAATACGTCCAAATATCGGAGCGCGATTACGTGCCGCATGGCTATCAGTACGAGCGGCCAGCACCGAAGCCGCTGTATGTGGACCAGTATGGCAGGCCGCTGATCCCCATCGATTCCGCACCGGCACCAATACAATACCTGCCCAACCCATATGAACAGCAACAACATGGAAGACCCCAAGAACACACTGTTTATGCTAGTATAGCTCCACAGCCACACCTCCAGCCATTCAGCGGTGTTGGTCAACCCGTTTACTACGAGCAGGCTCCCGGCCCTGTGCCATCTCGCTATGCGTACGACGATCGTGCTTCTGTGGGACGCCCGTGAGGAGGCCCTTCCTTTTGAAGGGACCAAGCATGTAAAAACATCCTGCGATGTCAGCAGAACACTGTAACAGGAACAAAAATAGCAATGTTGTAATGTTGCGAGGCGTGAGCAGTTTAGCGCTTCAAAGCCGCCAGCTTCAGGAACTTCATAGCTTTGGCTTGGCATTCGACCTTGACTTAGCATTTTGGTCTATTGTAAAACATGGCCTGGTTCTCATCGTTTTGTAGAGCACACACAACAATCATCAACGTCGAACATTGCAATAATGATCATTACAATCTGCGTCTGTTCTGTTCTGCGAAATTTGGTTCATCGACGCGCACGACTGACATCACGACTCTTTGTTCTATGACAGAGCGATGATGCTCAATGCAGGTCCAGCTCCATACAAGACACACGTGCAACGTGCAAAACACGTCGCGGTGACCTAACAGTACAGCAACATATAATCATTCACTCCTTTCTATTAGAGCAATGATCGCATCTCGTCTCTGTCGTCTTTCTCATTCAGCAACTCGAACAATACTTTGCCATCGTCAACCCATTACCATCAGTAACAGAACAACAACACGCAAAATGTCCTCCTACATCGACGCCGCCAAAACAACCCTCTCCGAAAACCTCGGCGGCCTAGCCCAAAAAGTCGCCCCATCTCACACAACCTTCACCCTCTCCGATGTCCCCGACCAAACCGGTAAAATCGCCATCATCACAGGCGCCAGCGAAGGAATCGGCTACGGTGTAACCCACACCTTACTTTCCCAAAACATCAGTAAAGTTTTCATGCTTTCTCTATCAGAAGACGTAGCGAATAAAGCTCAAGAAGCAGTAAAAGAAGAATTAGGTGAGGATAAAGCGAAGCGAACGGTTTGGATTGAAGCGGATTTGGGGGATTGGAAAAGTTTGAAAAGTGTGGCGGAGAGGATTGGGAAGGAGACGGATAGGGTTGATGTTTTGGTGGGGAATGCTGGGAGGGGGATTATGACTGCGCAGTTGACGGAGGATGGGGTTGATAGGCATATGGCTGTGAATCATTTTGTGAGTCTTTTTGTTCATCTTTACGCGAGAGAGGGAGCTGGGTATGAGTGGAAGGAATGTCTGGTGGCTAACGCACATATTTGCAGGGACATGTTCTCCTCACCTCTTATCTCTGTAAGTCGAGACTCCAATACGTCCGAGGATGCACAACATGTCGCTAACGGCAACGTGCTCCTAGTACCGTTACTCAAATCCACCGCAGAGAAAGGCGACACTGTCCGAATCAGCTTGCAAGCATCCAATGCACACCAAAACGCCCCCAAAGACACGGACTTCGCAAGCTTGGAATCCATCAATCAAGACGTCGGTCCTGTTGGCCAATACGGAAGGGCGAAGCTCGCCAACATCTTATACGCGAAATACCTAGCTCGACATCTCAGTAAGGATTACCCCAAGATCCTCTCCAATGCCACGCATCCCGGAGTGGTCTCGACGGCAATGAGTAAGCGAGATATCCACGAGCCATACCCATTGGCTGGGTACGGCATGTCTGTGGCAATGGAAGCCTTCAAGAAGGATCAATTCGAAGGAGCGCTCTCGACACTCTATGCAGCCACAGTCGTTGATTCCAGCGGGAACTACATCTGCCCTCCGGCAGCAATCGAGGATGGATCAGATCTTGCGCGTAACGAAGAGCTTTCGGAACAACTCATGAAATTGACGCGGGATGTCCTCAAGGAGAAGCTGGGCAACGATGTTCCGTTCTACTAGAGGCTGAGACAGTTAGCTGTATAGCTGCAAGTTGTACAATGTAAGCGATGTTCAGAGGCAGACGGCTTCCCTAATCGGATCCGATGTTCGGTACCACGTTCCTGTTGCAGCTCAGAATAGTGCAAGACGGAGAACCGAGCAATTTGCCATATTGACGCATGCGCGCAATATGACATATGCCACGCTCAGGTCGCAGCGGGCGCATGTACCTCTTCCCGTGTCTTGAACCAAACATAATGGCGCTTTGGCAAGAAGCATGTCGTGATTAAATGGCGCGTCGAAGCTCGGCAACCCCTTCTGTTTGGTTGCATTATCCAAGAGCTATCGCATTTGTGTGCTTGGTGTCTCCGCATCGTTATGGAGTCGTAGGCTCGGGCAATAAGTAATTTTCTCAAGTGGCGCCGGCTCAGTATGGCATCTATAACATGTTCGGGGCCCCGAATTCGCTTGCGAAGTGGAGCACTTCGCATGTCTTCAGACTAACGTGCCGTGAAGGCCATAGGCGACCTCGACCACGCTTCTGCACGTGCGAAGAACCGTGATCTCCCCAGCATGAGGCAGCACGATGTGATATCCAGACTCATTGAGCACACCAGCTGTGTCGATGCTGTGAGTGTGAGCTGTTTCCTCGAGATAGGCTCGGGCCAGCTATAAAGCATCAACTCCCAAGGATCGATGAATGCGACATATGCGCGATAAAAGGCGTATTCGCTCACCATTGCTCAACGCTCGAGCATAGGACCAAGGTTACGCAGCTGATAAGCAGTGGCAGGCATGGTGACTGCCGACGCCCGCCCTGTGCAGCTCGAGTGTGACAGAACTCGTGCACCAGACATTGCCGCGATAAAGCGTTCGCAGTTGTTACCGCGTAAAGACATTGTTGAATGGGCGTGTCTACGATGAGATGCAGCTTCAGAGGTAGAGAAGTGGGTCTACGAGGCCTCAACCAGCGGCTCCATAGATTGGTGTACAGGATCGGCCCCGGACTGCTCGAGCTGTACCCCGTTGTGATACGCAGAAGTCGCTGGCGTGTCGATGACTCGCGAGGGTATGGCGCAAGTGCAGTCCGTTGTCTTTGGTTGATCAAGTGCCACAGAATGCGAACTGTGGGTTTCCAATGCATTCTCACATGAAGATTATATGCAAGAGTGACAGCAAGTCACGCCATTGGCAAGGAATGGATGCACACGTTGTCGTTCAACTGGCCGATAAGCAGCTTGTCCGGGCGGTACCGTCTTGTCGACATTCCGGATGCCGACTTCTGTTGCAGGCTCCTGCGGGCTTCCTAGCGAGGAGGCCTTGGATACTGTTATCCTCGACGGCAGAGGGTGAAACTCGTGGCAAGGTGGCGCAACGCGCAGAGCTCCGACGTGCATGGACACAGCATCGAGCTGGCGCGGCACAACGGCAGCTGTGGACGGCGACACGAGGCATAAGGAATCTGGCTGCGGCGATGAGTAGTCATCAGTGGTTCTCTGGTCAAGCCGGAGGAGAATTGAGCCCCAGCAGGGTGTGGGGCGTGTGGCATTGAGTGGACTGGAGACTGTTCATATCAAGGTTTGCAGAAACAGGAAAAGTAGCATAGTTTGCGCAGCGACGCGGCAGGTCAGACATGGCATCAGCGATGCCACGGTCGCGTCGTCGTCTCATCTCGATCGTATGCCGTTCGGCGTGCCGGGAGCAGTGCGTAATGTGGATGGAAGGCACAGCTGGTGAGAGCGCGATCAAAACGTTGAAGAGGTACCTGCTGGGCCACAGCTGCAGGCTGCATATGCCACAGCTGGTAAGACGGCATTTCGCCACACCCCTGCCAGTCGGACCGTCTGCATTCTGGACAGCACGGCCGCTCAGTGCCGTTATGGCTCGTCGAGCGCTGGCGCCAGGGCAATTTGACAGATGCTGTGCGACGGAAGGGCGGCGCGCGGCGTGCCTCGTCGACGGCGATCGCAGCCGAAGCGGTGGCCAACAAGGGGAGTGGAAGTGGTGGCTGTGAGCGGTGGAGCCATGTCCGCGCGCAACGATAGACGAACCCGGACTGCGCCGGCGACAAGATGGCACTGCGGTCGATAAGGAAGTGTCGTCGCCGGCGCAGAGGGAGCGGAGGGTGGTGATGCGTTCAAGCTGGCGAGCGCTCGATAGGCACAGCTCGGAGGCGGGATGGGGAAGTTGCTGATCGTGTTTCCTCAGCAGGAAGTACGACAGCAGAGAAAGTCGTGGTGGGTCTGCATGGCAACGTCGACCCCACCCGCACCAACCATGCAGCTGCGAGTGTCATGGCGCGACCAGACCATTCGTTCGGGCGCTGCTACACGGCGGGGCGGCGACGGCGGCGGTCGTCACCATGCCCAGCGCCGAGGAGGGGGAGTGGAGTGGTAGAGCGCTGTTCTCAAGCGAGACGAGACGAGACGCTCCATTGTGCATCGCCAGGCCGCGCGCAGTCGTGTTGCAGAGTGCAGAAAGCAGAGCGAGCGCCTTGACGCTGGGCCTTCCCCGCAAACGCAAACACCCTGGGCGGCGGCCAGAAATCTGGGCTCATCTGCAGCACTGCTAACTTAGCGTGCGATTTTCGCCGAGCATCATTCTCAGACCTGGTCTCCCTCTGCGCTCTCCACTCCACGCAGAACCGCCCGCGACTATTCGCGGCTGCTTTGGCTGCTGCTAGCAGGCTTTCTGATCTAGGTCAGGGACCCTGCGCTTGCTCAACCGTAGTTGCGCCTTCAACTCTGTGTTCCACTTCACCACCTCGCACCACCAACCCAGACCAAGACCCTCTCCTCCAGCGGTCAGCACCACGCCCATTGTGCCTCCTGCTACACGCTCCGCCGCCGCGTGCCTGGTGCCAACGACTGCTCTGCCCGCAATCTCCGTGCCGCCCTATCGTGAGCACCGCAGGACCATCGAGACACTTGCGAACCATATTCCGCGCCTGCTCGCTGTGGCCCTTGGCGTCGTGCACTCCACGCCCACCCCGTGCGGCCTGCGAGTCCTCTTGAGCAAGTCGAGAGCCATCGCCCCCGAGGCAGGAACGCACGGCTGCGCTGTGGCAGCTTCGACACTCGCTTGCACTGCACCGCACTCTCGCTCGAAAACCGCCTCATGATCCGGCATCCGTACTAGACTGACGCCATGACCGAGGTGCTAAGCCTGCCCATGCAGCCGGAGTCCTCGCCATATTATCAACCATCCGGCCCTCTGAAAGCCTCCATGTCGTCCTCGTCACTGTTCTTCGACCCAGAAGCACCTCGATCACCCGCCGCACGCCCGGCATATACACCACATGCAGAGCACCAAGAGAACGTGCCCGGTGCTGCGCAGTGGAACGGCATAACACCACCAGCATCTGCAACACCCTCCTTCCCAGCGAGGTCTCGCGCCGAATCCGAGGACTCCGTTGCCAGTAGTAGCAATTCTTCGGTTACGAGTGACCTTAGTGAAGACACCGACATCACCTTTCCCAACTACGACGGCGATTGTGCTCCAGGAGCCCACAGTATAGGAAACAGCGACGAACCCGGCGATACTTCGGCCACGGACACCACCATATCAGATTCACCGATCCCGACACCTACGGTTGTCGATGACACAGCTGTCAGACAAGAGCCCTCCCGACAAGTCGACTTCCTCAGCCATGACTGGAGGGAGGAGGACATTTGGTCATCGTGGCGCCATATTGTCTCGCAGCGGAAGACGGTATATGGCGAGAGGTCGAGACTGGAGAATGCTTCGTGGCGAACGTGGGCCAAGACAAAGTTCGATCTCCACACTGTGTCGCCTGAGAGGCTGAACTGGCTCAAGGAATCAGACGTCACCTGGCTTTATGGTCCTCTGAAAGTGGCTTCCTCATATCCCGTGACGGACCGCACTGGTTCGCAAATAACGTCACCCATGTCGAAGAATAACTCTTTTATCAACAAGAAGCCAATCTTGAAGAAGCGAAGCGTGTCCGAGGTCATGCTCCAGAAGTCCTTATCCACCTCGTCACTGGTCAAACAAGCTGCAGCGTCAGTGCAGGCACAGGGTCGTCAGTATCGACGCTCCGGACCTGAAGTCGTCGACTCAAAACTGCACTCAGAAACGCCGAGCCGGGATCAGGTCGACTACTTCACCAGTCGCAGCAACAGCACTGTCGACACACCTTGCGAGAACCAGGAGAAACGCCACATACGTTTCGATGACCGTGTGGAGCAATGTATCGCTGTTGACTGCAAAGATGTTGGTCAAGACGAGGAAGATTTCGAGAGTGACGACGAAGGAGAGCATCCCGAGCACGCGATTTCTGATTCCAGCAGCGATGATGGAATTGTAATGATGAAGCGGAAGAAGCGATCAGGTGCAAAACGACGACCTACTGGTAGCAGAAGCAATTCCGCCAGTGGGAGGAAAATCATCGAAACATTGCCCGCGACTACACTAAAATACCGCACAGACAGTCCGGACATTACTGAAGAAGCCCGACATCATACTTTTGGGCGCTCCTGGAGTACGGGAAACCTATCACCAAGTCCTTCACAAGAGACTCTACGACCGACAAATCCGTCTACCAACTTCCTGTTGCCCACGGATGACGATGCAGAGGAAGAGGAGATAGACTCCGATTCATCGTGGAGCTTTGGTGCCAGCAATCCAAAATCGTCCCTTGGAGCATCATTAAAAGGCTCTCGAAGTGGTGGCAAATCACCCAGACCAGTTGATTTCCAGGTCGAGGGAATGCGGCGAACAGAGAGTGGCATGTTCATGCCTATGGATGAGGACGAGGACGATATCGTGGAGGCGGGGTTGTTTGGACGCGTGAGCGAGACAATCAATACCGCGCGGGATATCGCCCACGTAATATGGTAAGTCGACCTCATACGGATACGTTGAGAATGCAGTACTAACTCCTCACAGGAACGTTGGATGGAGGAAGTGAATTCTCCCCATTCTTTTCCCAAGCCGCTTTTTATGCGTTCTCCAATCCCGTCCTCGTTACCACATAGGTGCTCGCCGCGGCATGGCGACACAACGAAATTATACGCATCGGTCATACGCAACTGTATGATCGGGATTGACGCCGATTATGACATATTGTAATTATTACAGCGAGAAAAAGTTGCTGATCATAGACATGGGGAATGGTGCGGTGGGCGGACTGCATTTGGGTTCACGAGCCTCATGTTGGGATGGATCCCTGGGCGCTTTTGTACAATCCAAGGGAGGCCACACATGCTTCAAATATGCACGCGCATTGACTGTCAGCTTCAAGTTTCAACTTTCGTTTCATCAGCTCCATTTCAGTTTCCCCATGATCGAGGTCCCCAGTCCCGCTCCGTGATGTTTGCGAACCCTTGTGAGCGTGGAGCCGCGGTCTGTGCGGGCTTTCTTTCATCTCCGCCCAGCGACGTAGCTTCCACGATCCGCGACTCATGGCGCTTGGGCGTCAGATACACGCGCCCGCGCCATGTTCTCGCGCGTTTGCCTGTTCCTGTCCATGAACAATCTCTTACTAGTCGTCAACCATCACTGCCAGCACATCTTCGCCCACTGATCTGAACCCCCCCCGCGCCAGCGAGCGAGCGAGCGATGGAAGAACCACCCGATACCGCAACCCTCGTAGCGAGCCTGAACGCCGAAAGCGAGAGCGCGCGCAAATATGCTGTTTTCAAGCTGAAAGGTTTACTGAATGATCCTTCTTTCGCGGATGGGTTTATTCAGAATGGGGGCTTGCCGGCTTTGAGGCAGGCGGTGTTGAATACGACGGGGAATACGCAGGCTTATGCTTTGGGGAGTTTGGATGCGCTTTTGGAGTTGGATATGGGGTGGGAGTGTTGTGATCAGGAGTTGTTGGAGAAGGTATGTACGCGTCTGTGGTAGTTGGGGTAGTGGTGAGGAGGAGGAATGAGAGTTCGATTGTGGACTGATGTTCTATGACAGGCGCTTTCGCTGGCTATATCGCATCCTCTTGTTAATATTGTCCGCAACGCCCTTACGCTTCTGGTCCTTATCGTCTCGAGACCGGTTCCTGCGGGTCAGAGCGATGCTTCGTCTGCTATTTGCGGCTTCCGCGCCATCAAGCCTGCCCTCGATCATCATCCTCAGTTCCTCGATTCGCTTGTCCAGCGTTTGAGCGCGTCGGATCATACGCTTTGCGCCAATGCTCTGCAACTGGTTAACGCGCTGATGCGCGACGCGGTACTCAATGGTGGGGAGAACGAATGGCCGAAGTTTGTGAAGAAGCTGCAAGATCTGGGTGTGATAGGAGGTGTGGGAATGTTGATGCGTGGGGATGCAGCAAATTATGCGGACAGTCCTCTGGCCATGGCGATTTTGGAGTTCCAGGATCTCACAAAGATCTTGCTGCGGAAGTGGAGAGATGTTACGGTTAATGTGGAGCTTCCTGAACATAAGAGGGCGTTGAAGACGATACATTTGCTGAGCAAGCCGGATCCTTGGACACCAGTGGTAGGAGCGAATGGGACGAAAGGGCGAAAACATCATCCTGAGAAATGGCGACGTTTGGGTTTTGAGACGGAGTCTCCAGCTTGGGAATTTGACGAGACTGGATATCTTGGAATGATGGATCTTGTGGAGTTTGCGCGTCGCAACGAGGACCTTTACCAGAAGACTTTGCTCGAACAGGCTTCCCTTCCGCGAGAACAACGCTGTCCTATCGCGCGTGCCAGTCTGAGCGTCACGTTGGTCCTCTACGAGCTTTTCGAAATCGACGACAGTACAATGGGCGGGCTTCCACAGTACCGGAATAGCTTCGATCGCGACCAGAGTGTCGATCGACTTTACAAGCCTCTCCTTCTGCAATGGGGTCGACTTCATACTGCTGCTTTGAATACCTTCATGAGGTTGTGGAAGGATGCTGGGGCAGAGCAGCAAGACATTTACAAAATCGAGGAAGTCGTACGGATCGTGGTTGAACGTATTGTCGGTCTAGCACCTCGCAAGACCGATATTGGTCACGTCGAAGAGCAGCTTCGTTTGGTCAGCCTCAACACAGCTCGGAAATGGCAAATGGAGAATTTGGACGACGTGTACCAAGACGCCTGGGGCCCGCATCTGGTGGAAGTCCACGAGCAACTTCGCAACGAGAGTCTGCAATTCATGAGGGAGCAGCGCATAAGATGTCTGCTCCAGGGCTCGTGGTTCCCCATGTCAGCTGCAGGGGACAACAGCTCGTGGCAGTTTGTCAGACTCAGTCACAATAGAAGATGGCTGCAGTACCAGACATACCCTGAAGCTGGAGATTTCACGCCCTCGCTGGCGGATTTGCAGGAGAAGGTTGATTTGGATAGTGTGACCTCAGTGGACAGCAACGTTTCGGCACCAGAACGTCGACCAACGATCACCGATGATCAAAGTTCAAGAACACTGCATAGCTCCGGGCGCGGGTCTGCGAAGACCTCAACCACAAAGATTACCATATTGGGAACTCCAGGCGCGACAAAGATTGCGGCTCCTGATGAGGATGAACAGATCCTGCTGGAGCTCTTCCCGCAGACCTCCCACCTGGCATCGGAGTGGTTGGATGGGCTGTTAATGCTCCTGAACCAGCAACCAATCACGCAAGACACGGCACGTTTGGTGAACATGTGCGAAGATTGGGGCGTGAGGCTGAGAATGCTGAACTTGCGCTGGGAGGATGTAGATTGGGATGCGCTAGAGCGTAGCGCCAAAGGTGAAGATGTCGAGTTTCGACCGGTGCCGAGCAGAGAAGGGCTTGATGATGGAGATTTCTGGTATGCGCTACCAGATGAGCAGTAAGTAGTAGTAATAGTAGTAGTAGAAGATGATACCCAACTTTCAAGTTTTAATGCATAGAAGCCCCGTATTATTGCAGACATTTTTGTGCACTACTGTTGCACCGCATACGAACAACAAAGGATGGGACAAACGCACGCAGGTGTTGCTGTCAACGCACGTGGACCGGACAGTCATCAGTGAATGCGAACTATGCATTGTTTGGTTCACTGATGACGCTTGACGCCTCCTGAACGTTTCGCAACCGAAAAAAATAAACGCTGATGTTGAGGGCAAGCTTCTTGATGACAAGCTGTACCTGTGGTTCCAGACAGCACGATGGACTCGCAGGCTTGGCCGCGTGGGTTTGCCCTGCAGTGCTGGCGGATGTTGACTCGCTGGATCACGGAATCCGAAACGACACTCGTTTGCGCTAGGTAGAGCTGGTGAAGGTTATCAGTTTTGCCGACCAAACAGTGCAGCAGTGATTGCATTATTGTCGAATGGGATTCGTTGTCCGTGGATCCCCGGTGCGGAGAGAGGATATCGTTGACGTGTTTCACTCGATATGTAGCTCCTCGCGAGAGTGGTGGGCCAAAGCGCAATGTGGATAGATTGCGCAAGTATGGATGCAGAAGAAGGCGCATGAGAGAGTGCATCCACACATCGAAGCATCGGATTAGACTCGTTTCCCGAGCTTGAAGCGCGGTATCCCTGTCTGTTCGCCGCAGGAACGGGCAGGAACGAGGTCAAACGGGCAGGCTTCGTTTGCAAAGCGATCGAATTCATGTCATGAGAGCGATAAGGGCTGCGCAGTGCGCGTAATAAAGTTTAAGCGTTTGTTCGTTTGCCGACGATCACGAGTACGACAGGCTGCGATGGGCTCACAGGAGCCGCTACGCTGGAGGGTGTGTGTGACAACCCTACCCACTCCCGGGAGGATGCAGCAGCGCGGTCAGCAAAGAGGTCCGGAAGTTCGAAGACCGAGGCGTCGCGAAGACACAGACGGAGACTCGGTGGTGTGCTCATCAGCGGCAGCAAATGTGGTTGTCTTGTCCATGAAGAACGAGTTCAAAAAAAGGCACCACTCACGAGAAGGTGCCTCTGGGCGGTTCGCGTGCTAGCCCAATGTGCAATGCCACGCGGTGGTGAGTGTGCCGCTAGAAGCAAACGATCGACACGTTCCCTGTCCTTAATTGGAGCGCGACTCGAGGGAAATGTATACACTTTTTGCTCCCACCTCTGTGACGGCTTCGTGGATGCGCTCACATCCGTCGGGCGGGAGCCAGTTCACATCACGCACGATGGAAGCGTGCGGAGCAGGGCCATGTGACGAGAGCCCGGCGGAGGCTCCTGAACGCCTGCCAAACGTCGATTGCTGATGCGTCGCGGCCGAAGTTTATGTGGTCGAGCTGACATGGCCGGGAAGGGAAGGGAGCTGACAGAGCGACAAGGCCATATTTGGGCACAGGTGCCTGTGAACACGACGCAGGCTCCCCGTGCGATGCTTTCCACGGCACTGGTACCGACATGCCTTGCGACCGCTGTTGATCTCTGCAAGGTCTTGCACGCCCGTTCCATTCCACTTTGCCTCACATCATCATCGTCTCTCTCACTTCGCCTTGCCCAGTCGTCCCTTCGCCCCTCACTGTGGCACTGCGGCACCGTGTTGCACAGCTGTGTCACCGACTGACACGAACACGATGCACATTACGCCGGAAGAGTATTCCAAGCTGCCCGCCTCGGTGCAGTACGTCTCCTTCACACCGCCTGCCATTGTTCCTTCGCTAATGTCTGAGACAGAAAGAAGTACTTCTCCTCGGTGGAGCGATTACGAATCTTGCAGCAAACTGCATCAGAGCAGCGCAGCAAGCAGTCAACGCCGACGCGGAGTCAGTCTTCGTTCGACTCGACCCGGCCCAAGACATCTCATTCCATTCGTGCGCCTTCCGTTCGTGAACGTGCATCAAGGAAGTCATCTATCGCGCCCGTAGTCGAAGACGTAAACGAAGATCAAGCCCTTCGATTCCTGGCCCTACCGGACAAAGTCAAGCGATCGCACTTCAGCGAAGAGGAATTGTTGCTGTTGACTGAGAGCTCACAGCGAACATTGGGGTTTCGCGGGCAAGGCCATGTGCCACAATGGCCGCAAAATGTTCGCAGCATGAGCATCGCCTCGTCCAGCTCTCAGAGAAGTGCAAGTCTAGAGAAGGAAACAGACTGGTGTGACGTGGAAACGACCTCAGTCCTCAGCGCAGATCTGGGAGGCAGCGAGCCAGATCTGACCGAAACATGGCCGCATATCAACTCCATCGCTTGCTCTGCGTATGCGACCACTACTTCGACCGTCGATGTGAGCTGGACACCAAGCCCTCGGAAGTCCTTTGCAAAGAAGCGTGCTTCCAGTCTCGCGCCGCTGCCGCTTCCACCTCCGACCTTACTGCCTCCGATCCCGCCTCTACCTCAGGCAAATACTCTCCGATCGGCACGGTCATCGCAAAACGAGAATTCATCGAATAACAAGGCGCAGTTTTACAAGGACTCGGATGCTCGCTCGAAATTGCGCGCCTTCCTCGCGTCGCCGGAGAAGTTTGACGAAGCCCTGGAGTTCGGCTTTCCTGTCGAGCTTCCCGACAAGGAGCAACACCACACCTCACGAGGACCGACCCCTACCATGGAACACTTCTTCGACGAAGAAGACTTGGACGAGGAAGACGAGGAAGACTTATCAAATGGCTCTTCCATGGCCTCACCAATGACGGTTGGCTCTTTCTCGTCTTCAGAGACGCCGCATGGATCCGTGGACTCCGGAATTGCACTGAAGAGCAAAAGCAGTGTCCGGAGCTTCACTCCAGATCTCGATGGACGAGAGATGACACTGCGACTGACGCTTACTCGAAGGGAGCTTCGCGCTCCGGAGGACCGACTGTACGCCGTTCAGCGAACTCAGTTCTCTGGGGTGGATGTGGAGACAGTGGATCCGCTTGCGTTGGGAACTCTGGAGTTTTGTGATGACCCCTCTGGCAAGCAGGGCGCGTTCGCGATCAACAAACCAGGATCAAAACGGGGATTGAAGAAGATTTGGAGCAGTATGCGAAAACGATGAGGAGGACTGAATTGATTGATTGATGTTGAAGTGATTAATGCATTTAGCGTGAACTGATATCCCAGGAATACCGGCAGGTCGATGCCTTGGCACTAGGTGCTATCTTTTGTAAATATAGCAAGAGCTCTGTTGTATCTGAGCCAAAAGTTGATACTGCGTTTCCGTCTCTGCTCGTATCGCCATGTTTCGTGAGGGCGTGATGTTTGAAGCTCTCCCCTTATGACGACAGCGGAACCAAGCTTCTAGTTCGTGGTTGTGATCGCTGGCCTCGAGCTGCACAAGTGTGTACTGATTCTCCGCTCTCACGTTTTGATCTCGCGCCCTCGCAATACGTCTTCGCCGTCACAGGCACCATGGCGTCTGCAATGGATCTGACCGCGCTCGAGAAAGATCCTCGACTCTTCCTCTACACCTCCCTCACCGCCGGTTCCTCGCATATCATCACGGCCACCTCGCGCATGGAAACGATCCTCAAAGCCAACAAGATCCCATTCCAAGCTATCGACATTGCAACCGATGAGAAAGCTCGCCGCTTATGGCAGCGTCGAGCCGGAAAGCGGAAGATACCAGGATTGGTAAAAGAGGGATACGTCGTCGGTGTATGTGCGTGTCGCTCGGAGGCCGTGGGACCGCCAGACAAAAAACGTAGCGGGTCACTGATACAACGGCTTAGGATCTTACAGAGGTCGAGGAATGGAACGAATTCGGCGAGCTGAGAGAGAATATTGGCCCTGTGCCTGCTGCCAACTATAAACCTCCAGCGGGAGGTCTGGTCGGTGTGCAGACTGCTCCACCGCTCAATCACAATGTCAGCGTTCCAGATGCTGCGAGCAGCAAGGCTACGGCGAGCAAGCCATCGCCTCCGCCGGCAGTGAGTAGGGCACAAGGGATAGCGTTGCCTGGTGCTGCGGAGATTGCAGCTCGCAAGGCTAAGTCTACTACACCGCTACAAGCTGTGAATGTCGAGACACGCGCGGCTGGCACGACAGAGCCCGCACCAGAGGCCGACAAGTCGAAGGAGACTCCGGCCGCTCACCCGGCGATCGATCACTTATCTGCACCTGCCTCACGCATACAGTCCGGAACAGCGACGCCAGTGGTAAGTGGAGAGAATAAAGAGCCAGCGGAGCACTCTCCGGCCCAAGAGCCAGCCGATGCAGCGGCGGCGACAGAGAAGCACCGTGGTAGCGACGTAGTGGAAGCTTCGGTGGAAGATATCAAGAAGATTGAATCGGAGAACTCGATCACAGAGAGCAAGGAGGAAGAACAGAAGGATGAGGACAATACAGTGCAGGACGCGACCGCCAAAGTTCAGGCTCTGTCGGTCGAGGACAAATCCACGACTGAGGAGCAGCCAGTGTCTGTAACGGAGACTGCGCCTGAAGATGATAAGACTGCATCGAAGAAGGAGGAGACTGCACCGGAACAAGAGAAGAGCACAGGGGAAACGAGTGCCGAGAGCCAAAAGGAGTCCGATACGGACAAGCCTGCGACTCAGGAGAAGGCTGCATAAGAGAATGCACCTGTCCGATGGCTGTAGCACATCCACATCGTAGTTTCGATAGCATGGCGATTGGTGTTCCTGTTTTCTGTGTCGAATCCCCGTACTGCTGGCGATCCGCGAAATGTAGATTGTTGATGAAGCTGGCCGCTGCTTCTGTGCTCACCCGCCATCCGAAACCAGCCATGACGCAGCTGCAACTACCAGCCACTTCAATTTCCATAGCTTTGTGCTAGTGGTAGTGACGGGCAACCTCTACAAATGTCTACCACTTCAGCGATGCTCAAAGAAGCTCGCTGCTGTGCATTATGTCGACCTTCCGCATAAGAGGCCCTTCGCGAGCCAGAAGAGGCGGCAGCAACAGCACGAGAGGAATCGCGCGATCCCCGCGACTCAAAGGCCTGTTCGACAAGCTCTGGTACTGCGATTGTACGCCTCGCCTGCCCGCAGAGCAATTCACTGTCAAGAAGCAAGGCAAGAATCACGGTCGAAGGTTCTATACATGTCAGCAAGATCAGGACAAACGATGTGGTTTCTTCATGTGGAGCGATGAGGCTCAGGCGAGAGAGGCGCAGTGTGTGCTCAGCAACAGTCGGAACGAAGGGCATAGTGATGTTCAGGAAGGGTGGAATGCTGGGAGACCTCGCGTACATTTTGCGCAGACTCCGACGCAGTCCGCCTCGACTGCTTCCAGTACGGGCGTGAAACGTAATATGCAGGATGCTGGCTTCGAAGAAGATGAATACGACGAGGACTGGGATCTGACAGGAGCAGAAGTAGAACAGCTAGCGAAAGCAGCTGATGAGAGCGTACTCCAAACACCGAAGAAGCCACGAATAGATGGCACATCAGCAGTTACTGGCGTGTATGCAACGCCTACAAGCGAAGCCAAACGCTCACCTCGAAAGCTTCCCTGGTTACAAGACGACCCCGTTACGCCGAGAAGAGGAATCTTCGATTACTTCAAGACTCCCCAGAAACAAACGACGCTTCCAACTCCAGGAGAAACGCCAGCACAGCAGCAGCGAACAAAAGAGACAGCAAGAAACGAGCCTACCTCCCCTTCACCCGCCTCGCCTTCGCCTTCGCCGCAAAAGACCCAGCATGAGATTACATTAACGGAAGAAGTCCTGCAAGAAATAGGGTCGCTTCCGATACCACCTGACAAACTCGCAACACTGAAGAGTATTCTCAAAAAGCACGAAGCGCGAGCAGAAGGTTTCCGAAAAGGCAGAGATATTTCTCGATCAGCCTTGAAGGCAAAAGAGAAATTACTTCAAGCAGCTTCAGAGAAGATCAAGAGTCTTGAGGCTGAGAGAAGACAGTCTGGGAGTAGGCAGACGTCTTCTGGGCGTCAACAAATGATGCAGGAGGATGAAGAGGACGAAGAGACAGATGATGAGTTATAGTCCGCCACACTCCCGTCCCTTGAGATGGTGTGATTCATTCGATTGCGTTTCGAGAAGCGATGATGCGTGCGTTTTTATGATACCCCTGTGAGTACGAGAAAAATGACAAGCGAGTTAGCTCGCCTTTTGTGGTGGTAGAATTTCTTGCAATTTGCTGTTTCAATTTTGGTCTAGCAAACAATTATCTAACTTGCCGCCCTACGATGGACATTTGTACTGTGCTAACCAGGAGCAAGTTAGCTATATTGATATGAACAGCTATACTTAGTACCGCTCCACTGTATTGCATACCCAGAGGTACATGTAGCCAGCCCTAAGTCCTCGCTGTTGCCCGTACGCTCTCAAGGAAGGCGGCGGATGAGCGAGCCCTAACCCACTAGTCCAACAATCTAGTCAATTTGGATATCTGAAAATGTGTCTAGTGTTGCAACAGGCCCTCCGGAGTGCCTACTGTAATACTTCAGTTCCCCTAGTACTGTATCCCTTTCTCGGTTATGTTCGTATAGTACTGCTGTTTCATGCGTAGTAACGCTTCGCTGGACTAAAGTCATACGTATCGTATCGTATCGCCTTGTAGCAGGCTCGTCGTGTTGTTGTAGCGTTATGCGATAAACGGATCGCTTTTTGTCGTCGTCGTGTAAAAATTTCGGTAAATCGGTTCCAGAGGCAGATGGAGAGGGTGGGGTTTGCCCTCAGAGGGCTATGTACTCTCACACTTGCACACCAACGAGAAAGGTGTCGCACATGTATGGGTACCTAGGTGTGTGGTTAGCTATATCCCGCGTCTCCTTCCTCCCTTCTCTCCTTCACTCTTCCTGTCTCTCTCCCCGTCTCCCTCCCGTCTGAACAAAATATCCAACCCCCAACTATCACAAAAGATGCACTCTTGCTTCCAATTCCTCTTATTATCAGTATTCCTTCTACTCGCACTCCAATGCTCTGCGACTTGTATGCCCTCCGGCAACACCGCACTCGGACCTTGTATGGATTGGTGTTACAAGAACAATAAACCATTGAACGGACAAAAAGTTGAGGCTTACATCATAACTCTATGCTCTCTCGACAATTGTCAGGATTGCATGTGAGTATAATTGATTTCGTTGCGAGCGAGCTCTTATAAGCTACCTATTGTACTGTACTCGCCGGGAAAGACTGACAGCTTTGTAGACCCTAAGTGAATCAGAAGGTGTACAAAGCGATGTCACACAGCGACTCCGGTTTCATTGACTCGAGAGACCTTGTCTAGAGTTGCCCATAGGCAGAAGACTCTCAGCTGCAGTTGAAAGTGGGAAGCATGGACTGCGGCTTTCTAAAACAGCGAGATCGGTGGGGAGCATGAGCTTGATGATGGATCGCTTGCCGAGTTGTTATAATATTACTCGAGTGGCTATGTACATTAATGTCTTATCCACAATGCTCAAAGTATAAAATGTCCAGTCCTGCTCCCTCAAAACATACAATGCTGCTGGTGCATCATGCCGAAGTCGTCAGGTGTATAGACAGGCGTCATTGCTGCAAAAGCCGCTGGAGCTGAGATGGCGTGCTCCATTGGCGGTGCTATAGGCCAGGTCATCGTCGAATCGATGGGCGTTGTGTATCCCATGTTGAAGTCGGTGGTCGGTGGATAGTTTGTTAGTCCGTAGGGCTCAGGTGCCATGTTTGCTGAGTGTGTAGTGGTGGCGTTGTATATTAGTTCTTGATCGGCAGCGTCGAAGCCAGCAGGCGAAGCAGATTCGGTGCCATCTTCCAGTGCGTCCTGCCTCGATGATACTTCGATTTCCTTCAGCCAGCCGTTGGCCTTGAGCCACTCTATCGGTGGCCAGTCGCCACCCGCTTTGCCAGCTCTGCTCTCTCGTTCCTCGCCGCGTGCTTTTCGGCCCCGTTTTCGAGGGCAGAAATGTGCTCTTCGCAAGTGCGCTGCGGCGTTGTAGTACGCCGAGTAGTTCTTCTGCTGTTTACACTGCTTGCAAATGCCGAGGGGCTTGGTAGGCCACCACTCAGTGCGCACGGTCGGCTCTGTGCAGATCCATACCTTACGACACTCTGCATGCGCTCTCTCCCAATGTCGTCGAAGTTCGTGATCCCCACGGAAACCATTGGGGAACTCGTTGCACATGCTACACTTCAGCTTCGGATGTTGTGGTCGGACATAGGGAGCCTTCGAAATGGCCTCCTTTCGCTTGACGGCGCTTTCTTGCTTCTGAGATGCACTGCTGTCGGGTGTTGCCGGTTTGCTGATTGCCACATCTTTGGGTGCGATGGACTGGCGAGCATTTTCGATGTGCTTTCTTCGACGCTCATAGCTCTTCTGCTCGCTGCCAGTGTTGTCGCAGCTTTCCTGCTGTTCAGACAGTGTCGGCTCCATACCTTGCGCTTCTTCCACATGCGTGGTGTTGTGAGTATGCTGTTGTTCGACAACAGTCATATCAGGAATACTATGATCGAAAAGAGAAAAGTCTGTACCAACTAAGCCGTAGCCCACGTTGCTGAGCAGGTGCGAAGCGCTACTATCATCTGTGACGATAGTAGGCTGACCGCCCGCGGGTGGCTTTTCTGTAGAACATGATACACTGAGATCATCAAGGGGAAACATCTGGGAATTGGTGGAGAAGGAAGACGCAACGCGCATCATGCCAAAATCATCAGTCACCGACACACTAGACACACTACTCTGCCTACTCATCGCTTCACTTGCAGTTTGCGATGAGGGCGAAAGGTGGGTTGATATACTCGTACTCGGCGAGATGTCATACGCTGAAGACGGGCACAAGTGTGATGCGAACAAAGCCGGCGGGGACTGTTGATTTGAGTCAAAGCAGTCAACCCTCGGCTTTTTCGTAGCAGACTGCGCATGTTCAGTTTCATAGACGCTCGAGAGCTTGGAGCAGTAATCGGCAGGTTCGTAGACCTCAACATGGTCGACATGAGTCGAAAGGGATGGTGACGAGTGCACTGGTCGGCAGGGTGTCGTGCCGTACGTGTAACTTGTCGAGTGCATCATGTCGACATGATGGATGTCTCGCTTGCGGCTGTTCTTCGAGTCGTGAGCAAGACTTGATCTAGGCTGCGGATTTGATGCCGCGAGGCCGATAGTAAAGCGACGTCGTCGTGTCGCTGGTGAGAGAGTGCCGTCTCGTCGTGTCGAGGTAGTCCGTCCGCCGTCCAGATGTCGTTCATCCTGCCAGAGTCAGTTAGAGAGGCCAGAGCGCCGGCGACCAAGAATGAAAGCTCCTACAAAAGGGCCAGAATTCGAACTGCCGACGAGACCAGTGGTGGCGAGGTCGTGTTGGAGTGCTCGGGGCACGACGGCGTCGTCGGTGGTGGTGTTGAGCTGGTGGGAGGCGTCGAAGGGGAAGTCGGTCCAGCCGTCCAGCGAGCCGAGCCAGTCTGTCGCGGGCTGCTGCCAGAGATGCAGCGTGTCCAGATCCTGTATACCATTTGAATACGACATGGTTCAGGTCAGTGAAAGCGTGTTTGTGTGTGTTGGAGCGTCGGTGGTGAGGTGAAGGCCGAGTGCTGCCAATGAAATTGACGTGAGAAAATGAGGCGAGCGAGCAGCAGCAGTTTTATAGCAGCGCGGCGAGGCAACGCACGAGATGAGGTAGGTGCTCGCCAGTGCAGGTGCGGTGGGTGCGGTCGGGAGGAAAGAGCTGCACGGCTGCGTAGCAAACTAGGCAAAGAAGGCCATAGCACGCCGCGCCTGCACCAAAGCCAGGCCGGACGCGCAAAAAGTGAGGCGACGAACTGGGAAGCAAGCCGCGGCGGCGCGCGTGACGAGGCGCCAAACCTCACACGTCCGATCGCACGGGGGCCAACCTTCGCGCTACAGAAGACATCCTGGCACCGAGCTGCCTTGCTCCACTCCTCCATCAGAACTGTCACCCATGCTTGCCTGCCGCCGCGCGCGACACGACAACGCCCACGTCTCGTGCTGCTGGGGGCCGCCGCAGGATGGACAGGCCTGGAGCACGCTTCTGCCGCACCGATCGTCGTCTGCCAGCGCCAATGACGCAGCAGCACGAGAATATCGCCGTGTTCGTGTGACTCCGAGCACGTTGCAGAGACACAAGTGACGACGCCACTGCTCACTGTCAGAATGCCTGCTCTCACTGATGAGACTGAGACTGCGCACATTGCTGTTTCCGGACTCCTCCGGCTAGCAAAAGAGCATCATCATGGCAAGCACGGACAAGAAGACGGTAATTTCCTCATTGCCAGCATCTTGCAGAACTACGACCTCGGGTGCTGCGTGAACGACACTGCGCTCTCGTGAATGCCAAGGCCATCGTTCTCATGGAACGGAAATGACTACACTTCACTCACAGGCACGAACCGCGGCATTTCACCGGCCATACAATGCTCCTGGGCATCTCTTTGGATCACTCGTGAACACCGCCGGAACCGAAATGGACTCTATCCCAAAAACATGCCCGCGAGACTTGAACTCAGAAATTCAATGGAGAAGTCGGAGCACGGACTTAACAGCACACAGTATTCCATTGCAAGCTCTATCATGATCATCTGTTGCTAGCCGTGGCCACTACTCTTCTAATCCTGTCTAGAGGGTTTCTTGGCCTCCGTGTTGACATGCCTTTGGACAAACTTGTCTTCGGCGCAGCGGCTGGACTCACCCACGCCGGAGTAACGCTCATCTCCTGGATGTCGTCCTCATCGAGAACTCGATCCGTTATTATCGGCGTCGGTCTCATGGAAGCAGTCCCACTTGCATTCCTGCTAGGCTGTAACCTGGGCGAGCCAGAACCGAAATCTCCAGCTTCTGGTGTCGGAAGCAGTATGGATTGTAACACTCGTTCAGGTCTGCCCGCGCTGAAGGATTCTTTACGCCCCTTAGCATTATCGGACGTCGCGGACTTTGCCGAGGCTCGTGACAGTCGAGCGATTCCTCGCGCTCTGAGCGTCTCTGAGGTCTCCAAGGGCTTGAGTACTGTTGGAGCATTATCAGATCGAAGCCTGTTCATGCTTTCAAGTACTTCCTTTGCGATGACAACTTCAATCGGACTGGCTTCTACATCAGATTCATCCTCTTCCTCGTGAACCATATCCAGTTGGACGACCGGTTTGGCGAGAATATCGCCACCGAATGAGACCGGATCAAAGCCAAAATCATCGAAGAAGTCGCATATGTCCTCCGAGACCGCATCGTCGCTTTCTCTCCTGGGAATGGCCAAGGAGTGTTGATACAGATCATCCACGACGTCTTGAAAGGCTTCCAGGCTTGCCACAGAGTTCTTGCGCGGTGCAATCGCGGGCTTGGGTAGCTTAATGGGACCGTGCAAGTAACAAGTACGCCGCCATGCTGTCAATTCTGGCGGCGTCACAGTGACAACTGAACCTCCTCGGAGATGGATCTGAGTCGCTGTCGGGATCGCCGGACTGACTCCAGCTGGCATGTTCTCGTTGTTAATCGAGTCCTCCGATATGGCATTAAGCCCACTTGCGTGCAGGACAGGATCTCCAGTATCCTTCGCTTGACCATGATTCAGAGAGACCTGCGAGAGCGGGCTGCGACCAATAATGCCAGATCTGCGGCTCTTTAGTAATTCCGGGTCCTTGGGAGTGGTGGGAGTGCGCGGCAACAGCTCTGTCGGAGTTCGTGGTAGCATATTTGGTGTACCAGGTAAGTCTTTCTCAATGAAGCTGAGCCGAGGGGGCAAGTTGACGCGAGGCGGTTGCGAAGACCTCGATCTGCTAACTGTGTTGCCCTTCCTGAACGCGAGGCACTCTGGAATAAGAGAAGCATTATCAATCTGCATTCTCGTCGTTTCCTCCCAATGCGGTCGCTTGTCCTTTGCCAACGCTCGGGTAGGCACCTTCGAGCTTGAAGGCTTAGCGACGGCACCTGTCCTCCACCGTCGTGTGCTCATATCCTCGACTATCTGTGGCGCACTGCGAACTGAGATTGCCGCCATAGAACGATGTCTTGCGTGGTCGTCGAACGATCTCCTTCGTGTATCCTTCTTGGAACAAGTGCCAGCCCCATGAGAGCTGCCTTTAGTCGAAGCAGGGTTGCGACTGGTCGTTCGCGAAGCAGAGATATGCTTTGATGTTGGTGGCGCCGATGATGAGCGGACGTGAGAAGACGTAGTCCTCATCACTGCTGGTTCACGGCCTCGGGAATACTTCCACAGTCGACGCTCGGCGGTTGCATAGGATCTTGTATTCGTCGGTATCTTTGGCGGAGCATTCGTAGGCGGCGGCGGTGGAACAGCAAATAGGTGGGATGAAGCGACTCCGTATCGCGCATTCCTGTCCACGGCTTTAACGTTATGCATAGCACTCTCTCGTAGATGTGCTGTGGTTCTAGGGCTCATTTGATGCAGCACCTCTTCTCCGCGCTGCTGCGTATCAATCGTTGTCGTCGCTTCATATTCTTGAGCTCGAGCCTTCAATGCAGTCAGATTAGACATTATTGCAGGAGGTGAAGTGCACTGTTAAAGGTGTTGGGAATAGTTTATCGTGTTTGCGCTCATGTTTCCCTTTCGTTCTTTCTTTGTCCAGCTATAGCCAACTTCTCGAAAGGCAAGCTTTGGCGAACATACAAAGGAAAAAGCTTTTCGCTACCAATGAGCCTTGCATTCCTCAGAATGTCGTGTATCCGGATTGGTAAGTGCTTCGGAGCGTTATCCCGAGTCTCACCTTTTGCGCAGTGGTGCGCTGCACTTTGTTGCGATTGGCGCGCAATGGTGAAGTTATCTTTTTGTGTGTTCCTGTAGTGGTAATTCTGGGTTGCAGTGCCATGAGCACGAAAGTGTAGTGGTGTCTGCGGAGCATTGTACGACGTTCAACGTGGTGTATTGTGTTTGACGCGACGAAAGGGCGGTAGATCTTCTTAAGTTTGGGAACAGACGCTATATAGCCTCTCCTAATGGCAGTGATGGAGTGCGGATAATATATATACACATCTTAGTAGCCACAGCTGTGCTCAATTGTTCACAGCCGGAGCAGCAAGTGTGTTCCCACCATCGGGATACTAGTTTCATGTCAGCGACGCCTACACTAGCAGATACTACACAGGATTGCACACTTACCAAAATTTGATGATTGTAGAACACACCACCCTTACCAGCAAGGAACAAAATGGTGGCCGCCATATCTCCATCCTCGCCTTTCCGACCCGCTGGGTTTCCAGAATCCATGTCCATCTCAGTTTTGTTCGCTTTGTTGCTGTCTCCGCCAGTCATCTCACTTGGGAAGACGCCAGGGGCAATAACATTTACTCGAACTTTGACGTCTTTGAACGTTGTGGCGAGCATTCTTGACAAGTGCGTAAAGGCGGCTTTCGAGCTTCCATATGCGAATTGGCCCATCGATGAGCCCTTCCTGTAAAGATTGTTAGCAGTTGGTTCGGGGTCCCGGGAGTGGGTCTGAGTATTTACATTGCTCCAGAGATGGATGAGACGTTGACCACGCTTGAGGTGTATCCTGGAGTTTGCTTGCCGCCCTTCTCCAGAATTGGAAGGAAGGCAATGCTCATGAAGTATTGGCCCATGACATTGGTGCGAAAAGTATCTGCCCATTCTGATTCTTCAGAGCGGAGGAAATATTTGGAGATCGCTTCTGCGCTGGACATATCCGGCGGGCCATCCTGAAGACAATAATGGTCAGCTTGCAATCTAGCGCACTTGCAGGAGCACCCAAAGGTCGGAGGAAAAAGCGAAGAGTATCTCACCGCGTTCGCCGAGAACTTAGTGCTGTCACGCGCAATGCCAGCGTTGTTGACGAGCAATTGGATTCCGTTCGGCTCCTTCTGTTCGATTTCCTTGGCAAGCTGCAGAGCGCCTTCCTTGGAACTGACATCGCCCACTAGTTTGTGCAGGCTTCCTGGACCGGTGTTGTACTGCTTGATGGCATTGTCAAGCACTTCTTCTCTGCGAGAAGTGATGTAGACTTTGGCTCCGTTCGAAACAAGGGCCTGGGTGATCATCAAGCCAATGCCTGTGGCGCCGCCAGTCACTAGTGCTGTGACATGTGATACGTCAAAGAGGCCGGATGCCTTCAGATCTTGGTTGTTCGCCATATCTGATATTGTTAGCTGATTGAATCAAGAGGACTGCGGATGAATGCTGACTCGTGGAGAGTAATCTGTGGTGCTGGGTGAGTCCTGTTTGTCGAGGAAGATTTGATAGAGTGCGAGTTGTTCTGGAGAAGAGACGAAGCATGGCTGAATGAAAAATGTGTTATGTGGGCATGTCGTGCATCTCAATGGCATGCGGATGGCATCCAAGTGATGCGGTCAATGGTGATGGGCTCATGACGTTGACAACCTGTGCCTCACCGTCACTGGATGCTGGAGGACTACAAATGGCAAGCAATTCCCCGGCGTTGGAGACATGCGTGCACGGCATACTGGGAGAGACCACAATGGACTCTGCGCAAGTTGTGATATGGCTCACTGTGTTGCACGAGCTGAGCAACTGTTAGGCACCTTTCAGCAGCTGGCCCGGTCGCTAGCAACATGCTGGATTCCGAAGGCGATGCCACAGTCTGTTTCTCGGACTGATCTGTGGAGCAAATATTATGTCTCTTCGCTGAGCCTGGGAGCGGTGACCTTGCTCATGTTCGAAGAAAGCATTTCGAGCGATTGTGTGATTGCTTTCGTCTCAACTCCTCGATGGAAGACAATCGCATCTCAGACACATCTCTGGGGCATAGTCTTGCGCGAGGCATATTCACCGGGGAGGGCCTCCTCTTCGGAACCAGATCTGCTTTGTGGCGAATGCTCTGGACTTGCATCCGACTCATCACAGCTCTGTGAGCATTGGAGCAGCACTCGGGGGTGGTCTTGGCGGTTCATGTGCGTGAAGAGGAGTGTTGGGCAGGTGTGCCGACCGACTTTCACCGAGGTCGGGTTTCAATGTCAGCATGTCAGCCAGTCCCATGATTGGCCGAGGACAAATGTTCCTCCCAAGTCGCCATCTGGCCGCGGACATTCGCAGCAGTCCACAGATCATGGTTCAGTAGACAGAAGTGTTGTGACAAGGGAGGACAATAGCCTCAGGTGCGCACTGGAAGTGTCGGAAGTCTAGACGTGTAAGGCAGTGCCGATATTCGTCGCCGCCAAAAGTCATGCAAAGGTGAAGCACGGCAGCTGGCTTTAGCTCTGTCCCGGCGTGTTTAGAGCCGACGTGAGTGACATCTACGATTCTTCTTGTCCATCTCAATCGCCTCGCTGCGAGACCGCACCACCACCCACTCCCCTCCACCCGCCTTTCTGCTCCTCGAGAGCCTGGAGTTCGTCTGTTGTCACCACCGCCAACATGTTCTCCGCCGGACTCAGGCACTTTTCCGGCCGTGGCGCCGTCCGCGCTGCGTCCCGCAACTTCTCCAGCACACCACGAGCAAACCGCATAATCACCAGCGCTCCGCTGCGAGCGAAGGAGGCCTCGGGCGCCATTGGACACAAATACCCGGTCATTGACCACGAGTACGATGCTCTCGTCGTCGGCGCTGGAGGCTCTGGTCTCCGTGCAGCCTTCGGTCTGGCAGAGGCTGGCTTCAACACCGCGTGTATCTCGAAGCTGTTTCCTACACGATCACACACTGTCGCCGCTCAAGGAGGTATCAATGCCGCGCTGGGCAACATGCACGAGGATGACTGGCGATGGCATATGTACGACACTGTCAAGGGCTCCGACTGGCTCGGTGACCAAGACGCTATCCATTACATGACCCGAGAGGCACCCGCGTCTGTGTACGAGCTCGAAAACTACGGATGCCCCTTCTCGCGTACCGATGATGGCAAAATTTACCAGCGAGCCTTCGGTGGACAGTCACGGGAGTTTGGCAAGGGTGGACAGGCGTACAGATGCTGCGCTGCTGCCGACAGAACTGGACACGCTCTACTTCACACGCTTTATGGTCAATCTCTCCGACACAACACCAACTACTTCATCGAATTCTTCGCCATCGACCTGATCATGGAGGACGGCGAATGCAAGGGTGTCATTGCCTACAACCAAGAGGACGGCACTCTCCATCGTTTCCGTGCTCACAACACTGTCCTTGCCACCGGTGGTTACGGCCGTGCTTACTTCTCTTGCACTTCCGCACACACATGTACTGGTGATGGAATGGCCATGGTCGCTCGTGCCGGTCTTCCTAACCAGGATCTGGAGTTTGTGCAATTCCACCCCACTGGTATCTACGGCGCTGGTTGCTTGATCACCGAAGGCTCGCGTGGTGAGGGAGGCTACTTGCTCAACAGCGAGGGTGAACGTTTCATGGAACGTTACGCTCCAACAGCAAAGGATCTGGCATCTCGCGATGTCGTCAGCCGAAGTATGACCATGGAAATCCGTGAAGGTCGCGGTGTTGGTCCTGAGAAGGACCACATTTACCTGCAACTGTCTCACTTGCCTCCTGAGATTCTCCACGAGCGTCTGCCAGGTATCTCCGAGACCGCATCCATCTTCGCAGGTGTCGACGTTACCAAGCAGCCCATCCCTGTGTTGCCAACCGTCCACTACAACATGGGTGGTATTCCCACCAAGTATACCGGTGAGGTGATCACAGTCGACGAGAAGGGTCAAGACAAGGTTGTGCCAGGTCTTTTCGCTTGCGGCGAGGCTGCCTGTGTATCCGTCCACGGCGCCAACCGTCTCGGAGCCAACTCACTTCTTGATCTGGTGGTCTTCGGCCGTGCTGTCAGCCACACAATCCGAGATAACTTCTCACCTGGCAAGCCACACAAGGAGATTTCCAGCGATGCCGGAGCTGAGGCTATTTCCGTTGTTGACCAGATCCGCACCGCTGATGGACCAAAGAGCACCAACGAGATCCGAAGCGATATGCAGAAGGTCATGCAGTCCGATGTTTCCGTCTTCAGAACACAAGAGTCACTTGACGAGGGTGTGAAGAGGTGAGTTTTGCGTCTCCATTTGTGTTCAATCAGCTCTTGCTAACATTTTCCAGAATCAACGAGGTCGACAAGCAATTCCACCAAGTCGGTATCAAGGACCGAAGCATGATCTGGAACAGCGACCTGGTCGAGACTCTCGAACTCCGAAATCTCTTGACTTGTGCCGTGCAGACCGCCGAAGCTGCCGCAGTCCGCAAGGAATCTCGTGGAGCTCACGCCCGTGAAGACTACCCAGACCGAGATGACGAGAACTGGATGAAGCACTCCCTGACATGGCAGAAGAAACCTCATGAGAAGGTTGACATTGGTTACCGTGCAGTGCAAGCCAACACCCTTGACGAGAACGAGTGCAAGGCAGTTCCTCCATTTGCTAGAAAGTATTAGAAGCGTTCGTTGTTTGGCGAAGATCTTCAGATTAGTGAAGGTTATTCAGACGACTTCACTTTTTTACAGCAGGCTGCGAGGTCGCTCAAGGCAGATGTTGCTGACAGGAAACTGCATGTAGTCTAGAAGTAGCGAAGGCGTTTGTATATATATACTAGCATTCTGTTCGACTCGTGTTGTCTCTGCAAACACTTTGGCGTGCTGTGTCTGTGATATGAATGAAGGCCTTAGGCAGTGCAAACCAAGCTCAAAAATCCATTGCACGCTCATCGATTGGCAGCATAATTGAGCTGTACCTATCACAACATCGCTACGTATCAATTCGCGCTGCTCGCCTTTGTCTGTGAAGCCTCATGAACCCTCCGCATGGTCCGTGGAAATGGTAACCTCTTTCCACTCGTCAAGAAGTTGGATAGTCTCCTCACACTTGGCTCTGATGACACTATACGCATCACTCCCCAAAGCGAGTCGAGGAGGAATAGCTCTCCCATCACGTTTCTCAAGCACATCAGCAATCGCAGAGCACCCCAATTCAATATTCCCAAGTTGCGTATTATCCTTCTCCTCCAAAGCCTTCCTTACCTGTCCGACCAAAGTATCATCATAATCCTGAATCCTATTCTCAGTAAACTGCCTCGCACCCGGATTCAAAAATCCCGTCCTAAAATACCCTGGCTCGATAGAAATCACATCGATTCCCAAAGGTTCAACTTCTGCTCTCAAGGATTCCGTGAGACCGGCAATGGCCCATTTGACGCCCCCGTAAATGCTTGCGCCTGGAACTCCGCGCCAGGAACCGATGGAGCCGAAGTGTGCGATTGTACCGGATTTTTGGGCGCGCATGTAGGGGAGGACTGCGCGGGTGAGGTTTAGGACTCCGAAGACGTTGACGTTGAAGGATTGGAGGGTTTCGGAGGGGGAGGCTTCTTCGAGGGCGCCTTCGAGGATGAAGCCGGCGGCGTTGATTAGGATGTCGAATTTGCCATAGTGTTTGTGGGCTGAGGCGATGATGGTGTGGAGTTCGGAGAGGGGTTGGGTTACGTCTAGGTCAACTGTTGTGGGGTGTCAGAGAGATGGAATTGCAGGTCTGGTTTGGAGGGATTCTACTTACGTGTTACAGCGCCTTTTTCTTTGAGGTCTGATATTTTGGTGCTGTCCCGAGCGGTTGCGATAACCTTGTGGCCGCGTTTGAGAGCTTCAAGTGCTATGCCTTTGCCAAAGCCGCTCGATGCAGCGCTGACCAAGTATACGAGTGGTGCCATTCTGATGAGCGCCTATTCAGCAGTCGATTCGATGTGGTGTGCTGGGGTAGTTGGAGAAGGCGAGAGCGATCTGGGTTGGGCGCGGGTCAGATTCAAGTAGACCTTTCCTGGAGAGCACGCCGGAAGGAACAGCAAGAGCAGTCGTGATCATGGAGCACTAAAAGATGCTAAGGCCGAGCTGATACCTTTAGTGTGACATGTCGATCTATGGAGGAACCCCTCTCTCTGCGTTCTAGGCCGGCTGTGCTGCACAAAGCAAAGAGGGTGCAAGAGAAATGCCAGAGTATTCCTCGCCAAGTGCTGCACCGACCTGTTGATCTCTCACAGCCCTAGTGTGCTAGGATTTCCGTAGGAAGCTTGCAATGGCTTAGAAGCTACAGCAGCTGCGATAGGCGAGAAGGTGGCATTCGGTTCCGAAAGCTGGGATGCGAATGGCTGTCAAGTGCCAAGATGTCGAGCTCATGAGCTGGCATCTAGCTCTCGAAACGCAACTTCCTCTGGTAGCCGAAAGCTCGCACAACTGCTCATGTCAGCATCGTACGGTTACGTCAAGAACAAACTGGTGATCAACTTACAACATCCGCTTTTTAGGTGCCACATCTCGAACGTCGTAGATCTGGACATCGCCATCTTCGATTTTGCCGGGCCTAAGAGTCGTCTCCAACTGTCGAGAGATCTCTGCTGCGATCTCAAGACCTTCCTTCACGTTGTCATCACTCTTCGTGCTGAAGCAGTATACGTGAATCAAGGGCATGCGCAATTCTGCTCCCAGGAGCTGACGAAGTTCAGGGGTGTACACTCCAATGAAGCTCGGCAAAAAGGTGATTGCTGTAGCTGGAAGGTTCATCACGAAATGCTGAAACGTTCGTGGCTGGTGAAGTGTTTTCAACACTTCTGGTTTGGCATCCGGCTCTTTTCTCGATGGTCGCTTCGTCACATGCACGGTGTGCTCCGCTTTGGCGAGCTCTTGAACAGCGCGACGAATGAACGTTCTTCCGTCTTCGTTGAATGGCTGTACATAATCTTGAACTCGGTTGCGAGATATGGCATCCCGTAGACATTCATAGCTGTCCGGGTTTAGATCATTGGCCCACATGAAGATGTGCTTCTTGCCTGCGGGTACGGCAAATGGTCCAATGCCAGCCATGACATCGCATACTGCTTCACCTTCATTGAATATCGATACCAAGCGACGGTGTTCAGTGTTGAGTCGGCTGTTCCAATAAACTTTGCTATAGTCGAATTTGAAGGTGCAATTTTCCTCGGAAATCGTAACGTTCATGTCGTCCGGTCCGGCGAGAACTTCGTACTGGAACGTTCTGTATTCGCTTTCCTCACCCACATCATCGATTTTATTAATCACAGTACGCACTCCGGCGTTTTTGTCCATCAGGATCTCCGCGATGAGGTGTTTGTACTTGAGATATTCGTCGCGCAGATTCAAGTGAGCAACATGCCCGACTTGCGAGAATCCGGACGGTATCTCTCCCTGTTCATCCTCAGGGAGTATTGCAGAAATGATGTCGTGATACGTCCAGTACGAGTAGTCCAACTTGAGCTGGAATGGTATGACACTGATCAAACCCTGGCTCGCAAGTTCCGCCACTGTCGAAGAATGCGGTCCTGTGCTCTTGGGATGTGCTGCAGCATATTGAGGGTCGATACCTGTGGTCGTCTCAGGTCTCAGCAAGACGCACTTCTTGCCGCTCTGTGCTCGAGATGGATCCGGGTCAGGATGTACGCTCCCCAAGCGCTCTTTGGCTAGAGCATCCTTGCTCTTCTCCAGAGCGGTTCTCACGCTGAAAATGTTCTTGTTCTCGAAAACTCGAGCGGCTTTGAGGTCGACATTGCGCTGGAAGGCTGATCGATCCAAGGTTCGCATCAGTCTGTTGGCGGGCGGGCGCCACATGTCCTCGTCTGCCATGGGGATGATGAGCGGATGTCAGTGATGTTGTTCCGAGTCAGAATGGTGTTCCTCCAGAACTTATTTAGGGTTTCATTAGCCCGCTCTCGCGACGCCATATGGGGATGCCGGGGAAGGACGGTATCCAGCCGACCACCTCATTGTGTTGTGTGCTAGTCGCCGGCTCCTTGCATACCGGTCTCGCTTGTACACTGGAGGAGAATGTGGCATATGCATTGATCTGTGATAAAGGTCAGTTGTATCGCAGCATGATTTCTGTTGAAATCGAGACCAACCACTCGTCAAGCGGACGGCTGCTTACCGCTGCCGCTAAACGTGCACTGCTTCTCGCCCGAATGACATGGGTGTCGGTTGGGATCTGCATGTGCCTGGCAGTCCGTGCTGTGGCACTTCGACATTTCACTTGCATGTCGACGCGCCAGCTGTGTCAACAACCCACACTCGGCCACATCTAAGCACACCGCACCGACGCAGCGGAGTTCTGCAAACGACGACGACGACGACCGACGCGATCGAGCACGCGGCCATCGAGCACCGGCAACGCATGCTCGCGGCCGCAGCAGAGGGGACATGAGTTCGCGCCGCAGTGATCTACGGCCACGCTCAGCACGATGGCCTCTGCCAATGGAGCGGGCGGTGGCGGCGGTGGAAACATAAAGGTCGTGGTGCGTGTGCGGCCTTTCAACTCGCGCGAGACGGGCCGCAACGCAAAATGTATCGTGTCGATGAAGGACAAGCAGACTGTGCTCTCCCCACCGCCGCCCGATGGCAAGAATAAGGCGGGAAAGGCTGCGCTCGAGGGCAACAAGACGTTTGCCTTCGACAAGTCATACTGGTCCTTCAATCGCAGCGACGACAATTTTGCCGGACAGGAGGATGTCTTCAACGACTTGGGCAAGCCATTGCTACAGAATGCCTTCCAAGGCTACAACAACTGCATTTTTGCCTATGGGCAGACGGGTTCTGGCAAGAGTTACAGTATGATGGGCTATGGCGAGGAGGAGGGTGTGATTCCACGCATTTGTAGGGAGATGTTCGAGACCATCAATGGAATTCAGACGAATGATGCAAACACCACATGCACCGTCGAGGTCTCGTACCTCGAGATCTACAACGAGCGAGTTCGCGACCTGCTCAACCCGAGCAATAAAGGCAACCTAAAGGTCCGAGAGCATCCCTCTACAGGTCCATACGTGGAGGACCTTGCGAAGCTTGTGGTCCGTAGCTTCGTGGAGATTGAGCACCTCATGGACGAAGGAAACAAGGCACGAACAGTCGCTGCGACGAACATGAATGAAACATCCTCGCGATCGCACGCCGTCTTCACTTTGACATTGACACAAAAGCGCCACGATGTGGAAACGAACATGGAGTCGGAGAAGGTAGCCAAAATCAGTCTTGTCGATCTGGCAGGATCAGAGCGAGCGACAAGCACGGGAGCGACCGGTGCAAGATTGAAAGAGGGTGCTGAAATCAATCGTTCGCTGTCTACGCTGGGTCGAGTCATAGCAGCATTGGCAGATATGAGCTCAAGCACCAAAGCCAAGGCAAAAGGCATGCAGGTACCATATCGAGACTCTGTCTTGACTTGGCTGTTGAAAGACAGTCTGGGCGGCAACAGTCTCACTGCCATGATCGCCGCCATTTCTCCAGCCGACATTAACTTCGAAGAGACACTGTCAACTCTTCGCTATGCCGACAGTGCTAAGCGAATCAAGAACCACGCGGTTGTCAACGAAGATCCGAATGCCCGCATGATCCGTGAGCTCAAGGAGGAGCTGGCACAGCTGCGGTCAAAATTGACCAGCGGAGGGACGGTCGCTGAGGAGCAATACAGCGCCGACACGCCATTGGAGAAACAGATTGTCAGCTTCACGCAAGCCGATGGTACTGTGAAGAAAGTCTCCAAAGCTGAAATTCAAGAACAGTTGTCGCAATCGGAGAAGCTCTATCTCGATCTCAATCAAACATGGGAAGAGAAGCTCACCAAGACGGAGCAGATCCACAAAGAGCGCGAAGCTGCTTTGGAAGAGCTGGGCATCAGCATCGAGAAGGGCTTTGTGGGAGTGAGCACGCCCAAGAAGATGCCTCACTTGGTGAATCTGAGTGATGACCCACTGTTGGCTGAATGTCTCGTCTACAATCTGAAGCCCGGAACCACTACTGTTGGAAACGTGGACACGAACCCTGCGCCTGCTGAAGATGGCGACACCTCGAATTCGACGACGGTCGACATCCGCCTGAATGGATCAAAGATTCTTCATGAACACTGCACTTTCGAGAATGTGGACGGTGCTGTCACTGTGGTACCCAAGGAAGGCGCCTCAGTGATGGTCAATGGCATCCGAATCGATGCACCAAAGAGACTGCGATCGGGCGACCGTCTCATTCTCGGAGATTTCCTCATTTTCAGATTTAGCTCGCCCCTTGAAGCCAAAGAAGAACGAGCAGAGCAGGGCAGCCTGCTGAAATACTCAATCACAGCTGATCAGATCGATTCGCCCTCACCACGCCTGCCTGGCCATGAAAGGACCTCAAGTTCAATGAGCCGCATATGGTCAGACGATGAAGGAGATTCTCGAAGTCCTGGCAACAGATCTCCGGCGCCATATCGTCTACATGGTCGGGATCACGATTGGGCGTATGCACGGCGCGAAGCCATTGCTTCAACGCTGGGGCCAGATCAGAAGATATCAGACCTTACAGACGATCAGCTTGATGTTCTGTTCGATGATTTGCAGCGCGCACGTGCAGTACGAAAGGGGAGGCCAGAATCTAAGCTATTCGATAATTACGGAGGTGACACCGATACTGAATCAGTGTCTTCACATCCAGTGCGGGACAAATATCTGAGCAACGGCACACTGGACAATTTTTCGCTAGACACGGCTCTGACCCTTCCCTCAACACCGCGGCACAGTGAAGACGAAGACCAGCTGAGGCATACCAAAGACGAATTGCGGGAGCAGCTCGATAAGCAGAAAGAAGAGTACGAGAGTAAACTACAAACCGCAGGAGAGGGTAGTGCTGAAATTGAAGAGCTTCGGACTGAAAAGGCGAAAATGGAAGCCTCACTCGAAGAGATGAAAGAGCAGATGCAGAAGCAGCTGGCTGAGCAGAAGAAAGAATTTGATCGCCAACTACGCGAGCTCCGAATACCGCGCAAGCCGAGAAGGAAAAGTCAACACCAAGGTCTGAGCGAAAGAGAGGTTTGGCTGGCCAGATATGTGCTGAACCACTGGAAGCGCCATCGATACGTAGCCATGGCCGCCGGTGTTCTCAGGAACGCTTCGCTACTGAAGGAGGCCCAGATTATGAGCCAGCAGATTGGGCGAAGTGTGGTGTTTCAATTTACCATTGTGGACATTGGGCACACTCTCGGCTCGTCATATGACCTTGTGTTGAATGGCATCACCACGGAAGAAAGCAATGATCCCGAGCTGGAAGTCGCACTTAAGCCATGCTTGGCCATCAGGGTCATCGACTTTCACAGCAACGTTATACGGCTTTGGTCGATAGAAAAGCTACACCGCCGGGTACAGACAATGCGACAGATGCTGCAGTTCCTCGATCGCCCCGAATACACGCAGCATTTCAATCTCAGCAACCCATTCGACGAGGACTGTATGCCAGACTACACGAGGATCGGAGATGCTGACATCCCACTTGCGGCGGTGTTCGAGTGTCGCGTGCAAGACTTCACCTTGGACGTCTACTCGCCATATACTTGCTCCATCGTGGGGGTGATACATCTTTCTCTCGAGCCAAGCTCGGCGGAAGCTCCCGGCAGCGTTCTCAAATTCAACGTGGTTATGCACGAGCTCTTGGGCTTCGCGGAGAGGGAGGGAACGAATGTTCATGCACAATTATTCGTGCCTGGTGTCTCAGAAGAGGGCGGCGCAACCACGACCGCCCTTATCAGCGGTTTTGGAGAAGGCCCCGCACGATTTGACAGTGTGCATAGCATGAGTCTGCCACTGTCAGCCCCCCAGGACGCAAGCCTCAGAGTGAGCATATTCGCACAAGTCACCAGCATGCACATGGACAAGCTCCTTAGTTGGGACGACATGCGTGATGCATCCATCTCAGCGAACATCAAGCCTAGGATGAAAAGGCAACACTCGCGACTGCCCGAGCACGAGTATTACAGCGATGAGAGACACGATGTTTTCGCGAGGGTGCAAATACTGGAGATCAACGAAGAGGGTGAATATCAACCTGTGGAAGTTGTGCAGAATGACACATCAGATCAAGGGGCATATCAACTCCATCAGGGCATCCAAAGACGTATCGTGCTTCATTTGCAGCACAATTCGGGCAACAGTCTTCCATGGAAAGACGTCGACCGTATGAAAGTTGGCAAAGTGCGCCTATTGGACAGCACTGGCAAGGTCACCGACGAGGATAGTAGCCAGCCGGATGTGCCGCTAATAGCGGTCTCGCCGCCGATCATTCGCAAGGATTCTGACGGCACAACTGATGTGAAGTTGACGGTGCAATGGGACTCGAGCGCGCACAATTCTGCATTGTTGGATCGACCTACACTGGATAAGTATCGTGTGCAACTCACACTACGTTTCGAGGTGCACTCGCCAAGAGTTACACATCCCATGGGTTTTGGCTTCGACATCGCGATGCAGACCCGGCCTCGTAATTGGTATCGTCAAAACTCTCTCCTTGGGCAGTTGTTTCACAATCAACGTGTTGTCCATTCGACCGCGGCGACGTACGCAGTGACATTGAAGCCAAGCCAAGCGAAGAGGGCTGGCGATTTGTGGCGAATGGATACCACCGGTGACTACATATCAGGACAAGAAGGTCTTTCTAGCTGGGCACCACGAGGCGTCTCCCTTATCCGAGACTGGATGAATCTGAACAAGCGGCGCTTCCGAACTGCTGAGATCGAGGCTGCGCGTGGTGCTCTTGGCCCCAGCGCGTTACTACCACCCGAGGGAACGCGCGACAACAATAACAGCGAGATGACCGAACAGCAGAAGGAGCTCGTGCAAAGGTTCTTGGACGTTTGGGACACTGGCCCATCTGTCAGTGAGATCTTGCTCCTTGACTGCAACACTGACTCTCCGGCCAACGGTGCTGCATTTACGAGCGCAACTGCCAATGGCGAAGACGACATGCCCCTGGCGGCTACAGTGGAAACGCAACTGAAGTCGCCGAAGGTATTGAAATCCGGCTGGCTTCTGTGCCCTGACAACTCAGGCAGGCGGTGGGAGAAGACTTTCGTGGAGCTCAGACGTCCATTCCTACACCTGTACGATGGCAAAGCTGGTGACGAGGTCAACGCCGTCAACCTCACCAATTCACGAATTGACGCCGAGCCCGAAATTGCAGCATTATTGCAAAGACCGAATGTACGCATGGAAGTGTGGGCTGTGTACACCACCAATCGAGCATACCTATTCGCATGCCGCAACGACAAAGAACGTGGTGAATGGATCTGGGCGCTAGACCGCAGCTATGTCGCCAACGGAAGTGGGGGCAGAACGCCCGAAGAGTGGGATCTGGAGTAAAATGTGGACCGCACACACACAAAGTACGTTTCCTTGGTTATACTGTTCAGCAGGCGCTTGTTGTTCCTAAAGATACCCATCGCATATGGCTATGAGCCACGCGATAGTTTTTTCATTACATTTTTCCGTCCTTGCAGCACGAGGATTTCTCTGAAGTAGCCAGTAGCTTTATGATGATTATGAAAGAAGAAGTTGTGATGAACGTCTCCGCCTTTTTTGCGCTTGGTGGCGCTACTGTATGACTTAGCCGAGTCGACTCGGCATCACAGATTTGCACCCTCGTGGACACGAGCTTTAGCAGTGGCGGGCAACTCAACACTAACTTCACCATGACTTCCTGGCTACGACACTATGGCAATACGGACGAGTATCGATGGCGAAGAGAAGGCAATGTCTTCAAACGACCTCTTGGATTTGTCGAATTTAGCTTCGATTGCGATGGCAGGCTGTTCGAGGGCCGTGCCGATATGAATAGTCTGGTCAAGCTTGCGATCAAATCAAAACTGTCGACCGAGGATTTTCGTGAGAGAATACTTCTTGCTTGGACACAATTGCGTGAGTCTGCACTCGGGTGAATCCATTCTGGGAGAATTCAACACGAGAGCTCGATCGAAGTGGAGTCGATGGCTCTGTCCAGACTGCAGTCTTTATGGCACAATTGAATGGCTACGCTCGTCGAAAGCCTCAATCTCCTCAACCGCTTCGAAATAATATGTTACGAGGCCGAGACTTTGAAACTTGGGGAATATCTGCTCACTTCCATCACAGGTTGTCAACATGTTCTTCTCCAAGCTCGAACGATCAGAGAGAAAGATGGCTTAAATAATTTTGCACCCCAAGGTACAATCACTCTTGCATTAACCTCGACTAGATGCTGACCAGCCCAGGACTCAGTTTCGCCGTCAACATCCACACCAGCGTCAGCAAAGCAGTAGAATCCGCAGGACGACATTTGATTTTCCTAGAAGATCACTACGAGCACGTCAACCACAAAGACTTCTACATGCACTGTCAAAACACGAGCCGAGTTGTAGATCCTGAAGATGCTTTAGCCAAAGTCTTCATCTTACCATCGACCCAAGAAGACGGAAACACCATTCTTCGGATCCAATTCGTCATAGCCCACGAGATCGCAGACGGAATTTCAATCAACGCCTGGACGAACAACTTTCTAAAATATCTCAACGAATCAACTGATCAACTGAAAACTCTGATCAAAACAACAATCAACCCAGAAGACATGCAAACCCGTTTACCTCTCCCACAAGAAGCCTTATACCCCAAAATCCCCGGCTCACTGGCACGACAGCGTTGGTTCTGGGCCATCACGAGAATCCTTCGACATGTTCGCAAACCCCACGCAGCAGGTTTCGCGAACCCATTACGACGACAACAAAAGCGAACGCCGATTCCTTTGTCGCCAACTTATAGTGCTGTACTGGACTACCGACGAACACTGCCGTTGAATACAATCCCGATGTATATTTCTGTTTCTGCTGAGAATACCGCGCGGTTGCAGCAGTTGTGTCGGGAAGCAAAAGCTAGTAAGTACAATTCCAAAACAACATCAAGGACAGCATAGCTGCGGTCTTCATATTATCGCGCAGACTCACTGATTTTCCTAGGCGTCGGAGCAGGAATCTACGCCTTAGTCGCAGTCTGCATGATGGAATTATACGAGCAACGCGAACCCGACATCCCACTCAACGAACGCAAATGCTTCATTACAGGATTCCCATTAAATCCTCGCGCATTCTTCGGGTTTGAGAATAAACCAGACAGCATGATGTTGGCTTTCAGCGATGGGATTTCATTGCCATTCTTATCATCGCACCTTGACGTGACGGGTCGACTACGTCTCCTAGCCAGGCAAGCACAACGTCAACTTTCTGCTTATCAGAAGAGAATTCGACCTGCGGGCGAGGATGGGAAGAGACAGTTCCTGACGAGTCGTGGTGCGGGATTGGTGTTGGCGAACCAGTAAGTGTGACGTTAATGCTTCGATATGTGAAGCAGCCAATTGACCAGGGCTAACTCTGGAATAGATATCTATACGGCATTGAGCGCGCCGACTCATTCTTCCCCGAGGCTCCCACGACCAATGTCCAAGGCGCATACCCAGCCCGACAGAATGCAACACAGCAGACATGCGGCGTGTCATCTGTCGGCAGACGCGATCTTCAAATCAGCAACGGGGCGTACAATGTCGCCCAAGCAGAGAAGGATTTCGTCGCGGATTTCCAAGACCTTACCGCGAGTGTTCGTGCACGGGAGGGAGAGTTTCTCGTCGGTATTGCGGGGACCAGTTCGGGGTTGGGAAGCTGTCCTTCTGTCGACATATCTTCGCTGGACCCAGAGTTGCTGGACGATTTCAAGAGCAGGTTCGAGAACATACTGGCGGATGTGGTGATCAATGAGGAGCGATCGAGACTATAGGCCCGTTTCCTGGAGTTTACGCCAGTAGCGGCGTGCTATGCCAGCCTATTAAGTGAGGAACAATCATTAGTAATGCGAATGAAAGCCTCTTATCCTCGTGTTGCTCGTGAACGATGTCGTCTAACTTCTATGTCGCCGCGCTGTGGAGCTGCTGTGTCTCGCGATCCGTCCTCACAATTCGTCTCTGTAGAACTCCTCCTGGCTGCCGGCTTGACCCTTGTCGCCTGCGTCCTTGTCCGCTTCTGATTCCGTATCCTTGTCGGCTTTCTTCTTGCCTTTTCGGGCAGGCTCGCCATCTTTCTGGTTCACCTCACCATCCTTTGGTCCTTCGCCTGTGGTTTCTTCCTCATCTTCATCACCTATGATACCTCGATACTCCCTACCACGAGGCGTGTCGATGACGTCCAGCTTCCACCGTTCCCCTTGTGCAATTTTTTCAAGCTCCTTCTTAAGCTTCTCTATAGCCTTCGGATCGCCTAAGCCGAGTTTCTCCATTTCCTCCTTGCTGAGAACTCTACCCTCCGAGTCTGCGAGGGTGTCGACATATGTCTCTTTGCCACCTCCCACAATGGCGCTTTTCTCAATCTTGACCCCTTCTGGCACCAGGCGACGACCGCCAACTACGATGTCGCCAACTGACTTCGGAGAAGCTTCGTACTTCGTCCCGGCTATTGCCGCTGCTGCCTCCTCCGTTGCTTCTCGTATGTTGACCTCCTGTTCGGCTTTCTTCATGGCTTTCAGATCGCGCTCATACTCTTCGACTTCGTCGTCTTCCAGTATTGGAGAGCACGAAATAGGGTTGGGTTGATCCTTTTGTGGTGGGAGAAATGCAACATCGTTGCAGAGACGAGGGGTCTGGATGACCATCAGGTAGGCGCATGTGCTCGTTTCCTTAATTAGGGCAATGCGATCCGTGGAGGCGGGATTGCAGAAGTATTGGATTTCGATCTTGCGCTCTTTGCCGGTCAAATCGCAGATAGTGCCACCACCCAGCTTTTGCACGAGATATCTGCTCTCGCCGCGTTGCACCAACTCTCCGTGCTTGTTGTGACTTCGTTTTGCACCCTCGCTCTTTTCCAAGGCGCTGTCTCCGTCCCAATCCCTCTCTCGCCCGGCATCATCGGCGTCCAGCCGTTTTGCGTAGGTGCCCAGCATGAAGCCTGGGACACCAGGATCTTCTACTGGAGGGTACACGGGCACGCCGCGGCTTGGTGGAAGCTGATGGAACTGCTTGATGCCCTGGTTGTAGCAAAAGCGATAGCTCCACCAGCCACTGATGAAGAAGACGCAATTGCCCTCCATGCCCGACAAGAGCTCCCATCCGCGATCGTTCGCTCGGGCCAGCTCCTTCTCTTCTTCGGCTTGCGAGAATGTCTCATTTGCGGTGCCTGCGTCCGCCGTTGGCTTCACTTTAGGTATGCGACAGAGCCAGGGCTGTCCATCAAGAACCATGCGCTCATGTTCGCATTCCGTTTGATCCTCTGCATTGTTTCGGGCAGCACCATCCAACGGCTGCTGGTACTTTCCTATTTGTGAACCCCGTTCCGCTTCATCGTCGCGCGCATTCGCTGAGCTGCTACCTTTGACATTGCCGGCGAGTCGCGCGTCAACCTCATCCGCAGGCGTCCAGTCGTCGACGAAGTGTACTTCATATTGAGGGAAGGCAAGCAGGTCGTCTTGCACGCTGAAGCTTTGCTGCGAAGCCCAGGCGACCAGCGCGGAGGTTCGGAGCAGGGCGGGGAGGGCTAGGAAGTGCTTCATGGTGCGGCGTGCAGGTGGGAATCAATGCTGCGCGGAATGATGCTCCGGCCAACGTTCAGCATCTCCGCACGCTCGTTTGTCCTGTTTCGACACGACGATTGCAGATAGTGGGCTGTCAAGCAGGCGACGTGACAGCTGTGCGCAAGCCGTCAGGAACCGAGACTCCCGAGCATGTGATTGCCCGCATCACCAATGCAGCACACACTTTGGCAGTAGCCTCCCAGCGTCACTTTCGCCATCTCTTCGGACACGACACGTTGCCAGCTGGCCACATGGAGCAAGATCGAACGTGCAGGTCAGCACCGCGCCCACGCTCGCGCTGGTCAGAGGGACTGCCGCTTCCAGACCTTCCCAGGTCGGCGCTGAACCGTGCCTTCAATAATGAATAATGAATAGTGATTCGAATCATGGTTGCTCTGCAGCTTCGTCCGCTTTGGTCGAGGCCTCAGCGACGCAATTTAACTAGAGTTGGCATTCCTGCTATTGGTGCTCCCAAAAGAGGCAGCGCCCAAATGGGACAGAGGCATACCACGGTACTCGGGCCCATCATGATGAACCATTCCAACGGGCGTCGGCCGAACGAGGCATCCTCGTCCTGGATTCAACATGATTCAGAACGTGCTGGACTAGCCGAACTGCATGAGATCGTCGCTGTGCCGGTTGACCCTTCGCGTACACTTTCAAATATCGCTCGCACGAGTCGCGGCGAGAACGCGTGCGCTGTGCAGTAGTAAGCACATGTGCGCGAAGTGTCGATCTCGTGAGGACGCGTGGCGCTCGTGAGGCAGATGCCGTCACCACGAGCAGCGAGAATCTTGGGCTAGCGCGTGTTCGTGACCATCAACGACAAATCTTCTTGAACAACTGGCATCACTTATCGAATTACAGCTTGGTGAGCTATCACCGCGAAGCCCACAGCAAACATGTTACCCGGCATCGAGCCCGTGACGACCACGGCCCTCATCTTTGGCGGATGCTGCACGAACGTGTTTGCCCTCGAGACCATTGTCAAAGTCCAACCCAGCAGTGGTATGTCTGGCCAGCTGCCGCCAATCAATTCGCGCGTTCGACACCAATCACTCACACGATCCATCAGGTCTCATTATCACCTTCTTCCAATTTGTCTTCGTGACAGTGTTCGCCTACCCGAGCCAATTTGAGCCAGGGGCGAAGTACACGCTGCAAGCCCCCAAAGTTCCCATGAGGAGATGGGCGTTCATAGCTTTCATGTTCTACGGCATCAATATGCTCAACAACTGGGCTTTTGCATACAATATCAGTGTGCCTGTGCACATCATTCTGCGCAGCTTTGGCAGTGTCACCACCATGATCGCCGGGTATCTGCGAGGCAAGCGCTACAGCCCATTGCAAATACTCAGCGTCGTGCTGCTCACTGTCGGTGTGCTCATCAGTGCATGGGCTGACTCCGAGAGCAAAGTCAGTGAAAGTTGATGTTCAAAAAGATATTGGCCAACACACTGACTCGCGCATAGGGCAAGGAAATGTCGTACAAAGCGAGCGATTCGTCCTCAGATTACACTCAAGGACTCGCCATTCTCCTCGTCGCGCAATTTCTCTCTGCATACATGGGTGCATACACCGAGGACACCTATGCTACATACGGAGCGAGTTGGACGGAAAATCTCTTCTATTCGCACTTCCTGAGTTTACCTCTATTCCTACCCCTGTCCGGCACACTGCGCGATCAGTATCAGAAACTGGCAGCAACGCCTAAGGTTGACGTGGGGAATTCCAGAGTCATAGGCACGTTGCAGCATCACGGACCCGCTGTCAGCAACGTGATCGACACGCTCGTGACATATGCTGAAGGCACACCGCAAGGCGTGTTCTACTTGATGACCAACGCACTCACGCAACTGGTCTGCATATCGGGAGTCAACCTGCTCTCGGCCAAGTCATCGGCGGTAACTGTCACGATAGTGCTAAACATTCGAAAGCTGGTGTCCTTCATCTTGAGCACTCTGATCTTTGGGCACAGCCTGGACACCAAGATGATCATAGGCTCAACGCTCGTCTTTGGCAGTGGGGCTTTGTATGGGTGGGAGACTAGTTGGAGGCTGCCGCAGCAGAAAGCTGCACTAGAGTCGCGCAACCAGGAAAACAAGAAGCTCAAGTAATAAATTCGGAAATGTCAATCCAGAGTCTCGCACATGCCTGTACTCCCGTGGCATGTCCAGCGTCAGATTTGCGTTGAAAAAGTCAACTTATGCTCGGAATTGAACGTCACGCATGTCTGTTCTGGGGTGAGTTCGTCCGTGACGTTTGTGCGCCGGATGGTAGCACCACTCTTTTTCGCACTGCGAGCCGTGGAATTTCTCAACGAGGCCGAATTGGGAGAACGCGGTGCACAGCACGAAGCATGGGATATTGCCAACGTGCCCGTTCAATAATCAGCTCCGAAGCATGCAGTTCTCACACGTGCGTGGAGCGCGGAGACGCGTGTATAAAGGTCAAAATGAGTGCCGTTGCAAAGACAGATTGGCATGTGGGTACTAGAGCCTATCGGTAGTCAACCATCCAGCGTGGACGCGGTTAGTGTGTGGGCAACTCGCATCGGGCCCAAGGTTCTGGGCGGATTTTCCATCTGTGCGCGATGGGGCAGGCCGAGCAGCAGCAGTGCTGCGGTCCACGTTCGCGATATCGAGCGACATGTTGTCCGGATCGTCCGGGAACGTCCTCGGCAGCACTTAGTCATGGCGCCGTGGAGCTGAATAGAGCGGCGGTGCTGGAGATGGGGAGGGGTGGAGTTGCAGTGATGGGGTGACATTGGGCGAGCGCGCTGTTCCACGGCGGGCTAGACCGCCGATGGGCGATGGATGGGCAGCAAGGTAGCAGACGTGTTCCAAATACCAGATTCGGAGCTCGCATGTGCAAGATTGCGTCGGAAAAGCCACGACCAGCGCGCACGCGGAGCACGCAGGCGGGCGAACAGAAGCGGCGAGGAGGGTCGATAACGCAACGGTACATGGTCGCGTGAATCTGGCTATTCGTCGCGTCGGTCGGGGGTGGAGACCAGACGGGCAGGCCGCAGACGCTGGTCGCGAGGCCTCAAGCAGCGCAGCCACTGCACGTTAGCAGCGTTAGATTGCACCTTCCCCGAACGTGCCCATCGTCATGCGGTTGTCGAGGCCAGCGCCACCGGCCAGACAGCAAGGAGGCATTATAGGAGATTGTGCTGCAAGCTATAGCGAAACGGCGAATAATCAGCTGTGTCCCCGACGCATCCTGGCAAATGCAGCCTTCCACGTGTATTGCGGCCGGGCGATCTGTGCATTCAGCACAGCTGCGCGGGAGAGCTCCGCTGTACTAAACGCAATGTTGTGACGGCGTGTGCTTCTGCTGGCCCTCTGCCTCTGCCGACCTACACTACTCTGCTAAACTCACTGCACTGCCCGCGCTCCGCCGGTCCAGCCCACTGCGTCGTGTTGTGCCGTGCTGCTGTCGCGCAAAGAGCCGCACGCCAGCCCTCGTCTGCACCGCTTGTGGCACCTCGAGGATACCCTGTCCTCCCTCAGATCGAGTAAAGCTTCGTACCTGGCATGAAAGACAAAGCCCGCCAGGACTGAACGCCATCCCATGTTGCAGCTTGCCGCCTGCCTGCGCTGCTAACTGACGCCCGACCACCCGCCTCACGACACTGCCGCCGACTNTCCTCACCCATCACCGAGCACCATCGCGGGCGCGACTCTTCGGCGACTCCTACTGCGCCGCCGCCGCCCATCCTCCAGTTCTCCTCGGCACGTCACCACCCGGAGACCAGGCTCTCGTCCCAGGTGGCGCTGGCAAGGACTCGAGTTGGTGTTGCTTGCTCCGCGAACTGCTGCACACGTCCGCTTCGAGCCACACCCTGACCTGCCCTGTGCAATTGGAGCCCACGAGCCCTCTTCCAGTGCCGCAGAGCGCCTATTCTCTCGTGCACTCGTCGCCGCGCTCGCCGTCGTCCCCATTGCTACCACTGTACGTACTCTGCCTACCCTCACGCATCAACGTGGTTGACCCCGCCTGAGCGCCGCGAACCTTCAATTGCTGATACCACTCGTCCTCCCACAGCTTGCACGGCGCGCCCACGACATCGCCGCCGCTCACGCTGCCATCGAGCCGCGGGTGATCCGCTTCTATCCCAGCTGCCGCGTGAGGCAGAGCATTATCTGCTCGGCCCTCACCCCGGATTTATTCATCGCTGCTGCGTCCGCCATCTCTGCCCGACCGCGCGCTGCCTCGCGTTATAGGTAGATCCCATCGGCACCGTCATGGCTTCCACTGGTCCCCCAAGTCAGCAGCAGCATTCACAAGGCTTGCCGTCCATCAGCAGCCTCACTAATGGTCTACCCAAATCCGCGCCCATCTCACCGGATGGTCAGTCGCTCACGGACTCTACGCGAGATTCTGGGACTTGGCCGCAACCTCAAAGCAAGCGTGAGTCCTATCGTCGTTCCGCACATGCCCTCCTTGATCTCTTGCCTTTGCGAACTGCAAAATTCTTTTGTTTCAGGTTTCCCGAGTCAGCGGCCGTGAGACTGCGGTCTCGGCATTTAGTCGCCGCGGCTTCACATTGATTTGGAGGGCAATCACTGACATACTGCAGATAACTCAGCCAACAGCCAAGGACTCCAGGTGCACACATTACTGAATCCTGATGACTCTCCGTCGCGACATTCAATACCTACCACTCCACTCTCAGCACGGATCCCAGTCTCCGCTCAAGGCGGTCCCTCACAGCTTCCATCCATCAACCAAGGCTTCCAGGAGAGCCACAACCGCGAAAGCTATGGCCAACGCGACAGTCTTGGGCGCGAGCTCAACCGCGATGCCTACCGCGACAGTCGAGATCTGGCCCCGGCAATGGACTCGAGGCGAAGCAGTGTAGACAGTCGCATGCATCAAGGATTCAATTCGCTCTATATCAATGGGCCAACCTCGCCGTACGAGAGTGCCAACACCTCGCAAGTGTCACTCGCAGCAAGTCTGCGGAGGCCCAATGGACAGACGCCACTCTCGCCGCTTAGTGCACGGTCAGGCCAACGCGGACATACTGCACCGCGCATAGCGCCTCCCATCATGCCCGTTGGGCGCGGTCCCGGTGTACCAGATCCTACCGCCGCAAAGCCTACACAAGGTTATGCCTGGGCTTTCCCAGACAGTGCGATTCCAGAGGAGCGACGAGGCTCCGACAGTGGCGAATCGAGCACCCATGGGCCCTCCAGACAGAACAGTTTCGCGGCATCTTCAATTCGGAGCAGCATCTTTTCCACAGATTCTCAGCTTCCGATGGGTCAACGTAGGTTTGCAGAAGATGGTAATACCTACCAGTCAATTCGGGAAAGCGTATCACTGACATGTTAACAGAAGCGGCGACTACACATCATCACTCCCTGCAACATCGCGCAATTTCCGGACTACAGCACGAGGCGATGACCCCTCAGGGCGTGGGCAATTATAGTCGAACTCCCGAGCTCCGGGTCAGCCATAAGCTCGCTGAAAGGAAGCGCCGCAGCGAAATGAAAGACCTTTTCGAAGATCTGAACAAAGCTGTTCCGTCGAATGGCGGCACGAAAGCGAGCAAATGGGAGATTTTGACAAAAGGTATGTCTCCGAACACGAAGTGTGTACTCTCCGCATTACTGACCGGTTGAAGCTATCGAGTACATTCGAAGCCAACAACACAACGAGCGCAACCTCCATGCAGAAGTGCAACGGCTGCAGCGGGATAACGAATTCGGCCGCGAGGTGCACAAGGAGAACGAGATGCTCAAAACCGAAGTCCAGGTCATGCGCGAGCATTTGAGGCGCCTGGAGCCTAACGCACCACACATTTACGGTGCATTCACTTCACAACTGAACCAGATCAGCCAACAACAGCAACCGCAAGGTAACGGTGCGCCCGGGATAGCGCTGCCTCCGTTGAATACGGCGCAGAATGTCGGACAAGCTCCCGCGCCTTTCAATGGTGCTCCCGGTGGCTCGGCGGCGATGCAAGGCGTCGAATACGGGACCTACGGAAGGTAGAGAAGCAACGGGGGTGGTTGTACACGTAATTTTCTCGAAAGAATGGCGCCGGTTTAGGATGCACGGCGATGCATGTACGAACGAGTCGAGCGCGCAGATGCCCTCCGAGTTATCATTATGACATTAGCACTATACCATTGCTTGCGAATGCTTACACGGCTGCGGGGCGACCTGGACGACGAAGTGGAGTTTCTGGCCTCCCGGAAGGACGATGTCACTCATAGACAGCGTCGGATGCATAGCGATTGGGTTGATGTGCTTGTATCTTAGCAGAATAGCTGACTATATTTCGACTTGCCAAAAAGTTCATTTCTGCAGAAGTGGCCCCTCGTTCTCGTGCTGTGTTTCATTCAACCTGAGGCAGCAACTCCCCAATGCGTCGGCTTCGACTTCGACCACCGCACGTGACCCGCGCTGCATCTCGCCATCCCGGCGGCCGCATCACGTCCATGCACGCGCAGACAACGCGAGGGCTATGGCCACACAGGACCGGACAAGCTATGAGTCGGACACGGACTCGGTCGACGTAGATGCGGCGCAATATGACCGAGAAACGCTGACGGCAGAAGAGGAAGTTGAGAGGCTGTTGGCGGACTCCGGGAAGTCGCAACACGACCGTGTCCACAATGGACGAAGCAGCAAGCGACGGAGTGGACAGAGAATATGGCGGGGCAGTCGCGGCGGCGAGGAAAGCGAGATGATGCTGAAGGTGGAGGTGAGATGACACCACGGCCACATATCATACCTACGACATGCACTCACGCATTCCTATCTCGCAGGATGGCGCCCGATCGAGCGATGATAGCGCGAGTGCGAGCGACGTCGATGCTGGCAACGAGAAATCGCCACGGGTGCGTGCTCCGCCGCAATTCTTGCAGTCTGGGAAGAGGCTGACGGGTGTATGTAGTCCTCGTTGCAGCGGTCCAAGTACATTCAGTGTTCTGCCCTCCATATCATCGTCCTTCTGGCCTTCGTCGCCTTTGCCTTTGGCGCCTATAAGGCATCGCGCTCGCTCGCCGTCTCGAAGTCGTCCTCAGTGCCTCAGATGCGATCCAATGGCACGCACGACTTTGCGCCGACGACCATCTTGATCTCACTCGATGGCTTCCGCGCCGACTTCTTGCACCGCGGCCTCACACCCACCTTGACCTCCTTCGTGCAGCAAGGTGTCTCTCCCAAGTACATGATGCCCTCGTTTCCAAGCCTTACATTTCCTAACCATTTCACCCTCGTCACTGGCAAGTATCCGTCCGAGCACGGCATTGTTGGGAACAACTTCTGGGACCCTGTGATGCGGAAACAATTCACTTATACGAATTCGAGCTTGAGCATGGTGCCTGAGTACTGGAATGCCGAGCCTATTTGGGAGACTGCAGAACTGCAGGGCGTGAGAGCGGCGATTCAGTAAGTACGATCGGCGCTCTTCGTGAATGACACTGACAGGTATGACAGCATGTGGCCTGGGTCCGAAGCGCACATTGGCGCTGTCGAGCCTGCATACGTAGATAAGTTCAATATGCACGAAGAGCTGGGCAACAAGGTCAACCGCATACTCGGCTGGCTCGACCTACCAGGACCCTCGGATCCTGGTGCATCGAATGAGACACCGCGACCGCAATTGATAGCAGCATACGTTCCGAATGTTGATTCTGATGGGCATAAGTATGGTCCTAATGTGAGTGCAGAGCAGCTTAGAGTTGCGGGAAAAGCTATCGAACACTATGCTGACTTGCCTGTTTCAGTCTACCTATATTCGATCCACCATAGCTGAAGTCGACGGCATGCTGGGTTCTTTATTCAGTGGCATCGAGGACCGCAACCTAACAAACATTGTCAATGTCGTGGTAGTATCCGATCATGGCATGGCTACCACATCAACCACGCGATTGATACAGCTGGACGACATAGTCAACTTCAAAGAGATAGAACACATGGACGGTTGGCCACTCTACGGCTTAAGACCCTTCGACCAGTCCGAGAAAAAGCTCAAAGAGCTCTACAACGGCCTCAAAAAGCAGGAAGCAATCCACGAGGGAAAATTCAAAGTCTACCTGCGAGACCACGACATGCCGGCCCGATACCACTTCACCAATAACCAAAGAATCGCCCCACTATGGATCGTGCCAGAAGCTGGCTGGGCCCTCGCACCCAAATCCGAATTCGACGTCGTAGAAGGACTGAAGAATGGAGAAGATTTCGCTCCTCTTGGACTACATGGCTACGATAATGATCATCCACTAATGCGTGCGATTTTTGTTGCCAGAGGTCCAGCTTTTCCTCATCCGCAAGGCAGTGAAGTGGAGCCATTTTACAATACGGCTGTGTATGGGATTATTTGCCAGAGTTTGGGAATTGAGGCGAAGCCGAATAATGGGACGGTTGAGCTTCCGTTTAAGACGGTTGGATTGCATGATCCTGAGGAACAGCATAAGATTCTTGATGATCCTCCTCCGATTAAGACTACTGGATTGGACAGTGTGGCTTCGCCGTCTGCGATACCAGAGCCTATTGGAGAGGACGTGACAACAGCGAATGGTGAGGATCCAGAAGCGGCGGCTCCTGAAAACACAGAGTCTGGGGAGGAAACAGGTGAAGTAGCGGGTGACGAGAGCACATCGTGGAGACAATGGGTTGATGGAAAGATAGAAAGTTTCAAGCATTGGGTTACAGGAATTTTTGGTGAGCACAAGAAGACGTCAGACTCGACGAAGGATACGAGTAGTGTCAGATAGACGGAAAGTATCTGCGTAGCCTAAGTATTTGCAGCACTTTGTTCTCCCATACCCGCGACCTGGTACTTCATTTTGCTCGCCACTGCGAGATGTTTCGTGGGCGTAGGGTGTGCTACTGTCTGTGCATAGTATGACTTTGTCTGCACATCTGCGGCCTCCATTGAGCGAGTTGGAGCTCTCGCTACATTGCTTGCGCACAGTCGTTCAGACGATCTTCAATCATCCACATGCGCTCAAGGCGCGACTCGGGTGACTTCCTTCTATCATGACTGACGTTTTGTCTCCATAGTCATCTATCGTGACAATGCAATATCGTCAATCCTCAAGATCATCTTAACCGTTTCACTGGCCAACTCGAAAGCGCTCGTGCTGACGAGAAGTGGCTGCATGACACCTTCGCCGGAAGCACTCTTGTCATCACCACCCATGACTCCGACGCCGCCTCTCTTGATACTGACACCAACGTTGGTCTCGCCCTTCGCGTGTCGCGCTCGCAGCTCAGTGACAACCTTGATGCTGTTCAGACCTGCATTCTCAGCCAATGTGACCGGAACGACTTCAAGCGCATCAGCGAAAGCTTTGAAGCATACGCTGTCTGGATACTGTGATGTGAGGGCATCTTGGCTGAGTTGTGTGGCAACAGCCATTTCTGGTGCACCGCCACCAGGGAGAAGAGCGCGCTTCTTGACGAGACAGCGGATAACGCACATGGCATCGTGGAGACTGCGCTCGGCTTCGTCCAGGATCAGCGGGTTTGCTCCTCGTGCGACGATCGAGACGGTCTTGGGCGCATTGGCATTGGGGTGCTTGACCCCCGAGACACGCACATAGCGGGAACCCAGATTCGATACTTCCTCCACGAGCTCTGCGGATCCAAGCTTGTCTTCTGTGAAAGAGTCGATGTCTGCGATGGGCTTGCAGCCAGTGGATTTGCAGATGAACTCGACTTCGTCTCTCTCGATGTCCTTGACAGCCATGATGCCGAGCTTGTATAGGAAGTGTAAGCTCAGGTCGTTGACAGCGTCTCGGAGAATACTCTTCTGGATGAAGAGCACGTTACATTTTGCCTTCTTGATCTTCTTGACCATGTTCAGCAAGTATGTCCGCTCCTCTTTGAGGATCTTGTCCATTTGTCTGTAGTCGTTCACCACGATCTGGTTCTCCATGTCGGGCTTCGGCGGGCTGAGCTGGAATTGAATCAGACCGATCTTTGCCTTTTCTATCCGTGTTGGACCCCCTGCGCTCTTGATTGCCTGTTGGCTGAGGACCAGCCCGTCCACCATTTCCGAGTCATCGATCACACCACCGGCCTTCTTGAGAATTCGAATGTTGCGAAGATCGACGTTTTGCGCATTTGTTGGGTTGATGGTTCTCAGCACGGCATCGACAGCCATGGGCGCAAGCTTGGGCTCTTGAGCCACAATTTTTGATGAAAGCGAGGTCGAGGCTGCTTTGAGCAGCGTTTGGCGGTCTGTGAGGTCGATGGGTACGGAGACTCGTTCGAGGATCTCGACAGCACGAGCAGCCGCTCGCTGGAAACTTTCGCTGATGATGGTAGGGTGAATGCCTTTGGCCAGCAATCGTTCAGCAGCTCCCAAAAGGCTGCCGGCGATCACCACTACTGAGGTTGTGCCGTCTCCGGCCTCAATATCTTGCGCATTTGCCAAATCAACCAGCATCTTTGCCGAGGGGTGCATGACGCCCAGATCGCGAAGCATTGTGTTTCCGTCGTTGGTGATGATGGTCTCGCCTTTGCCTGTTTGAATCATTTTGTCCATGCCTCGCGGGCCCAAAGATGTTCGAATGGCATCTGCAACAGCGCGTGCGGCGGTGATGTTGGCTTCTCTTACTGCCTGTGGCTTCGCCTTGTCCTTGAAAGCATTGTTGCCGGCATTTGATGGCGCACCTTGAGCCATATTTGTTTCTAGGCCACCCAGTCGGTGGAAAGCAACGTTTTATTCGGCGCGGAGGGTACTGCGAAAATCTCTGGATTCGGCGACGGCGTGGGAACTTTTCGTGACACGCTGCAGTCCTGCGCCGGCGTGTTGTGGGTGGTATGGCGGTGTTGTATGGAGGGGCGGACGTTTCAAATATTCTTTGGAGGACGCGAGCAGCTTCGCACGTGCCTTCGTCACAGCTTCCCGCCTAGCTGCGTAGACCACCTCCTCCCAAACACTCACCTGCTCATCAACAACAACATATCACCGACACAACACCATCACACCTCGTGCTTCTCGACCGAAACGTGCTTCATCGCGCGCTGAATCTGGTCATCGAAACGCGGATATCACGCCGCTTGCATCTGGCGGTGGTCTTGATAACGCCCCGATAGCTGCAACCCATCGTCTCTCTGCGCCAACCCAGACCATTACTTACCACCGCCTTCCTTCAAAATGCCCAGCGCGCGTGGATCGAACTGGGAGTCATACAAAAAGGAGTTCGCTGACGACGAGAAGGAGGAGAAGAAGATTACGCCACTGTCTGATGAGGACATTCAAGTACTCAAAACCTACAACTCGGCTCCGTACGCAACCGCTTTAAAGCAGCTCGAGAAGTTCATCAAGGACAAACAGACGTCCGTCAACGAGAAGATCGGCGTCAAGGAATCCGACACAGGTCTTGCACCACCGCATCTATGGGATATCGCCGCAGACCGACAGCGCATGAGCGAGGAGCAGCCGCTGCAAGTGGCACGATGTACCAAGATCATTCCGGATGAGAAGGACAGCGAGAAGAGCAAATATGTCATCAACGTTAAGCAAATCGCCAAGTTCGTCGTCAACTTGGGCGAGCGAGTGAGTCCCACGGATATCGAGGAAGGCATGCGAGTGGGCGTGGACCGCAACAAGTATCAGATCATGCTGCCTCTCCCGCCCAAGATCGATCCGAGTGTTACTATGATGACTGTCGAGGACAAGCCAGACGTGACATACGGCGATGTCGGAGGCTGCAAGGAGCAGATCGAGAAGCTGAGAGAAGTGGTCGAGATGCCTTTACTCTCACCCGAGCGTTTCGTCAATCTCGGAATCGACCCACCGAAGGGCGCACTGCTATACGGACCTCCAGGAACTGGTAAGACGCTTTGCGCAAGAGCTGTCGCAAACAGGACAGATGCCACCTTCATCCGTGTTATCGGTTCCGAGCTGGTGCAGAAGTACGTCGGTGAGGGTGCCCGTATGGTCCGAGAGCTGTTCGAGATGGCGAGGACAAAGAAGGCTTGCATCATCTTCTTCGATGAAATTGATGCCGTTGGTGGAGCACGTTTCGATGATGGTGCCGGTGGTGACAACGAGGTGCAGCGAACTATGCTGGAACTGATCACACAGCTGGACGGCTTCGACAGCAGAGGGAACATCAAAGTCATGTTCGCGACCAACAGACCAAGCACACTCGACCCCGCCCTCATGAGACCAGGACGAATAGACCGAAAGATTGAGTTCTCTCTACCAGATATGGAGGGCAGAGCCAACATCCTCCGCATTCATGCCAAGTCCATGTCGGTGGAGCGCGATATTCGTTGGGAGCTCATCTCGCGTCTATGCCCCAACTCAACCGGTGCTGAGTTGCGCTCGGTAGCAACAGAAGCTGGCATGTTCGCCATCCGCGCTCGGAGAAAGGTTGCCAGCGAGAAGGACTTCTTGAGTGCAGTGGAGAAGGTCATCAGAGGAGGATTGAAGTTCAACTCAACTGCCGCTTACGCGCAGTACAACTAAGAGGACTGCGTCGCACATTCGTGCATTCATTTACGGCATGGGGTTCTGTCTAGATTAGAAGAAGCTCCAACTGGGAGCTATGTATCATAGGTTGACTCTGATGGCATCAGATCCTCGGAGAGTATGCACCCAATTTCATGACACTTTTACGATTGAGTTTGGAAGACTTGTCGCCTCATTTCGATTGAGTCTATTTGCTCTGCACTTAACATTGCTCCACTTGCCCAGGAACGCCTTCTCGCTAGTGCTATACAGGAATAATATTACATATTTCAGTGCCCACGAGTTGTACAGAAAACAGCATGTTGTCGACAAGAGTACACTCCTCAATCTTCGATATCATCCTCCTCCAGGATCAAGCTTTGCACACGCTTTTCCACTGGCGAGTTCATTCCTTGAAACATCATGGACGGTTGCCGTGCCGTGCGAGCTTTCCTAGGCGTGGAAGTGGTAGATGCTTTGACTTCGGTATCTGGTCGATCTGTCGACCATTGTTCCGCACCTATGTCTGCCTCGCCTGAGTCCAGATCTGCTTCTTCCTCATCATCAGGAAGATGAACACCATCCATTCTGGTGATGGTTCTGATTTGATCTTGAAGTTCGTGCTGGCGACTAGAGCTCTTTGCAGAATCCAGAATGTGTGTCATGTAGGGAAGACGTTCCAGCAGTACTTCAACTTTTGCTTGAGCACTCAGTTTGGGAGCTTCTTCGTGAGTGCCCGACATGTCGCCTTGTTTCGAAGATTGCTCAAGACTGTTGCCCCGTTTCCATTTCTCCACGCCGGTACCAGAGTCTGGATTGACGCCGGAAATGGTAGTTCCCTGAATGACCTTGTCGATCACCGCATCGAGCGCTGTCTCGATTTCTTCTCTTTTTCGCCACAGTCTCAAAGATGCAGGATAGAACATTCGATGCGCATCGCCGCGTTTCCCGGCTCCAGCCTCACTGCGGTGTACCGGGTATGGGAGACTAAACAGTAAGCCTCGTACAGCAACTTGGAAGCACATCTCATCCTGTCGCAATGTGTCTATCGATGAGCCAGAGAAGGCTCGCGTGCCCATCGAGAACCGATCCAGTGAAAGCAAATCAGAATCCGATAGATTCTCCATGCAACCAAGCAAGCTATCCAATCTCTGTTCCGCGGTAGGTCCGGCGCACGACAAGGCGTAGTTCTCATGCAGTGCGGCAAGAAAAGTGGACGTGTCGGTGCCGAGCTCGTCGATGAGAGCATTCGGGTCGGTCTCGGTGACTTTCAGTCGATTGAATTGGGAAAGCCAGGGCGGCGGTTGAGGAATAGATGATGGTTGCAAGGATTCAATGCGCTTGTTGTAGACGACCTTGCCTACTGAGTGAAACAAGCCCAGGCTGCTCTCTCTGTTGCTGATGAGCTTCAACGCTTCTTGCTCGGCTGCCGTAGCAGGAAGCACCGCTTTGGACTTCTTGGGTTTCGTGAAAGCCACCTTCGACGACCAATCTCCTTCATCGCCGCGAACGCAGAGGAACTCCAAAGACGTTACTGCACTGCGAATGTCACCAGATTCAGATAGGCGTTTGAGGATCTCAACACCTGGCGTTTTCCTTCTTCCAGACTTGCGAGCCTCTTTGACAACGATGAGCTCTAGCGCCTTGGTCATGAATGTAGGCGCAATGGCATTGAATTCAATCGTGTTGATGTGCGAATTTGTGACAAGCTCTGGTCCCATCAACCTATGCGCTGTAAAGCTGTCCGCGCTCGCCGTGGTTGTTGACAAAAGAGTCTCAGATATGACCATGATGATCGGAATTGGGAGAGTATCTGCTGGTACTGTCGACATTACATATTGGGCGAGTGCCGTTCGAAATGACTGCAGTGTGCTGGAGGTCTTTGAGAATGTATTCGGAAATTCTTCAACCAGGAGAGCTTGCCGATGTGTGTTCGAAGTGCTGTCTTGCGGTTGTAGTGGTTCCACGCCTGCTTCTGTGTCTGTGGAGGTGCCATTGCTCAAAGCAAGTCCTCGCACCTTGCCTGCTCGAGCTACGAACTCCGCGAACTCTGTCGCAGAACTGGCAAAGCTGTCAGCTCCAGTCTCGAATGCCGCGCGGGGTTTCCATTCGATAAGTTCTACGCCAATGTCTTTGCACAACAAGCGTACAGTTGTGGTCTTCCCAGTACCAGCAGCACCTTTCAATACAAGAACGCTCTGGCGTCTTCCTTGGTAGAACGAGTCTAGCCATGCTCGTACATCAGCTACTTTGCGCTTGTGCACGGCCAACTCTGATAGATCGCTGGGTGCGAAGCGTTCGGTCCATGGAAGCTGGTCACTTGGAGCCTTAATCAAGGAAGGAGCTCTGTCTCCATTCAAGGCCTTTCGGAATTTCTGAGAAGCGTGTTGAGAGAGCGGTGGCGGTTTCTCAAGGGTAGCGACTCCCCCAAATTTGCGCTTCCGCGCAGCAAGCGCAGTACTCGACCCTCGAGAAAGAGTAGTTTGGGATGACTCTCCATTGACCTCGTCTTCATCAATGTCATCTTCGATTACTTCAATCTCATCATGGAACGCCGCAAGTTTGTCTGGGCTCGCTAGGTATTGCGATCCTTGCTGCTTCTGAGTAGCAGCGTTGAAGAAAGAAGTGATGGGTCTACCGCCGGATTTCGGTTTATCTTTGTCAGTTGGCTTAATGGGTTGACGTCGCGTCTTTCGAGGCGAGGGCGATTCTGTTCTCTTCTGCGAAGCCGGTGATGCAGGTGGTTCGTCCTGGACCGTTCCTCGTCTCGGCTTGCTCAGTGCTGTGCTCAAAGGTCTAACGCGCCTCTCGCCTCCTTCATCCGAGATTCTCTTGATGGAACGGTCCGGCTCAGTCCATGAGCTGGTCTTTTGGCCGCCACGAGGCGCCATCACACAGCAGCTTCTCCACAAGAAGACTGCTTGCTGACATGTCAGTATTCCGCGACGAGGATCGTGAAGTCGAGATGCCGCAAGCGATGTCAGGTGAAGTCGCGTTGACGACCCTGATGAGTCAGCGACTTGGTCGTTTGTACTGCGTCATAGCAAGAGCAAGAGCAACCACCACATTATCGATCGTGAGCGACGACAATAGAGCAGATCAAACAGAAATGTCGAAAAGGATTCGCACGCTAGATAGCTTTTTCAGTCCGCCTCCGACGAAGCGAACGAAAGCACAACATGCAATCGAAGACAACCCACGCGAGGAGAGTGACGCCACGAAGGACGCGTCTGATGTCGAAAGCCGCTCGGAACACGCGACCTACCCATTCTCGCTGCCTTTGCTGCCACAACCACTACGAGAGCTACTGAATTTCGTACCCGCATCCGAGGGCAAATTGATTCAGGACCAACCCGATTTGGATTTGATTTATTATACTCCGTTCATACCAAAGGAAGCTCAAAAGGATCTCTTCGAATTCCTTCGACAGGAACTGTTCTTTTACGTATGTTGGACCTTACCTTACGCTGGCTTGCAAAGTAATGACTTCAGTGAAGAGAGTGAAATACAATATCAAGCGCGGACCAGTAGAGACTGCGATCAATACTCCAAGATTTACCACTGTTTTCGGAGTCGACGAAACTGCTCGCTTCAAAGGCGACGAAGTCTGCCACACAGTCTCAGGCGCACCGGTCCCAAAGGATACATACAAGTGCAGCCCTCGGCCACTGCCGCAATGCCTTGATGTTCTGCGAGAACTAACGGAGAATGCCACTGGTTGTAGATTCAATTTCGCCTTGGTCAATTACTATGCCGATGGGAATGACAGTATAAGCTATCATAGTGATGATGAGAGGTTTCTGGGAAATGAGTGAGTGCTTGAGAAAGAATCCTTCTGGCTTTGATAGGCACTAACCTCTGTGTGACGCCTGCAGGCCGTCGATAGCATGTAAGTACATTCACGACCTTTCGAGACTGCATGTCGATGCTGAAATCTAGATCTGCGTTAGCGTTCACACTTGGAGGCACGCGGGACTTCTTGCTCAAGCATAAGCCAACGCCGCAGAACCACATATCTGAGACCAAACCCACAAAACTGCCATTGACCAGCGGTGACATGGTGCTTGTGCGTGCATTGCTGAGGCCCGGTTTATGATTTAATTGACCTTAAGTGTACCTCTAGATGCGCGGAAAGACACAAAGTCGTTGGCTGCATAGCATACCGAAGCGGAAAGGCCCACAAGGGCAGATTGGAAGGATCAAGTCAGTACATGTGTCTGACCAGAGAACCTGGCTTTCCTGACTTCGCTCCAGCATTACGTTTCGCAGAGCAATGGTGCGAGGAGGGACCGAGAATTACTACAGGTGAGTTGAAACATTGGTCAGAGGATACGTCGTTCCGTTGCGTCGACGGCCTTGCATGTAGAGTAGCGGCACTTGGGTTCTTGTTGACGTCGACTCCAGATACAATGTCGGAGACGGAGGCCCCTACAAATGGTCTGCTTCTCGGAGGGAGATTATCCCGTGGACTAGCCCATTGACGCCGAGTGTCCCGTTGTGAGAATGGACAAGTGCTAGCATCGTCAAGTCTGGACAATCACGCCGGTGTTTTCCAGGGATGCTTCAGAGCAAGTACGATGTGCGCTTTGGCAGGCTTGCGTCGCTGGGCTAGGTGTGGTTCACGCTTCGAGGGGAGCATTTCTGCTTGTTCCGAGTACGAGCGATTGCTCATCACTCCATACACCCGACTTGATGTTCATTGACTGTCCTCTGTTGACGAAGGGAAAGAAGTGTCAGACGAGTCGTGTGCCGGAGATGGGCGGATGCCAAGCGGCCGTCAGCGAATGAAACGGACCAGGCGCGGGACGAGATGCCTGTCCAACCATGTGGCGTGCCAAAGTTCTGCGATTCTGGAGACGGCACGGCCAGCAAGACATGCCTCATCTAGACGGATATACAGCACAGTCGAGTGATGATTGCTCGCAGCAGGCAGAGTGTCCATAGTCCGGCAACGAGCTGAGGTGCTGGCAGCCGTAGATGGAGCCGCCGCGGCTAAGCGTGAGAGTCTTGGCAGCCCGAACAGCGGCCGTGGCCACCCTTCCTTTCTTCACTCTCATCCTTTGACCAATAAAACCATCCACCTCCCCCAAACCCGAGTCGATTGGCCTGCCCTGCGGCGGGGCCTACAGAGACCGTGAGCCATTCACAGAAGGTATGCGCACTATAACCTCCATGTGCTCTCGTGCCAGCACGGCGGCCGACACCACGCGACGCCGCCGTAGCGCGCCCGACGTGCCATTTGCGCTCGCTGCTGTTGTTGCTGCTGCCAGCTTCTGACGTGGCGGCGCAAGCAAGCAACAAGCATGGCCATCGAGTCGCCATCCACGCCCGACACGCTGACACCACGCAGACACGCCATCACGAGCGCTCGCAGGCTTCCGAGACCACATCCAGGTGAGTGCATCTACGCGCTGCCGCACACGCGCTCGCCTGCGCTGTTGCGACAACGACCGCGGTCGAGCTTGAAGCGAGCAGCCTCGCACACGCATGCGCAGCGTATCGTCCATGCGCTCTTCGCATCGCCGCCCGCCCTCGACGCATCCGCCCTCGCTGGCGGGTGTCGCGTTCACCGCGCTCCCTCACTCGCTCATGCGCGCCATTGCCTTGCGAGGTTCTGCTGCGCGCGTGTGGCGGTGCGGTCGCGTCGTAAAGCGCTTCGGTCGTAGCGCGGTGTGATGCGCTGGCGAGCTGCCAGCATGGCATGGCGCGGCACACCCGCAGCGCAGCATTCAGCTCCTTCCCGCCCGCGCGCTCCAGCGCATCACATCCCAGCTCAAGAGTCGTCGCTGATGTTTGGCCGACAGTTTAGACTCCGCCTTCGCCCTTCCTGTTCCCGCACTGCAGCCACTGAGAGCCATTCGCTGCGCCCTCAGTTGATTTTAGCTGCGCCGCCTGGCCGCAGACTACACGACCAGCAGGAACCACCCCGGCGCGAACCACTACTATCGACCTGTCCGACGCTGCGCATTGGCTGCAACAACGTCGCGTCGTGTCACTCCCATCGTACCTGCGCGCAACGATTACGCTGTCCGTTGCGCCTTCACCTCGAGCTCCAGTCGCGCCCAGGGACCTCAGTACGCGACCTATCTGAAGCCCTGACGTTGGCTGCGCTGCAGTCGCCGCCTTCATCATGGATTCCTATCCTCAATACCACCATCCGAACAACCAGAACCAACAGCAGCCGAACTACGCGCAACAAATGATGCCGCAGATTGGGTACAACGGCTATGGAGTGCAACCACAATACGGCGTTTCGCCCTCACAAGCGGCCGCCATGGCCACGGCCGCTGCTTCAGGCTACGCGCCTTCCTATTCGATCCAAGATTCGTCGCTGCCAGGCCAACTGCCACAAACCTCACCTCGACTAAATCAGGTGAAGACCGATGGACGGCCGAATCCACAGTCGCCGCAACAGAACGCGATGAACGTACCGAGCAGCATGGCACATCAGCTGAACATGTCCTCCTCCGCACAGCCAATGCCCAATAACATGGCACAGATGCAGCCGGGGCAAATGTCACAGCCACGCCGCATGTCGCATTCCGTCAACGCCCCAGCGGTGCAGAACCCGCAGGGAGCACCACCTCTGGGCGCACCTCGACCACCAACGCAACCACAACAGACGCAAGCTCCGCCGCCTCCGCAACAACAATCACCTGAAGTCCCAGTAGCTGGCGCGAACGAAGAGTCACCCCTCTATGTCAATGCGAAACAATTCCATCGAATTCTCAAGAGGCGAATGGCACGACAGAAGCTGGAGGAGGCACTGCGACTCACATCGAAGGGCAGGAAGCCGTACCTACACGAGTCGCGACACAATCATGCTATGCGTAGACCCAGAGGACCGGGCGGCCGTTTCCTGACCGCAGACGAGGTGGCACAGATGGAAGCTAACGGCACCCTCCCTACGGACAGTAAAGACCCAAAAGGTGAAGATGATTCTGTTCATAGCACGGACAGTGCTAAGCGGAAAGCAGGTGAGATGAATGGCGACGCGAAAAGTAATACGCCAACAAAGAAGGCGAAGAGTGATGACGAAGATGGCGATGGTCAAGAGGATGGCCAATAGACCGGCGCAACAGCTCGGCTTCAATTTGATACCTTGTGGACGACATTTGTGCATGCTCCCTGTCAAGCAGGATGTCTGGCATCTCTTTCATGGTGTGAGAAGGGAGCACGGTACTTGGCGCACGGAGTTTTTGGTCTTGAGATACCATCATTCTTACTGGATGGCTACGATTAACGCAGCGTGAGAAGATGTTTCTTTCGAGCAGTACAGAATTGGGGGAATGGCGTCTTGAGGACATGATGAATTGCGCATACGAAAACCCTTATACCCACGCGCAATGCGCTCAGGAATAGATGGCACCTGTATGGATGTATTGCGAAGACATAGCACAGAATGAAAGACTATTCATATTGTAGCTTGCAGATGTTCGAATTACTTCACTTGCTCACATGAATCTCACGAGGAAAGCTCTCGTATCTTGGCATTTGTCGCGTGAAGCTGCGAACTCCGCAGCACCTCCGTGTCACCCATCCACGCATCCACGCACCAACACATCCAACATACCCACCACAATGATCTGTCGCCAATGCATGCGCCGGCTCGCTGGGCGAGGCTCACAAGCTGTGAGCAGACGGAACTTTACCAACAATGCAGCCATGCGCGCGCAAGCCGTCTCAGCCCAAGAGACAACCGCATCCCATGGCCGACCGAACGATAAACCGGCAGCAACATCGACATCAGCCGCACAGCCCTTCAGCACACCTTTGACCCCATCTCCGAACAGCGAAAAACTGGATCTCCCCATCGAGACCAAGCAGAGCAAGCAGGCGGCTAAAGTTGTCTCGAGCGTTCCAGCGGGAACCGTACTCAAAGGCCTCAATTTCATGAAAAACAAGCAAGATCCAGTAGCGTTGGAAGACCACGAATATCCATCATGGCTATGGACCGCATTACACGACAAAGGAGATACACCCGGCGGGCAACCGAAAGATGCAGAGGGGGATTTATTCTGTATGTCATATCACCACCAACACCATCCCTCGCAAACTGATTCATATGTGCAATACTCACTAACTGTTCTCTTCTAGCGAAATCCAAAAAGCAACGACGAATAGCCGCAAAGGCATTGAGGAAACAGCAATTACTTGATCCGGAAGCTTTGGCGCCTAAAGTGCCATTGTATGAGCAGAGTATTGATCTTCCCGGGGCGGATGGGACTTTGGAGGGGAATAAGGAGGCTTATAGGGCGCAGGAGGAGTTGACGAAGGCTATGAGGGAGAAGAGGAGGAGTAAGATTAAGGAGGATAACTTTTTGCGGGAGATGTCGTGATCGTGAGGGGAGGGAATATGTTTGTGGTCTATGGACTGGACTGGTCTCAGAGGACAGTGCGATACATATGCAGCAACGCTGCGGCTGCGATATGTTGCTTCGTACCATGCAATGATGTGTCAGCCGTACGATCGCTGTTTGTACAGTATAGAGCAAGTCCGGGAGAGTACATGCCGCATACCATTCCTCGCTCACACGAACGGCTCTCAAATCTACGCTTGTATCGGTGGAATACACTCTATGATCGTATTAGACTTGCTTGAGGGCCATCTCTTATTCAGAATACATTGTACCGCGATCGCCATCATTGGTTCAAGTCTGATATAAGACTGCGGTATCACCAACGGAACTCGTGTCATGAAAGTGCTGTGGGGAAAGTGTCTTGCCTTCAACGTCGTGACGCTCACGCCAGGCAGGCCATACGAAGGAGAACAATCACTTTCCCGCGTCAACTTCAAGTCTGGGTGTTCCTATTGCCTCACGGTGTCATTGACTATCATTAGATCCTCCACGTACACTTCGCCAAGTACCATAATGCTTCTGTCATTGATCCAGAGCGTCTTTCAATCAATTTTAGTGGCGACATCATACAAAGTTTTGCACAAAGCTACATGTATGTGATGGTGAGGACTGCAGAGGAGAGGTGGTATACAGGCGAATAAGTGCAATCAGTCTCGCGACCGTATTCATTTATCGTACAGCTGTCTCTATGTAAGTAGTCTGGAGCTACTCTTCGTCACGCCTTTTATTATTGTTGGGATCTATTCCCAACCACAATGATACCCAATCGTGACATTTTTAATGCAAAGTTCCTTCATCCAATCGTACATCGTGGCTTCGTGGTTCCGAACTCTATCGTTAATGAGGATTAAACAAGCAGAGTCGCAAAGATGAGGCCGAGCAGAGAGATGCCAGCCGAGACGGTGTTGACGGAAGCAGCACCGGTAGACTGCTCAGTGTCTGCACTTGTTGATGCCGAAGCACGGGTGGTGGTCGCGCTACCAGTCTGCTGGCTGGATGGTGCCGTGGAAGTGGCGGCGGTCGGAATTCCAGAGTTCAGGACGGAAAGACTGGCGGTGTTAACGCTGTAGCTCGATCCAGTAACGGTGGTGCGGAGGGTCGGAATGGTGTTTTCGATTGGCGCCACGCTTTGGCTGACAGTAGGGGCAGAGGTCACTGTCGTTTGAGCAGTGGCTGTCGCAGTGCCAACTGCAGATTGAGTGGCAGGGGCAGATGAAGCAGCGCCCTCAGCATTGCACGAGTCGCCGCTCTTGATCACATCGATGCTCTGCCAGGAGCCTGTGTTGTCCGAGTATGTGTACTGGCAAGCCGGGTTGTAGTTCATGACGTTGACCGATTTGACGAGCATCGTGAATGGTCCCTGAGCAAAGTCCGTCTTGCCTCCAGCCCATTCAACAGTCCCCTCGTCTGGGCTTGCACCACCGGCCCAGCTACCCAGTTTCAATTGCATCGGGGTCTGCGGGTAGTTCTGACCATTGACGGTCTGGGCGCTGGAGTATGGTACGGTGCGAATGACGGTGCCGTCAATGGAGAACTCGATTCGCTCACTCGTCCAATCGATGCCGTACGTGTGCCAGATGTTCTGGGCATCGGCAACAGGATGATAGACGGCCCTGTCGTACGTCGTAGTGTTGCCTTTGCCATAGAAATTGGACTGAACTTCACCACTCCGGCCGCCAACGAACTCCCAGTCGATTTCGTCGAGGTCCTAAATAAAAGTCAGTTGATAGTCAAGTAAAACGCTTAATGTGAGCTTACGGCTGATTCCATCACGATACTCGACACGATGCCCGTTCCGGAAGCCGCTTTCATGGTGACCTCGAAGCGACCGAAGAAGATGTTGAAGTCAGATGCAATGGTTGGGGCTTGGCCTTGCCCAGCAATGGTGAAAATAGCACCATCAGCGCCATATTGGAGATTGGTACCAGTCGCAGAGGTCCACGAAGCAGCAGCTCCTTCGCCTTGGGTGAAGTCGGCAGAGTAGGAGGCGGATGGCAAGCCAGGTTCGCTGGGGCAAGTCTTTTCGAGTGGGTTGCAGTCAGTAAAAGTCTGCGCTGTTGCGATGGCCGCCAGACTGGCGGCGGCAGAAAGAGAGGTGAAGCGCATTGTGGCGACTTCTAATCACTCTTGGATTTCTCGGCGCAATGAAGTGATCCTTGTGGGTAGAGAGTGTTTTGATGTTGCTTAAGATGGCTCAAAACGAAGGTCGATATGAGCGAGAGGAGGTGATTGTTCGGCGAGCAAACATCGGACAAGGGACAAGAGGCTTTGTATGTTTGAGGCGCACATGCAATCGCACTCCACGTCACATTCAAATCGAAGCGCGCGTAGTCACCGTGGCCACGCAAGCCACGCATTGGCCCGTTTTGGCCTCGTGTCGATCGCATGAGCGCTTTCACTTGCACGTTTCCTCGTGACCGGATGCGGCCGAAACAGCACGGATGGCGGCACAGTGATGGCCGCATCGGTATACGACTCGTTTGTGTGTTGCTATTCGCGACTTGACCATCGTTCTGCTACACGCATCGCGCGAGATCAGGAACCGGGGTCGCATTCGAAACTTGAGCCTAGCGGGTCATACGCGTCCGTCCGGTGGGCCGATGGTCGGTCGGTCAGTCAGCTGCTTCTCAGCCTCCTCCTCACCTACAGCACACGGCTGCCCAATACAGCAGTCGGTCTGAGGAGTGAGAGCCCAGACAGGACGACAAGAACGCCACGAGAAGGCTGCGCTGCAGATCACGGCGCGGCAGGCAGAGTGACAGCTGCATGGCGAAGCAGGTGGAAAGTGAAAATGCCGGCGGCCCCACCGCTACGATTGTACGATGTTGCAGACCGACTTGACTGGCGGGTGGCGTCGATGCGATGGTCGTTGATCCTGTTGACCGTGAGAAGCGAAGGAACACGGAGGTTACGTCGACGCGCTCGTGTGTGAAGAGCGACGTGTGGTCTAGCGGGCGCGGAGCTATAAAAAGCCACAGGCGAGAGCATCGCATTTGGCATGTCTTTTGGGGCTCTGCGTGATGCCAAGACACTGCCAAAGTCTCGGTCACTCTTCACTTACTCGCCGCGCCGCCTTCCCCCCGGCCCACCAGTCTTGCCGTCCAGCACTGCCTCATCAGGTCAATGCAGGTCTGTTTATGGCAGGTGCAAGTGCCATGATCGTTGACGACTACGAAACGGACGCTACTTGCAGACAGCAAACAGCGGGCCACATCTTCGGGAAACATCTGATCACTCGTCGTGAACTTCCTTCCACTCTTGCATCGTTTCTTGAGACAGAGTGCCTCAGATGTGCTACGCAAGGGAGAGATATGAGGAATGAAGGAATATTCAAATCTTTCAGGCGAAGTAGGCATCGTCGTTCCTAGTGTTTGTTCTGCTTTGTTGCAGCGACAGGGACGATGCTGCAGAAGACGACTAGATGTCGCGAGGTGGGGTCTTCCATGAGCTCATCGCAGCTGCAGCATATGGTTGGTAAGCAGGGCAAGAGAGTCGAGGGGCAACCTCAGTAGAACCATTGCACGAATAGATTCCCCATTCTGTCCATAATCAACAATCATGTCTGGACTCAAGATCGTATTCGGCGGCGCTGGCCTCAACAACGGCAGACCATTGGCAGAAACCGCCACACTGAAACGTGCCTACGATGTCCTCCTCGCAGCAGGTGTCAAAACCATCGACACAGCCAACCTCTACGGCGACAGTGAAACCATCCTGAGCGAAACAGGCGCCCCAAGCCGCTTCACTCTCGACACCAAAACCCGCGGTGGCTTCAACAAGGAAAACGGAGCCTCACGAGAGAACATCCTCAAAGAAGCCCAAAACAGTAAAGACAAACTCGGCCAAGTCGATATCTTCTACATTCACGCTCCAGACCCAAACACGCCAATAGAAGAAACTCTCTCAGCCATCAATGAAGTCCACAAGACCGGTTTCTTCAAACGTTTCGGTCTGTCGAATTACAAAGCCGAAGATGTCGAAAAGGTCTACAATCACTGCAAGGAAAAAGGATATCCATTGCCTCAAGTCTATCAAGGGAATTATAGTGCCGTAGCGAGGAAGCAAGAGGAGCTTTTGTTTCCGACGCTCCGCAAGCTGGGGATTTCGTTCTATGCGTATAGTCCTCTGGCGGGAGGATTCTTGTCCAAGTCGAAGGAGGATATTGAGAAGGGCTCTGGTCGATTCAATAATACTGAGAGCGGTGCAAGCATGTACAAGAAATTGGTGAGGCGCCCTCTCCTGTTCCTGATTTGTGCTGAAGTAGGACTATGACACTGCTAACACTCTGCAGTACGGAAAGCCAGCACTGCTCAACGCACTGGAGCAATGGGCGAGCATTGCGAAAGATGAAGGAGTGAGCTGCCTCGGTTCTCAAAACACGCGCCTTACTGACACTCATCGCACAGATCACGAGAGCCGATTTGGCTTATCGATGGGTTGCTTACAATTCGCCACTAAAGAATGAGAACGGCGACGCCCTCATTATCGGCGCCAGCAGTGTCGAACAGCTGCAAGAGACGTTGGACTCGATCGGAGGCGGGCCGCTCAGCGACAAAGCCGTCAAGAGGATCGATGCCATCTGGGATGAGATCAAACACGAAGCACCGCTCGACAATTACCATTCTTGAGCTGTTGATGCTCGTCCATATGAGAGTTACGGACACGAATTGCAGACGCATAAAGGGGGTATCTCATAAGCAAAAATATAGACGCTGCTACCCAGTTCCAATTCATCCATCATTCAGTATCGCGGTACTGTTCGAGATAATTCAACCTCGCTCGACACGCGTCCCAGCCGTGCTTCTTCTCTAGCAACCGAATTGCCCTGGCATTGCCTCCTTCCAGCTGCTCATCTTCGTCTTCGTTCCATACGCCTGGAACATCAGTAGGGATCCCTTTGCCAGCCCTCACGTGCATCAACACAAATTCCGCGAGGTCCAGTCGCAATGAAGTACACTTGACCGCTTCGATGATTGCGCTCTCATCGTGGCCTCGGACTTTCATGGTTGCCATCCAGCTCTCCAGCCGTTCTGATTCGTCCTCTGAATTAAGATCTGCTGATGGCGATTCTGCACGCATCGCTTGGCTGCTAGCGTACTGCTCGATCGTCTCGGTCAAGTCGTGTGCGGTTTGGTCATGTTCGTCATTCTGCTCTCCGTCCCCGTCCTCGTCATCAGTGTCAAGTGGCAGGGGCATAGTCAGATCCGCTTGTTGTGTTTCTGCGTTATAGAAGTCTTGTGTTTCAAGTGGCCTAGGTATCTGCCGGCCACGTGTTCCATCTTGAGAGCCCGGAGAATCTGGCAGAGGGGAACTAGGAATAGAGGTTGAGGAGATCTCGATAAGTTGCGATGCCTTCCGAGGGGTCTCATATTCATGGGGGTTCGGGCCGTCGACTTCGTCATAATAGTCTCCAAGGTCTAAGGCCTCCTCTTCTGCCATGGCTGGTGTGCTGTCACGGTCTGAGCTGGGATCAAAGCCGCCTCCAACTTCCGGGAACGCCACAGAGAGGTCAACCTCTTGGTCCAAGTCGTCGCTTGGCTCCATGTTCCTTGCCTCAAGTCCGCCCGAACGGGCAATGGCATCAGGTCTGGCGGTACTGGATGCTGCAAGAGGGCTGCCAGCTGTGAGCCCTTTCGCCTCTGCGAGAGGAACATTTTCTATGTCTTCCGCCTGCGTGTTCGAAGGCATTGCCGTGACTTGCGGCCGATGAGGCGATGACGGCCATTCTAAATTAGATAGTATCACCTCGTCAACATCATGATCGGACTCGTCCTCTATTGATCGCGCCTTCCCAGCATTCGAATGGCTTCCTGAGACATTCCGTTCCTGTGAAAGTTCGGGCTGATTGTGGCTCGGCATCAGACTTTGCTGCAAATACTTGACGAAATCGGACTGGTCATTGTTCGCATCGTCCTCGGGCAGGTCTGCGCCTCTTAGTAAGGGTGCTTTGTGTCGGGCTTCCTGCGCAGCGAGATTAGCTTCCGTGAGGGCAGTGCCTCCAGATAGCTGTGACTCGAAATCGGACGCAAGGTCGTCCTCCGGCATTATCGCTCCAATGTCATCCTCTGTGGGACGCTGCTGTACCTCTGAGCTCCGCAGGTCTTCGATCTCGGGCCCATCACTTATGTAGGGTCTGTGCTCTAGTTGATTGTTCTCGTGTGTAAGAAGTTTGATGAGGTCCTCGCCCTCGCCGCTGGCTTCCACCAACCCTGCACGACTCGCACTCTCGTCGAAGGCGACCAGCGATTCGTTTGTGATTTGCTGGGCAGCCGCACGATTCTCGTCGGACGTCAAGAGTTCGGCGAAGGGGCCTAGGCTTTCTGAAGCTGTGGCAGTGGCAGCTTTAGTGGTATGATCAATGCGGTGCACATCGGACGAGCGGGATGGCGAGTGATTCTGAGATCGCGGCTGAGGTGACCCAGGCTCAAAATGGCTCTCGCCATTAGTCGGCACAACATCGAAGTGTCTTTTGCGTTTTCTCCGATTTTCTCCAGCGTCCGAAGGTCTCACGCTAGGCCGTTCCGTATTGCCCTTGTCTCGAAGTTGTGCTTGATATATAGGACGAACATCTTCTTGCCAAAACTTGGCCCACTCTTGAGCCGAACGATGCGGATATGCCTCAGCCCAAAGCTCCCACGCGGGTAGCCATTGGTCTTCCAAAACATTGTCAATGTCTGCAGCATGAGGCATGAGCAGATCTACATCAGTCTCTTTTTTCCCGTGGTCTTCAGCATGCACTGTGTCCGCCGACTGATCCTCAGAATGCTCAGGCCCTTGATCCTTCTCGTCCACGATCTCAACTCTGCGACGTTTCGCCGGAGGCGTGGACGCTTGCTCCTCCTCCATCTCCCCGTCTAGTGCAGTCGAAGGACTTGGAGGAGCATTTGCGGGTACAGTGGGCTGTACCCCAGCGGGTGGGTTATTCATGAGCTTTTTTAGGTAGCGATCGCGCCATGACTGAAAAGTGTGACGAGGATTGATCTGTTCTAGGCGCTTGTAGATATCGTTGCCTTTGAACTGGCCTCCACGAGTCTTCTCCTGCTCGACCCACTGCCATAGCTGCTTGTCTTCCTCGTGAGTGAAGGGCGTACGCGTGGCTTTGCCCGGAGCTGCAGAGCCCACATCTCGAATGGTGCCTGGCCTCGGACCAGCGTAATGATCGGCGGGATCTGGTAGCGCTCCATTGGCAATGGCGGTGGTGATGAGCGTCCAGGAATAGCTGCCGGCAGGCACGTCTTTCCGCACGTGGTCTGCAATGACATAGTCGGCCAGTTTCTCGTTCTTCACTACGCGGCCGCCATTGGCTTCGATGTCGCGGATAAGCTGGGAGCGTGCGGGCAACTTCTGGAGGCAGAAGAAGCTGAGATTGGCGAAGAGGGTCGCTGCGCCAGTGCGACGGTGTTCTGCCGATGCATCGCTCACGACGATGGATGCGCCGGCCATGGGAGTGTGTCCATCGAAGGTCGATGGTATGCGATGTACGTGCAGTCGTAGTGGGGCCAGAACGCGCCTGCTTGACGCGTCCAACTCCCGGTCCGAAATTCGTCGTCACTCCCACTGCAACGCTTCCGCCTGATTCACCGCCGCCGTTGCCATCGAGCCAGGAAGGTTAGCCAGGGCCAACGGCATGGCTCTGCTCCGGAAACTCCTCATCGGCATTCTGCTCGTCTCCTTCTTGACCTTCGTCGCGCTCTTCGGACAACTGCCGTCTTTACGCAGGACGCCGATCGGCTGGCTTCAACGCGTCCTCTGCATCCACACGCCCAACGCGCTCCGACGACTCGACCGGGCAGCGACGGGCGGGCGAGTGACGCGCAAGAGCAAGAAACTGGGCACTTATTTGTTCTACGAGCAGAATCCCGTCGTCCTGGTATGCACCATACCCCAGGCTGCAGCTGCCTTCGCCAAGAAATTCCGTCCATCGTCGCTAAAGGTGAGGCTAGATCATTTTCCTGTTCATACTGACGGGCGCCATCTTCCTCTTTCTGTGGAACACTGTCCACCGGCTTCCCAGGGAGCAACTGCTTCCTGTGCCGTTGCTGGTCGTTCTTCCTTATCTCTTCACCTACCTTACCGTAAAATGCACCAGCCACTACGTCACGCCTGAAAACCATGCAAAACGCATGTCCGATTATCCCTACGATCATATTCTGTTCCAGCCCGGCGTAACTTGCAAAACATGCAACCTCGTCAAGCCTGCGCGATCGAAGCATTGCAGCTTTTGCGGCCACTGTGTAGCGAAGTGCGATCATCACTGCCCCTGGGTCAATAACTGTCTAGGACGGGGCAACTATCACTACTTTCTTGCTCTGCTTCTTTCAATCGGCCTCGTCCAAATCTATGGCAGCTATCTCAGCTGGTACCTCCTACGACTTTATTTGACGGTCGACCGAGCCACGCCACTTTTTAGCTGGGCCCGACTAGAGAGCATCGGAAATGCGATTATCGCCGCTCTTAATCGTGGCGGTATATCGATTGCTGGCGTCGGCTTACTGGCTGTCTCAACAGCCTGCTTGCCCCTTGGGCTACTGGCTTACCACTTGTATCTGATCTGGGCCGGTATGACGACCAACGAGTCGCAGAAGTGGTCAGATCTCAAAGAAGACATGGCAGATGGCTATGTGTTCAGAGCTCGGAGGCAGGACCTGAGAGCTCACAACAGTGCAAGAGCACAGGAACGCCCTGACCTCAACGATTCTCTTAACCCTGCCTTGAACGCTTACAACGACGAGGTGGATGATCTGGAGCCGCACGTGGCAAAAGCCGACGATGTTATCGTCAGAACGAATAACGGCAGACCTCCTCAGGGTCAAGAGAGATTATGGGCTCGCGTCTGGAGTCTGGACGACATCGAAAACATTTACGATCTGGGTGGGACGCAAAACTTTGCAGAGGTTCTTCGTGGACGCTGACCGCTGACGCGGGTCCACGCTGTTTGAGCATATCGCTAAATATTTGCTCAATGCACGCGAATGAGCAGTTTTGTCACCCGCTTCCTCCTTCTGGATCTGCCAACAGGCCATCCAACCCTGCTGCTCCCATGACGGCTGTCGCAACATGTAATGGTGCAAACGCGCCAACACTACATTCCAGGCCTCTCGCCTTCGTTAATAAGGACAGTCCGCGGAACATTCGCAACACCTCTCGCAAGGTCAATTCAGCCTGCTTAATGCTTCCTTCGTCGACAGTTCCTTGCGGCTTGACTTGTATTGTCCAGTGTATGTTCACACCAAGCGAAGGCAGTTTGTCGATCATCTCGATCTGATCAGTATCGTGTAAGGCCACCTTGCCGCGCTGCAACAAGACCCCATGCGCCATGCTGCTATTCTGTGTAGTGCCGCTCAGCTTCGAAGTCAAAAGGACGCCCCATGTCTCATCAGTCATATCAGTTAGTTGCGCATCGGCATCAGCTGCGCTGTCCGCCGGGAGCGAAGTGGCTGTGTCGCTGGGCGCGGGAGTTAACGGGGCATTGCCTCCATGTCCCGCAACATCTGGCGAGGAAGTGAAGGTGGCTCCTTGTGGGGTGGACGCTGGTGTAAGGACACCGTTCTCTGCGCTCCCAATTGCAGCGTGCTCGAGGCCCGCATATGGTGGCAGCAACTGCAACAGTGGCTCGGTCTGGATAGACAGCATCGTCACGCAAACAGGCTGAGCGCGAGGCTTGGCCGCGAGCATTCGCCAGCAGTGCATAATTGAGGCCTCGATTGCGCTGTCTTGAGTGACGACGAATATTCGCCATGAAACTTGGCGCGCTGCCATGATGGTTTTGGTGTGTTCCCATACATCCTCCGCAGTTTCTGCAAATGTTCTGCCAGCCATGCAGAATGAAGAACTGGACTGATACTTTCCTGTGCTGTCTATCCAGGATGCCGTCAGCCACTTACCATCTGAGCTGCAAGCGTATGCTAGATGAAGAATGGACCCTTCGTATAGGAGATCCGCAGCAGCTTCAGGTATCAGTTGAAAGCCGAGCCGCTTAGGCGCCATACTGGCCAATTCCACAGTCGGAGCAGCAAGATTTGGCAGTGGGGCGGATATGTCAGACAGTTGCAGAGCAGAGGTGGGCGGACACCGGTCATAGATCTCACGAGCTAGTATTGACATCCGTCTGGCATCCAGTGGCACAAAAGCATCGTAGGCGGCTACTAGTGAGATTGGCAGAAGCTGTAAGAAGATGTCGCTTCCTCCTCGTTCGCCGGATGCTCTGGGCATGTTGTCTCGGTAGGTCTGAAAAAGCGTCCAGAAACAAGCACAAAGATGTTGGCGTGCCTGCTCTCCGCTGAAAGGATTGAGGATGTACACGACGATGGCACGATCCTCAGACTCCTGGTGAGCAATGGTCGACAAAGCTTTGCCTAAGTCTGAACAGGTGGTAGCATACGACTTGAGAGCAGCCTCCAGCGACGCTTCTTCTCCTAGATCAACAGGGGCCATGCCGTCCTCGAAAGTATCGTGCACGTCCACTTCGCTGGCATTGCGCAAGTGAACGTGGGTGCCCAATTTGCAATTCTCGTAGGCGGTGCCCAGGTCACCCAGGAAGTGATCGGCCAGGCGCTGGAGATCCTCGTTGAATGGAAAGACGCAGAACGCACGGAGATGCTTGGGACCAGCTGCTGGGCTGAGCCCTAGCGTCTCCCAAAATGGTATGCAGGCGGGCAGCATTTCCCAAGCATCACGACCACGGCGCAACCTCAAGAAGGGCGACGGTAATGTAAAACAATCGGGACCGATATGCGCACTGTCGAGCCGCTGCGGTGGCCGAGGCTGACCTTGTGGCGTCTTTCCAGCATTGTTTGTCTGGCGCAAGACTGACTCTTTCGACAGTGCAAGCTCTGAAAGATCGCACTCCAGCGCTTCTGGTACTGCTATACGAACAGCTCGTTTGAGTTGGTCTCGCAAATACTTTGTCACGACAGGCACAACCAGTTCTGAATCACCGGAAAGATCGTGTACACCTATCGAAGAGCGTATGTTCGCAGTGATAGACTGATCGGCTACGAGTTGCGCGACACAAATGAGGTCTGACTTGGTCAGACTATATGCACTCTCGAGCGACAGTAGCGGACCTGCCACTGTCTCCATTGATTCTGGCTGTAAAGCGTGGAGTAGTGCAGGCGGATGTTGGGTCGGCTTTGATGGACGTAGACTTGACCCGAAGTCGGCAAGCAAGATACTCGACGAATACTGTTGCAACACCTCTACCATGGTGTTCTTAGCAGCGGCGTCGGACACGTTGCCGACCTCATCTTCTTCCGCATGAGAATTCATATGGTTGTTCAAAGTATAGGTTGCAACGTCGTCATCAAGCTGTCGCTTTCGTTTCCTGGTCTCCCAAGGCAACCTGGGTGGCAAATCCGTATCGTCGGCCTCACTCGAAGAAGAATCATAGGACTCTTCTTCGCTATCGCTGCTGTCGACATCGTACCCGTCGGTGTCGTGGACCTCCTGTTTCACGCCCGGTCCGGTGCGAGCAGGCGGAAGCGCGATACATACAGAGTCAGGAGGCGGCTTGGTGCGTGCTGCATCTTTGGCCACCAGGGCGGGTTCATACATCGATGCCATGCGGATGGAATTGCGGAAATTGATCGAGGCAAAGCTGCTGTCCCTGCGGCCCGTGTGGCGAGACTGCGCATCCGCATGTAGTTGTAAGTGGCTCGCTGGGACGGGAGGTGGTAGAAGTTGTTCGCGAATGCCGAAAGGGCTCAAGGGCCGCTTTGGCTTAATAGAAGGTTCACTCAAAGCCCTGGCCCCAATGGAGCTCTCCTCAGTGTCGATCTTCTCTGCAATGTTTGCATTTGTGGTATCAGCAAGTTCGTATTGTAGCAAATTGTCGTCATTTGAGGCGTCCGGCAGCACCGAAGCATCACCTTCGAGTGCCAATTCCGTAGGTTGCGCTGCACTGATCGTTTCTGCATCAGCATTGGACTCGTCAAGCACATCACGAGTCTCCATCGGCGGCTGCTCCGTGAACTCATCGTCGGGCTCGTCGAAGAAATTGAAATCCGCATCCTCTATTTCAGCGTCGCCAAATCCCATCTCACCGACATCACCAAATAAATCGTCTTGCGCCGCATTCAGCTCGCTTGGATCGTGCGGTGGAGGAGGCTGCTGTGCTGAAGGCTTTGGTTGCATGGAATCATTCGGCGAAGTGCCCAGCACGGAACTGCTCGGGTCTGGCTGTGTCACTGAAGGGGTCGCAGCACTCAGCAGGCCTGGCTGTGCTGGGGCGAAGCCATCAGGGGGTGTTGGATAGATGCCCACCATGGCAGACAGATGTTCAGCTCCTCGCTGCGTGAATGACGGCGAAACAGCCGTATCTGCCTCAAGTGGTGTCACTTCAGCAGTCATCGTAGGCGGAGCCTGTCCAGTCGTGGGAGCTTCTGTTGGTACAAAAACGTCTGCAGCAGCCTTAGCGCGTTCTCTTTCTGCAAAGCCTTTGTACCAATCCTCCGTGGCCGCCAGCGGGTTTCGGAAGATGGCGCCTTCCTCCGTGCTAATGAACCATCGTCGCCAGTCCCGGCCCTCTGCAAAGGTAGCATCGACTTGATTGTTGGCAACTGAAGTGGTGAAACACAGGTGTGCAGGCCATGCCCAAGCAGTTTCAGTACCATCTAGAAGCTCAACCGGTATCCATTGGGTATCGCGTGGCAATTCAAGACCTTGTGTTGGCAGCATTTCTGTTACGATCGTCCTCCAGTTCTCACCGTCGAGGAGATTCTTACCGGATTCGAGAACAAGGGGTCGCGCAGACTGGCCGAACGGAGCTAGGACTACTGGATCGTCGGTACTGCACCGTGCAGAGCCTACTGTTTGAAGCGTGGCAGGAAGGACATCCGAGACTAGGTAGAGGCCATCTGTCGGGGTCGTCCTGGCGCGAAGCTTGATCATCATGCTCTCCCCTTCATCGACCTCGTCACTGCGACGATTGCCATAAAGCCAAGTCCAGGGCGCGACATGCGTGATTGCCGGGTCTTTGGACAGGTTGTGCGCGACTGACAGCTCCACCGCAGCCAACAAGGCGTCTCGAGGGCTGCTGGTCGCGGATTCTGCTGCGCGCTCGGCGACTGTTCCTTGCGCGATGACTTCCAAATCCGCTTCCAGCTCTTGGTACGCAGCATTGCCATCCCCAGTCGAGTCCCCGAAGACATACACTTGTGAGCCCACGGCAGCGCATAGCACATTGTCGGCGCGTAGTCGTGCGATTGCCCGTTGCAGTTTCGACCATTGCGTGTGGGAAGGCGCGGTGTTGTGACGAAACTGGAAGAGCGCGAAGCGTACTTGGCTCACGCTCTCGATGGCATGTATGTTGGTTGTGCACGCTTTCAAGAAGTCCATGCTCGTTGTGTCCGTCCGCGGCGCGATCTAGACGGAAGAAACATGGAGACGGGCGGTGAGGCGGAATCGGTGGTGCGCCGCGTCTTCATCAGCTCTTCTCCAGATCGTATAGAGCAGCAGGCCAGCAAGTAGTTGGGGATCGGGGTGGTGTGTGCAGGGACACAGCACGTTTCGACCGGCATACACAAGGGCGATACCATGTATGTCGAGCAGACTATCCGCGCCGGAAGCCCCCACAGCCACGCTTTGCGGCACGAGCCGGTGATCTGCGCCGCAGCAAAGCAGAGCCGCATAGATAGCGCTAACCTACATGTAGTGGAATTTCTTCTCGCCGCACTTGCTTTCCTCTGCATCCGCGACCTGCGATGAAGCTCACTAACAGCGGTGCGGTGCCCGTGTACACCGTCGCAGGGGCGTCTACAGCTCGTCCACTGCCCGAATGGCTCGCGCGGCGGCGAAAGCGCAGCCTCAAAAAGGACGCCGAATACGCCAACCGTGTGGAGCTGCTGCAGGACTTTGAATTCGACGAGGCCAGCCAATGCGTGCGCGTCAGCGAAGATGGCGAATGGGTCATGAGTACAGGTATGTGCATACTGCGCCGCCGTCGACGGGGTGTTCTCAGCGCTGACGACGATTGCCGACTGACAGTGTGAGCGCGCGACAGGCACCTACAAGCCGCAAATCCATGTCCACTACCTGCCCCATCTCTCGCTGTCCTTCGCCCGCCATACCAATACCGTCAACAACACTTTTGTTCTCCTTTCTCAAGACTACACCAAATCGCTGCATTTGCAGACAGACCGCTTCCTCGAGTTCCACAGCCCTGGTGGTCTACACTACAGCACACGCATCCCGCGATACGGACGAGATCTCAAGTACAATGCACGCAATGCCGAAGCACTTGTGCCCGCCGTTGGAGTCAATGCGGACGGCATGGGTGAAGTTTTCCGTCTCAACCTGGAGCTGGGTCGATTCATGAAGGGGTATGAAGTAGATGTTGGAGGGGACGATGTTAATACAGTGGGTGCCGGCGCTCTTCAGGGAGGAATCAACACTGGTGCGGTCAATTGCGCTGCCATCGCAGACCAGAGTCATGGATTACTGGCATTTGGAACATCGCTAGGAACGGTCGAGTTCTGGGATTCTCGCTCACGAAATCGGGTTAGCGCACTCGGAGCACCCAGGTCGACGCTAGATCAGGATCTGGATGAGAGGCCAGAGATCACGGCACTTTCGTTCCACCGTTCTGGTCTCGAGCTTGCCACTGGCAGCAGCACTGGCATCGTTCGCACGTATGACCTACGATCGCCCGTGCCACTTTTGGAGAAACAGCAAGGTTACGATTATCCTATTCGAACCCTGAAATATATTCAATCGCCACTGGCCTCCGATAAAATCCTCAGTGCGGATCGCAAAGGCATCAAACTGTGGGACGCGAAGTCAGGCGACTACTGGACAGGAATCGAACCTGCCGTAGACCTCAATCACGTCGAATGGGTGCCATCCAGTGGCATGTTCTTGACGGCCAACGAGGGACGACAGCAGCACTCTTTCTTCATTCCTCAACTTGGACCGGCTCCGAGATGGTGTGCCTTTTTGGACAATATCGTAGAGGAGATGGCCGAAGACGCCGAAGATCCACAGGCTTTCCGTTCCACCAACTCCGGGGCAGGAGAAGTCTATGATAATTACAAGTTCCTGGACATGAAGCAGCTCAGGGAATTGAGTTTGGACCATTTGGTCGGGACGACGAATTTGCTTCGACCTTATATGCATGGTTACTTTGTGGCACAAAAGCTGTATGAACAGGCGCGATTACTCACAAATCCCGACCTGGCGGAGCAACAGAGGCAGAAGAGTATTCAGGAGAAGATCGACAAGGAGAGGGAAAGCCGCATCCGTGGCTCGAAGAAGATTGCGGTCAAGGTCAACCGCAAATTTGCGGAGACTCTGCTTGCTAGAGAAGAAGCCAACGAGCGTCGTAAGGCCCAGCGCGTCCTCAAACAAGGTGGCGATCAGCCTCTCGCGAAGCCGACAGAGGCTGCAGCGGACGCCAAACCTGCTATTGACGATCGTTTCAGGAGCATGTTTGAGAATGAGGATTTCGAGATCGATGAGACCAGTCGAGAATTCGCTATGCATAACCCATCCACAGTTCCAACCACAACGTCAAAACCACGCGGCCTTACTGCGGTCGAGGAAGAGGCGCTGGAGGATGGTAACCACGCAAGCAGTAACGACGAAGACGATGAAGATGAAGAGGATGAGGCAGAGGTGGCTGCTCGTCAACGACAACGCCAGCGAAAGTCGGACGGGGCCGAGTCAGCAGATCGTATCGGGTCGACCTCGTACAAGAAGTCCAGGAAAAGGCCGCAAAATCAAAGAAACGATGGGCCGGCGATGCGAGTATCATCATCAACACAAAAGGTTCGCAAACCACAGCGAGACAAATCATTCGGCGATCTCGCTAGTTCTTTGCCAGCTCGGACGCGACATCAAGGACATGGCGGAGACGACGACAAGCCGTTTGGTGAGAAGCAGATCAGTTTCACGCCTGCATCGAAGTCAAAGAAGCGGCCACAGCAGCAGAGCAACGACGACAATGGGAGAAGTGTTGGCAGAGGGAAAGAACGGAGAAGTGCCAGTGGTAATGTGTTCAGGAGAATGTAGATCATCCTGTCCGAAATGTGACATTTGTCGCGAGCTCTTACGCTCTTCTATGAATTGTCAAGAGTTCCACCAACGCCTCGCTAATTCAATCATTATTCTCATTGTCGTCATGAGCTCAGAGTAATGACCGGCGCAACATGCCATCATATAGAATCGCTCATTGTGATGTCCGCAGCTCCCGCCGCTGCCCTAGCCGTGCCAGCGAATTGCTCATTCTGATCCTGCTTGCTAGCCTCAGTGCATTCGTCCGCGATGAAGCAGCCAAGTCCACTGAAGGCTTCGCATAGAGCACGATCAGTGAATACAGAAACTTCGTATCCACCAGGCCCATGCTTGCCATCATTCGCAGTACTTTGCAAGACGTCCCAGACGTACTTGCTCTGTGTGGAATAATACCTCTTGACCCCGAAATTGTAGCCACCGAATGGATCGATCGGAGCGTCGGGTTCTGTCTTGACTTTTGCTTTGAGTCCTTTGATCAGGGTGTTACCATTACCACCAGCGCCGCGTCCTGTCTTCACTTCTGAAGTGGCCTGCAGCTGCTGTTGTCTCGCTGCTGCGTCTTGCCGGTTCAATCGTTTCTTCAGTGTCGCACCTTGAGCTTCTTTCGCGACCGAGTCTGGGTCCTGCCCGTTCTCCAATCGTCGCAATACGTCGCGCTTGTTCGCCTGTGCTTCCCTCCGCTCGTCTGCCTCTTCTCGCCGGGCAGTCTCTCTCCGCTGGCGCGCGACCTCGCGCTCGGCTTTCTGCAGTGAAGAATATGACATGCTTTCCTGCTCTGCCAGAGACGCATTCTCTGCAATCTCCCTCTGATTTGCCATTTCGTACTCTCGGAATCGCCGCTCCGTTTCCTCGACGTCGATGCGGTTGATGAGGTTGAAGGTGATGTCTTCCACGTCGTTCAGGTAGTCATTGTAGTCGCGCAAGCTCTCGAATTCGTCCTCACGGCGGTTGAAGACTGCCGCCACCTTGCGCCGAATGTCGACTTCGCGCTCGACCTGGATGTCCTCGAAGGTCTGCTGACGGAAGCGATTCTTGCGCAATGTCTCGCGGCATCCTGGAATCGGGCACGGCTGTGGTCCATGGGAGAAGAGCCGGTCGACACACGACTCGCACATGCGGTGGTAGCATGATGGGTTGACGAGAAATCGCAGGCTGGCATTAAGGTAACGACTGCTCTTGCACACGGGGCAGATCTCGCCGTCGTCTGCCTTGCCCATGGGCGACGGCTTGCTGTTGTGCACCAGCCGCGACATGGCCGTCGCGGGGGCTGGCGGAACGCGCACGGAGTCGGAGGTGCGTGATGGTAAGAAGAGGCGGAGGTGGTGTTCGTGGCGAGGCGTAGAATCCGTGATAGATGCTTTGCCGATCCCGAACAAGTTCAACTTTTGCTACCCGCTTTCTCACATCGCTCGCATCATTCCTCCATCTCCGACCCCATCGCATCACTTACACCGATCGAATCGACGACCCGAATTCCGCTGTCGCTAGATCTCGATAAACCGTTTGCGACGACATGGCGGAGAAAGGACACGGCCTTGACCACTCCAGAGACCCATGTCCCTGGGTGGCTCTCTCAGATTTTGGCGGCGCCTTCTGCATGGGAGTATGTTTCTCAGGCGCTCTCTTTGCGATCGTCATCAAGCTGACTTCAATATCAGGCCATCGGCGGTGCAGTATGGCACGGCGTTAAAGGTTTCAGAAACAGCCCCTATGGCGAACGACGAATCGGAGGTATGATAGCACAGGCACGATCAAGTTACGAACCGAAGACGTACTGACGTTGATGCTCAGCAATCACTGCCATCAAAGCACGAGCGCCGGTACTTGGAGGCAACTTTGGAGTCTGGGGAGGCCTGTTCAGCACATTCGACTGCGCAGTAAAAGGCGTACGAAAGAAGGAGGATCCATGGAACGCAATCATCGCAGGTTTCTTCACAGGTGGCTCGCTGGCAGTACGAGGAGGCCCTCGCGCGATACGAAACGGCGCGATTGGATGTGCCATTTTATTAGCAGTCATCGAAGGAGTCGGCATTGGATTCCAAAGAATGATGGCCGAGAACACCAAATTGGAACTTCCTCCTCCGCCCCCGAGCAGTACGGGCTCAGGCAGTGAAGGCCGATTAGCACCGGCTTGACTACCGCGTCTAGCCGTGTCTGCACTCACGATGGCCGAAATGGGATTGATTTGTGCCTGATATTCAAGAGACGAGGACATACACGGCGTTGCGATGATGAAAAATTTCTGGGTCATATGGGCGCATAGCACTGGAGTTTGGCTATGATTGATGCACGATCGGGACTTGCATCACACCCTAAGGACGGGCAGAATGGTCTTCTGCTCACTCTTCACTCTCGACTATACAATAGAACACCGCGTCGGCCGAATGGCCACTGATGAACATGCTGGTTGCGACATGTTCGCGCATGTACAATATATGTAAATATCCGCACCGCTTTCACGGGGTAGTTCCCGCAGATATGTACTCTTCACGGCAGTCACATCAGACGAGAGCATTCTAAAGCACGGACTCGCAACAATGTGGGAGTGGTAAGATGGCCATAGGTTATCTACGGGGCAGAGCAGGCTGTCTACCAATAGCCTCGTTGCGAAGCCGCTAGATAGCATCACGTTGCTTTCTACGCAACCTTTATTTGATCCTCGCAGCTCTGAATCTGCTGACCTTCTTGACCTTCCCATCACGCTCTTCCATCAAGTCATCATCCTCGTCGCCGCTCGCTTTGAAGCCTCCTTGCTGACGAATCATATCATTGCGACGTCGGTAGTACTCTTCTGCCAGCTCGCGACGCTGCATAATGGCATCTGGCTCGTCCACTGAAGGGGCATTGACGCCTGTCGCACGAGTGGGACGCTCGATAAGCTCGTCGGCAATGATTTGCCCGCTTGGGCCTGTGGGAGTCGCATCCGCAGCTGGAGACTGGTCCTCTCGCTTCTGGGCAGCCTTGGAACGAGATGGAAGTCCAGAGCTTGCTGTTGGAGGAAGAGGAGAAGAGGAGGCTTCGCCGGCGCTCTTGGTTCGTTCCGATACCACGTCTGCTAGCGGGGTCTCATTCTCATCTCGCAACATGGTGGCCACTTTTTGGGCAACGTTCTGCTCCTGTGCGAAGGTTGGAGCTTCAGCGAAACTGACACGCTTCTTGCCATCTTTGTCACCCGCAGCCGTCGAGGCTGATGCCGAAGCTGGTGTGCTATCGTCTTTGATCACCAGCCTGTGGACATGCTCAGGATCGATGTCCGCGCCAAGCTCGGAGGCTTCTGCAGCTGATGGTGCCGGTCCCAAGTTTCCAATCAATCTCTGTTGTAGTGCTTTCATCTCTTTGTGATAATCGTCGCTGATCACGGGGCGTTTACTGCGACCATATTCATCCTCGCTTTCTCTGTCAGAATCTGACAAACCGCTTGTGTATGGCGTATCTTCCTCTGGATATTCCGAAGACGGAAAGTCGGACAGCGATCCATTCTCGTCCATATCAAAGTCGTCCTCGTCCAGATCCATTTGCGCCACAACATGCCCAACTTCGTTCAGGTGATATTCAAGCATTTCTCGGCGGGTAGCGGCGTCTTCTTCTGACTCGTTCTCAGGGAGCACGATGTGTTCTCTTGCCAAATTGTCATCCGAATCAAATTCACGCACTTTTTCGCCAGGCTTGAACATGAACTCGCGGAGGGTTTTCTGCATATCGGTCGCTGGGCGCGTTTCGCTCGCCTTTTGTTGTTCGCCCCCGACTGCCGACACTGCACCATTCGCTGGCTCCGCGGGTATCTCCTCCACTTGTGGTGCAAATGACACAGACCTGGTGTCGGGGGCGGGTGCAGCTGGCATGACTGCCACCTTGTCATTAAACGATACCGATCTCTTCCCATCCTGAGATTCCTGACGAAGCGGCGTTGGGGGTGGTTTCGTATCTGCCGTGAAGGAAACCGATTTCTTGCGAACCGAGGGTCGCTCTGACGTGGTCTCGTCATCGCTTTCCGTACGTTGACGCGGGTTCACATCTGCAGCAGATTTCATGTGGACAAGAGCAGGTGGCGGTTTTGTGAAAGTTGTCGATGGTGCCGATTCATCGCTTCCACGCTCAGCAGCACCTTCGGTCGCTGCATTGCTGGCCTCAAGGTCTTTGTTGGATAGTCCAGCCTTGCGAAGCGTGTCGACTAGTGTTGCTGTGGTAGCTTCTGGTTGTGACAAGCTACTTGACACAACATTGCCATCATCGTCCAGCTCCTCGTGGATCTCTGTCAGCGGCAAACTCGACTCTCTATTCTCCCGGTTGGAAAATGCAGCAAAGTCAAGTTCTTCGAGTTTCGCTTCTGCGTCCCAAAATTGCCGTTGCAAGGTCTCGATGTTCTTTTGCACATATTCCTGTCGCTTAGAAATGAGGTCAAGAACTTGTGACGGCGGACGTGGTGATTTAGGGATGCCGGCCAACTCGCAGATCTCCTCTTCTTTCACGATGTCGCCCGGGTAGGTTTTGCTAATTTGTTGCAGGTCCAGGTCGTCCGCGCCCGCTTGGATCTCTTCGGACAAGCCTTCGTACTCTGCTGTCAGCGTCTGGAAGTGCTTCAGGCTCGCTTTGAGCTTCGCCAGATTCTGCTCCAGCAGCACCCGCTGTCGTTCGACCTCGAGGAGGTCCATGTCTGGTTGCGAGGTGTGAGGTGAAGTTGAAGTGGACAGAAGAGAAGTAGCGAGTCAGACTAGCGAGGCTTGGCATTAATGCCGTCACGCTTTGGGGGCCGCGATTTCAGGTTGCGCCAGTAGTGGACGAAGTAAATGTTCGTACAAGAGACTACAAAAATATCCTTAAAGACCGCCAAGTATGGTTTTTCTTTACCAAAGTTTGAGGTTTGCTTGCCAATTGGTTTTGCGTACCTGATCTCCGTGCTTCGAAGTACTTCTACGCCTTGCTCTAATTTCACTACTGGAGCAATGGATCGCGGAAATACTTTTGCAAGTTCGCTTGCTTGTTGTTGCCCCATTGATACCGTGCCTCAGCTCGCTGAGCTCGCTTTGTAGCCCGCTTCTCTACTGCCTTGACCTCGCGCTTCTTGGCCTCGCTCACTCCAACCATACCCAAGCCGCCGTCGGCTCGACTCACTATTTGTCTACCACGCCTCTGATCGCCATCTTCCTGGTCTACGTCGGCGTCTTCATCATCAGCATCAGAGTCATGACGACCGTCAGCGATCAGGCGCTGCTGGGCCCGCTCGTCAGCAGATGGGTAGTTGCGCAAGTTTTGCCTGTAGTAAGCCCGTAGGCTCCGGTGGCCTGCCGTTCGTCCTGATGGTAGATGAAGTTCGTAGTCGTCGTGGTAAACCGCGTGCGACCCTCCGTGCGCATGAGAGTGGAATCCGTCGCTGCTCTTATGCGGTCTGGGGTCTTTGTGAGAGTGATGGCGATGCAGGCCTAGCCGCTCGTGCATGTGCGACTTGTCAACAGGAACAGAACCAATCTCGTCAGTGGGTACAGACGACAGTGAGCCGTCACTTTCCCATCCCTCGTCATCCTCCATGTCCACATCTTCACCTGCCTCGTTCTGAATCGTAGTCTTTGCGGCACGCTTGGCGCCCAGCTTGACACCCCCGCTGGTCCCCTCGTCTTCTGTCTCACTCTCTTCGTCGGAATACGTCGATCGGAAATCGTAGAATTCGCCGACATCCATTTGCTCCTCTTCGGTGCTATATGCAATCATACAGTGGCCTCTATCGCGCATGTGAGTCTGGATACCGGAGGTTGTGTGTAGCTGTTTGTGACATAGCAGACACTGGTGCAGCACGGCCACGGTCTCGCTGAGGTAGTTGACGAGGCCAGGAAGATCGACTAGGTAGTCCCGCTCGGGAATGAAGAAGCCGTGTTGTCGAGACATGTGATTGATGTTGAGGTCCATGGTGGGCGAGATGTAGTTGCAGAACAGGCATTGATTCAGATCGGCCTTGTGTTCGTAGTCATCGTCTTCGGTTTCTGCTGACGTGGAGGGTGCAGGCTGTGACGCTCCGTCTGGCTGAGCCACATTTCCGTTGAGAGTTGTCCTACTGATGCCACCGACGACCTCGTCCAGAACGTCCTCTGTCGCCTCTTCGCCGTTCACTGTACTCGCTGTCGTGCTTGCCGTGTCAATAGAGTCACCGAGTGTGAAGGTCGAGTCTGCCATGCTGTCCGTATCTGCCCCATCTGCGCCGCCGCCACGAGCGTTGAATCGTGCAACATGAAGGCGGTGCTTCTGACTCCCCAGGTGGTTCACGAAGGCGCCTTCGCTGAAGTATGTCTTATCGCAAGGCTCACATCGCTTTTCGAAGCTTGCTCGAGCTGCCGTGGCAGCTGCGGTGGCCTTGTTCGCAAGGACCTTTTCGGCGAAGATCTCAGAGGAGAGGGGTGGCAATGACGCGACTCGACGCTTGAGATTGTAGCGGTGCCAGTCAGATTGCATGTGCGTGCGTTGAAGGTCGCTCGTCCGGAAGGCCACTTGACATGTATTGCAAGTGAAGGGGTGGGCGGAGCCATTCTGAGCAGACGCTGTAGAGGCCATGCTCGATGTGTGTCGAGTGTCGAGTGTCGGGTTAGGTTAGGTCAGTCAGAGATGTTGCAAGCGAAATGGAAAATTAATATGACGTTAGTTGCTGATTCAGCGGGCAAGCGGGCTCCCGTCCAATCCTCGAGGGGCAAATTCCACTGACAACCAGACGAAAACCTCAGCACAACGTGTCTCGCTACCATGAATGACCGGATTTTCGATCAAGGAATCCGGGTTCCCGTGACCTCTGTTCCAGTGGGCCATCTCCTGGAAGCCACAACAACCCGCGTCGCCTAAAGGTCGTCTTCGCCACTGCCGCGCCGCGCAGTGCATTTCATCCGACATGTCACAGCACTACAACAGATACCTTCCGCCCGAGGTGGAGGGTACCACGAGCGCGAATCGTCTCCAGAAGCGTCGCGCTCCGGGCGTGCTGAAAAAGGATGGCTCGCAGACGGTGCGCTTCGAGATGCCTTTCGCCGTCTGGTGTCACACTTGTCAACCACACGCCATCATCGGGCAAGGTGTTCGATTCAATGCTGAGAAGCGCAAAAGTGGCAACTATTATAGTACTCCAATATGGAGTTTCCGCATGCGGCACCCAGCATGCAACGGTGTTATTGAGATCAAGACCGACCCCAAAAATACTGCCTACGTGGTTGTTGAAGGAGGTAAGGCTAGAGACTACGGAGATCCAAATGACCGAATCCGTGAAGGTGAGGGTGATATTCCCCTCTTGACTGCAGAGGAACGAGAGCAGAGGCGTGAAGACGCTTTTGCACAGCTGGAAGGCAAAGCCGAGGAGAAGCAGAGCACTGAGAGCAATGCGAAACGTATTCGAGAGCTGTACCAAGCTGGCGAGCGCGCCTGGGACGATCCCTGGACCGCCAACAGACGAGTGCGTGACACTTTTCGACGCGAGAGGAAGACCATAAAACGCAAAGAACTGGCCGACCAGCAGATTAAGGATCGAATCGGTACTGAAATGGAGCTGCTACCCGAAACGCAGGAAGACGAACTGCGCGCGAAGACCGTCTCCTTTGGCGAATCCAGTGCGAGCTCAGAGCTGCGAAAAGCAGACGCGAAGCCTATGTTCACTAGAACAACTAGCGGAGTCAACAAGCGATCTGCCGCACCGAGCAAAGAGAATGCTAAGGACTTGCTCAGGCGCAGACTTGTGTCAAGCACAAGGGCGAGTGTGAACCCTTTCGGCTGAAGTCCAGATCTCGAACTCAGAGTCTTCCGCCGATAGTTTGTGACGGAGAGCAGCCTTCGACGCCTCCATGTTATGGCTCCGCAGCTCTGTTGGCAGCACTCACAGCGATAAGCTATAGAGATAGCAATCTGAGGTCGGTGCTCGCATCTCTAGCGCCTCACTGCCCTCTCGCACGATTGAGGAAGCGTCTCTGGGAAGCATTAGCACGGAGCCTGGACTGTTTTGAATGAACGGTCTGACCATATACTCCCTCGGCTCCTGGCCGCCGTTGGCTTCGAAGGCGAGAGCGAATTCATCGATTCCCGCTTGTATGCCCTCTGCTACACTGCAATCTTCCCATCGCATCATCAGCCTTTTCTGTTGTCGGATTGCTATCGGGCCCATTTCGCACAGCCTGGATACCCACTCGTCGACGGTCTGGTCAAGACCATCCGCGTCCTGCACGACCTCTTCAACGAGTCCCCACTCTTTTGCCTGAAGGCCATTGATAATCTCAGCCAAATAGAGCAGCCGGCGTGTCCGCCCAAATCCAATCAACTGTGGCAGCAATGCTGCCTCGACAACGCTGGGGATTCCCACCCGAACTTCTGGCATTCCGAAGTGCGATTCTTGTGTCGCGACCCGCAGATCGCAGGATACCATGATTTCGAGGCCCGCGCCGAGCGAGAAGCCGTCCACACGGGCGATGACAGGGACTGGGAGATCTCGCAGTGCTTGGCACGCCTTGTGCACTCCGGTGATGAAGGTTCGGGCGTCTTCTGGACTGGATAAAGAACACATCTCCTTGATATCTGCTCCTCCAATGAAGGATGGACTTTTGCCTTCTGCAGTGGGACCCCCAGTGAGAACCACAGCGCGTAAATCTTGGTCTTTGCTCAGTTCTTCGCAGGTTGTGGTTAGTTGTGAGAGAATGGAGCTGTTAACAATGTTCATCTTCTTCGGATTGTTGATGGACAGTGTTGCCACGCGTCTGTCTTTTTCAAATTGGCACTGTATTCCATTGCTGATATCAGATGAGGTCGAATACAGGTTACGACATCTTCGGCGTGTGTTGTGAAATGGTTGCCAAAGCCCAGCATCGCAACCAAGCACGCGATGAGTTCTGGCTAGCCGCAACAGCTGCGAATTTCTGTACATGTTGTAGTTGTCGTGTGTTCAAGATTCTGCGACTGTCATACTTGAATGCAGCAGCGTTGCTTGCTATTAGAACGCCGAGAACCGAGGACTGTCTCCCTGCAACTCGTCCGACGTCTGCCGATCACTTTGAACGGCTGGCCCGGGCGTCGGTCTGCTCGCCGCAACAAGGTGCTGTTTCCTTCCCTTGCTAGTAATCCACCAGGCTCCGGATCCAGTAGAGAATCAAATCGACAAGCTCTCTTGCAGTTGCAACCCCGCGACAAGTTGGCAACGCGTCAAGTCTCTTAGCTTCCTACGCGAAGCTGACCCCGCTTGCCCGCCTCTTATGAGGTCAATCAAGCATTGAGCCGTCTTACAACGTAGGATAATAAATAGAGCATTCACTTCTCTTTTCATACGTTCGTGTCGTGCTGCTCGATATCCTCTGACCATTGAAACTCATTTCCTCCATTAATCGTACTGCACGCGAAGATCTACTATTAACCACACAATGTCGGAAACGAAGATGAAGGCGCTCCATTACGATGGTCCGTTCAAGGTCGCCGTTCGAGAGTGAGCTTTTCCTATTAGCCATCATGAGCAGCAAGCTGATATGATACAGGATCGATCTACCCAAGATCCAGCATCCGGTATGATGAGCGATAACGTGTTGACTTTTTGCAAGCGCTAACGGCCATGTTGTAGGACGATGTGATCATCAAAGTTACGACGACTTGTATCTGCGGTTCGGATTTGCATATGTTAGTCCAGTCCAGCTTCGAATAGCTCATATTGTCCTCGACTTGTGCGGAGAAACAATGTCGTCGGCGCGACTTGTACAGCGTCTGACATTCTTTTTCAGGTACGAAGGCCGTACTGCAGCCGAGCAAGGTCTAGTCTTTGGCCACGAGAATATGGGAGTAATCACTGAAGTCGGCTCTGGCGTGACTTTGCTAAAGAAGGGCGATCGTATCGTGCTGCCCTTCAATGTTGCAGATGGTCGTTGCCGAAATTGTGAGGAGGGCAAGACAGGTACTCAGCCCCAGTGAACGGGTGTGGGAGCTTCACTGACTTCTTCGATTAGCCTTCTGCACTGGTGTCAATCCTGGATTTGCTGGGTGAGCTCCGAGAAGTCCAACGAGAGAGACTTCGAACGGATGCTGACGATTCTGAAGTGGCGCTTATGGATATGTTGCCATGGGTCCATACCAAGGTGGTCAAGCGCAGTACCTTCGTGTCCCATTTGCAGATTTCAATGCTTTGGTGCTCCCCCAGGGCACAGAGCATGAAGCAGATTTCGCACTTCTTGCCGGTATGACACTTAAAGTTGATAGCACACTCATTCAGAGCTGACATGGTGTGCATACAGATATCTTTCCAGTAAGAGCGAATCATATTTCCAGCAATACACAATTCTGACACTTCTTTAGACTGGCTGGCATGGTCTCGTCCTGGCTGGCTTCCAAAGTGGCGAGTCTGTAGCTGTCTTCGGAGCCGGTCCCGTGGGTCTCATGGCCGCATACTCGGGCGTCATTCGTGGTGCCTCCCGTGTGTTCGTTGTCGACCAAGTCAAGGAGCGTCTTGATCAAGCCGAGAAGATTGGCTGCATTCCCATCAACTTCAGAGATGGCGATCCAGTAGAGCAAAGTGAGTTTTCCCCTCTTTGTTTGTGCGTAGACTTCCGCTGACCAGAGACAGTCATCGAGAAAAATGGCGGAATGGTGGACAGAGCTGTGGATGCTGTTGGTTACCAGGCGGTCGATAAAGATGGCAGCAAGGAACAGCCGAACATTGTACTGGACCAACTGATCATGGTCACTAGGCCAACCGGCGGTCTCGTGAGTATCGAAGTGCGAAACGAAAGCCCTGTTTGGGTTCTGACGCGTTGTGAAGGGCATTCCGGGACTTTATGTGCCCAGCGATCCTGGTGCTCCAGATGAAAAGTCCGGAAAGGGCCAGATCTTGTGAGCTCAAGCTGTAACGTGCACTCTTGAAGATAGCTACTGACTTCTCGATCCTTAAGGCTATCCTTCGGCAAGCTCTTCGAAAAGGGTCTGAAGCTCGGCACCGGACAATGTAATGGTAAGTGCAAATCTTAACAACAGTGAGTTTCCATTGCTGACAGACGTATAGTCAAGGCTTACAATCGCTATCTGCGTGATCTGATCATCAGCGGACGTGCGAAGCCGTCGTTCGTTGTGTCTCACGAGCTGTCTTTGGAGGACGCCCCTATGGCGTACGAGAAATTTGACAAGCGCATCGAGGGGTACTCGAAGGTGCTCTTGCATCCAAATGGGCCTCTTCAGTGAGCGTCGAGTGATCGGTAGCAAGATAAGCATGCTTAATGGCGACCGTTTCTTCTCAAGTCAGAGCTTTCAGCTCTTCTTGTTGACATCCTCGCGGTGCCTTGCATGCAGAGTTCGTCACGGAAACGTCTCATACAACCTCAGTCGTCCTCGTTCGTAAGGACACGCGTCGAAATAATCTTGATCTCCTCTTCAGGTCTGTCTTCAGCACCAGTCTTAACGAGGCCCAACTTCTGCACCGTGCGCATCCCATTCTTGACGCGCCCGAAAATCGTGTGCTTGCCATCCAGCCACGGAGTCGGAGCCAAAGTGATAAAGAACTGAGAGCCATTGGTATTTGGTCCGGAGTTTGCCATAGACAGTACGCCAGCACCAGTGTGCTTTAGGTCAGAACGAATCTCATCTTCGAATTTCTCGCCCCAGATGGAGCTTCCCCCTCGTCCTGTGCCTGTGGGGTCGCCACCTTGGATCTGTGTACTGAGGTTAGTTTTCGTATCTGGTAAGAAGTGTATACGGGACACGTACCATGAAATCGGGAATGACACGATGGAAAATGGTATTGTCGTAGTAATGTCTGGAGCAGAGCGTTGCGAAATTTTCGCAGGTGCGTGGCGCATGTTGTGTGTACAACTCGAGGGTCACAGAACCCAACGAGGTCTCCAGTAGTACAGTCTGCGCCATATTGCAAGCTTCAGATCGTTGGACGAAGTTGAGGTGAGGTTGAATTCAAGACATCAAGGTTGCTCGCAAGGAAGTGGAAGGCGCCGCGACTTTTGGCCGCGAAGCTCACATACTTCAATTTGATATCGCTCGAAATGATGAAGCTGACCAGTCTGAGGTACTGAGTGCTTTCGCAACAGACTAGGTCTCGGTGTAACATTCTATGTTTTAGCCTATAACGCCGCCGCCATGCTATGCTTAGATCCTTTCCAATGCTTTAACGCTTTTCAAGAATTCAGTACTTTGGTCTTCATCCACTCGCTCGTTCCGACACCCAAGTTGAGACCGTTTCTCGCCCACCATCTTCGCACTTCCATGCCACGTTCTCCTTCGTAGCCGTCTTCGAGCGCTTCTTCGACATCGCAAGTCTTGTACTCTACCTTGAGACCGGACGTTTTCCACCACTCAAGAACATCCACATTCCCACTCTTCGTTGCACCAACCAGGACCTGGTTGTCAAAAATCATTTTAGAACCTTTGACTTCATGCCAAAGCTGGAGAATTTCCACATGGCCGTGAGTGGACGCTAACTTCGACACAGTGTCCTCATGGGGAAATGCGATCCCACTGTATAGCCACCAACGCACCACCTCCGTATGACCATTCTGTGTAGCATAGCAGATGCTTTTGCCAGGCTTCAGCCGGACCTTGGAGGAATCAACACTGACACTTGAGTCGTCCACTGCTGTCGACTGTGCCTTCCACCAGTCCAGCACAGAGATGTGGCCCTGGCTGCTCGCTTGCTCAAGTGCTGCCTCGGTGAACTTCAGGGGCAAGCCGGAATGCTGCCACCACTCCAAAATATTGACGAATCCTGCTCGAGATGCTCCATCCAAGGCTTCGCAATTGTATTCTTTGGTGAGGAACGAAGGCGATGTCCTCCAAAACTCGAGTATCTCTGTCCTGCCGAAAACGGAAGAGGCTTTGTCAGGCAAGAAAGTATGGCCGAAGGTTGCCCAGAAGAGGTCGGTGTGATTGGTCTCGAGATGTACCAGCAAATCAGTCATGGCGAATCGCATAATGAGCTTGATACAAAGTTTCGAAAGCCAGCGTGGAACACTGTGCGTCGCTACGAAGTGCTTGACATCGGCGAGATTGCCTCGCAGAAGGGTTAACTCAAGGGCCTCCATATAGTTGCGCGGTCCCTGCGGGCTGGTATGAGACGTCCATTCTGCGGGCGGTTTCAAATTTGTGTAGATGTGCAATGTCTGAGCTAGCTCCCAATCGCCTGTATAATCGATGATCATGGTCCACAATTCGGGAGGCAGCATGCTGCCAGCCTGCTTTGACGCCGGAGTGAAGCATGACTTATGGTGTGGCGACACATCGAGCCCAGCGCCAATGTTCATCAAGTCCACCTGGTTGCGAACGGCTTCGACCAACTCATCTGCAGCATCCCACGAAATCAGACGCTTTTGCTCGTCGACGAAGGCCCACAACATGGGTTGTAGCACCTGCACCCAATTCCACTTCTTGCGAATCTTGGTGAGCTGCTTCTTGGTCATGGGATTTTCCCACATAGGTGAAGTCATGCCCGGCAGCAGCAAGATCTTCTTGGACACGTCCCAACTCCTCAGAACCTCTAACACCAGGTTGTCTGTATGCCCATGCAGCATCTTGGCTAGGTTGTTGGCATCAAGTGGAGCGAGCACTAATAAATCCGCCCACTGGCACAGCTCGGGAGCTTCTTGCTCAATCTCCGCTGCACCGCGCGCGGCGGTCTGCCGAGCGAGGTTCGACATGGTCAGACATGATGTCGAGGCATGGAAGAAGTCCTCACTGGAGAACGCAGGGTCGAGGATGGCTCGGAGCGAGACATCGGAGAGATCTGCGAGAAGAGGTATCAGGTCCTGCACGATCTTGCGGTCGGCCACGCCAACGGAAGCAAAGATGACGTTCAGCGGGCGCGTGCTATTCAGGACGGTGCGATTGAGGCGTGCATGTTCGTCAGGTTCGTTGGGCATCGTCTGTTGGCAAGGATGGTGGTAAGGTCAGAGTCGTGAAGGGAGAGGAGTTGAAGGGGAGCGTGTCGTCGTCCTTTGGGACGTGGAGAAGCGAGGTTGGGAGGACGAGATGCAGTCGGGGCAAATCAGCGCTCCACGTGGGCGGCGCCGGCGCGAAAGGTCTCACGGGGAGGTGAGAAGAGATGGAGGGGTGCAGTGCAGCGGTCTTTGTCTTGGCCCTTCCGCCAGCACCCTTCCCACCTCGAGAGGTGACGCTGGCGGTGGCAACTTCTGCAGGAGCGGGTATGCGCTTGCATGTACATTAGCGAGTCACAGTAGCTTCTTTTACAAACCGCCACGGCGAGCCGATTCCCCCGACTACTAGACTGCACTTTCAACCGCGACCTTATAATTTGTGCCGCATGCACCCGTCACCACATGGCGAGCTTTGGGCAGGTGCACGCCGTTCGCGGACAACGCTCTGACGCTCTGCTCTGCTGCCATGCAGCACTGCAGCGCTCCATAGACCACACGAGCACTTGCATTCCAGCATGTCCATCGCGTAGGCATGAGCAGGGGCGTCGGCCGCCCAAGCTATAGTACATATGTAGCTACCTCAGCATCTGCAGTGTGTCAAGAGCCTGACCTGATTCGCGATACAGCTATGAGGTAAACGACCACAGCGTGATGGCGTGTGGTGACAGGTGGCTTGCATGCTGCACCGCGCCCGTGCCGTACACACGTGCGAAGAGCTGTGCTGTGTGCAGCTCGTGCGGGATGCTTCTGAGACCAGAGCAGAGCCGCAGGGCTGATGGAGCGCCCTTGCCCTGGTGCAGAAGATGAGGCTCAAGTTAGTTCTATGGGTCCGCAGTAACTTAGCAGACAATAGCCAGCGGATCGGTGTGCTGTTTGGCTGTACCATCGCAACGCAGCATCGAACCTAGCTCAAGCACTCGCCAAGCACCGTCTCTCCGCGTGCCGTCGGAACGTGCAACGGTCGACATGACGGCCGCAATGGGCGGAGGACAATGCCAGCAGCATGGTGCAGGTGGAAGACTTGCGGCTGAATACCGGTCGCCGGACGGCCGAGTATCGCCGCATGCACCTCCATCCGCGCATCTTCGCGTGTGCTTGGTGCACGCTCGTTGTTGTTGTCGTCCGATTATTGCTGGCGGCGCCTCGAACGCTGCGGGAACAAAGACATCGTCAGTCGTTGCGGTGGCCCAGTCGTCCTTTGCATGTGCTGCCGCTCGGCGGACGCATGAACATCGTGGCCGCTGCACGCCAGAAGCGCGAGGCGCATCATCTCCCGATCATTGAAGTCGTTGCCACTGGCTCGAAAACGCAAAAAGACGGGGTGGCTTGTCTGTGCTCCACTTGCATGTCGCTGCATCGATCTTTCCGCGAGGCACCACTTCCACCACCGCCCTTGCCCCTCGCCGCCGACGCCTGGTGTCGCGCCGACATTATTGACCACGACGGCGACGCGATCTCGCCTCTCCCCGCGTCCCTCGATCTACCCGTCACCACCACCTCGCCTCGTCCGCCAGTCCGCGCACACGCTCCCACGCACGCCCGAATCCCACTCATCCTCCCTCCTCTGTGCCTGCCCTTCGACTGGCCGTCTCGCAGCGAGCAGCCCATGCAGAGAGGACGCATGTTGGCACTGCACCCTTCCACTCGGTGGTGGCGAACCGGCTTCGGCCACGACTTTTAGGTCGTGCCACGCACGAGGAGAGCAGGCAATCCGCCGGGGCGCTGCAGTAAGGACTGCGGCCACTGGCCCTGGTCGCCAGCACCATGTCCACCGGATCGGAGCACGAGACGCCGTCCAGCGAGACGCCCGACGAAGTGTCTACAACTGCTGCCAGCTCAGCGACCAACGCGCCTACAGATTACGACGATGCTACGCCACGCACAAACAAGTATCCGAACTTGTCCGTTGACGATCTACCACCTCGCCCCAGCTTAGGCCCAAGTGATCGGCCGCAGTCGCCTTCGGACAGCGCTGACGGCCAGCTGAGCCCGGCGGCAGCAGATCGTGTTTTCCCAATCCGCTCTGTCGTGTCGGTCGACCCTACACCAACGCCATTGACCAGGAGTGAGCGACCCGATGGCTACTTCCAGAATTCGGCTCATGCCCGCCGCATGTCCCTGAATGCCATCAGCACAGCTGAGCCAGTGCCACCGACAGGTACTCCTGCACGGGGCAGGCCGAATAGCAAGGAACGCAAACCAGTGCGTCGAGACAGCGAAGAGCCCGAGTCCTCAAGTCGAAAGGCGTCGACATCCACCACCGGCACTTCGCAAGTGAGCAGCTCACGGAACCGAGCACAGCCGCAGCATGTGTTGAACGAGATCATTGCCGAGACGGAGAGCGTGGGCAGTGGACATGACGTGAGGTCTACCTCGCCGAGCGAGCCAGTTTCTTCTGTGCGCGCCGCATCTGTTAAGAGCAGTGCGAAGAGTGGGCTGGACGAAACTGGACCGCTCGTCACGGCCCGCTTCAAACATGTGGTTACGGACGGTGGCCACGCCATCATAACTGGCCGAGATGGTGACACTCTCCAACGCTGTGAAGATGAACCAATCCACATCCCAGGCGCGGTTCAGGGGTTCGGCCTTCTCATTGCGTTGGAGGAGCAACAAGAAGGCAAATTGGTCGTACGGATCGTGAGCGAAAATTCCAGGCGCCTTATAGGATATACACCACAACAGCTTTTCGCCTTAGATAGCTTCACGGACATTCTGTCGGAAGAGCAGGCCGACAATTTATTGGACCACGTGGATTTCATTCGAGATGAGGACGCAGATGTTGTGACTAATGGGCCAGAAGTTTTCACCATGTCCATCCGTAACCCCCAAAGGAAAAGCCAAAAGTTCTGGTGTGCGATGCATATCAACGAGAGAAATCCTAACCTGGTCATTTGCGAATTTGAGCTCGAAGACGATCCTGTGAATCCGCTGGTGCCTCCCAACGACATGACCCCGGAGCCGCCGGAGGACACTCTTGACAGCCGTCCTACGGCAGAGGAGTATCTTGAAAGTACGCAGAACAGTAGCAAGCCTCTCCGTGTCTTGCGGAGTGCCCGTAAGCGAAAAGGCGAGGCTGCGGCGATGGAGGTGTTCAACATTATGAGCCAAGTTCAAGAGCAACTGGCAGCGGCCCCAAATCTCGGAAAATTCTTGAAGATTCTGGTCGGAGTTGTCAAAGAACTGACAGGTTTCCACCGTGTCATGGTGTATCAATTCGATCAACACTGGAATGGCAGGGTGGTGACAGAACTCGTCGATCCCCGTGCCACAAAGGATCTCTACAAAGGACTCAACTTTCCGGCGTCAGATATTCCCAAGCAAGCGCGAGATCTTTACAAGATCAACAAGGTGCGGATGCTGTACGATCGTGATCAGGAGACTGCTCGCCTAGTGTGCCGGACAATGGACGACCTCGAATCACCATTGGATCTTACGTACTCATACCTGCGCGCCATGTCACCTATCCATATCAAATATCTTGGAAACATGGCGGTTCGCTCTTCCATGTCCATTTCAATTAACGCGTTCGAGGAACTGTGGGGATTAATAGCTTGCCATTCATACGGCTCAAAAGGCATGAGGGTTTCCTTCCCCATCCGCAAGATGTGCCGTCTCGTCGGAGATTCTGCTTCTCGCAACATCGAGAGGCTTTCATATGCCTCGCGGCTGCAAGCGCGCAAGCTGATCAACACTGTACCCACCCAGAGTAATCCGTCCGGCTACATTATCGCATCTTCCGAGGACTTATTGAAACTCTTCGATGCTGACTTTGGCATGCTCTCCATCCGCGGCGAGACCAAAATCCTGGGACACCTTGAGCACTCACAAGAAGCCTTGGCGATGCTAGAATACCTCCGCATGCGATGTGTAACGAACGTGATGACCTCCCAGGACATACGTGAGGACTTTCCCGACCTCCGTTACGCCCCCGGCTTCAAGGAAATTGCTGGCCTTCTGCTTGTGCCCCTATCTGTTGGAGGTCAGGACTTTATTGTATTTTTCCGAAAAGGACAATTGAAAGAAGTGAAGTGGGCCGGAAATCCGTACGAGAAATACATCAAAGAAGGAACGGAGGGCTACCTTGAGCCTCGAAAGAGCTTCCGCACGTGGAGCGAGATGGTCGTTGGAAAGTGCCGCGAGTGGTCAGAGGAGGAAATTGAGACTGCAGCGGTACTCTGTTTGGTTTATGGCAAGTTCATCGAAGTATGGCGACAGAAGGAAGCTGCTCTGCAGAACAGTCAACTCACACGCCTACTGCTGGCCAACTCGGCCCACGAAGTCCGCACACCGTTGAACGCCATCATAAATTATCTGGAGATCGCATTGGAAGGCACACTCGATCAAGAAACGCGGGATAATCTAGCAAAATCTCATTCAGCTTCCAAATCGTTGATATATGTTATCAACGATTTGTTGGACCTCACGAAGACAGAAGAAGGCGGCGAGCTCGTTAAGGATGAAGTTTTCGACCTGACTGCCACGCTCTATGAAGCAACAGACATGTTCAAAGGGGATGCGAGGAGGAAAAACATCTCTTACGAAGTATTCAACCGGCCAGGAATTCCACGTCAAGTCATCGGCGACCAACGCAGAATACGGCAAGCCATCAGCAACGTGACCGCAAATGCGATCCAGAATACGCGAGAAGGAGGCGTCAAAGTCGAAATGTACGTGGCTTCTCGCGGGGAAACCCATGTCGAGGTAGAAATCAGCATCGCAGATTCTGGCGTCGGTATGAATGCCAAGAAGCTAGATGCTCTCTTCCGTGAGCTCGAGCAGGTTCACACTGAGACAGAAGATATGCTGGGAGAGGCCATCGTCCCTGAGCAAACGCTGCCCGATTCAACAAAGCCGGCAGAGGGCAAAACGCTTGGCCTTGGCCTAGCCGTTGTCGCGCGAATAATTCGCAACATGAACGGTCAACTCCGCCTGAAATCTGAAGAGGGGAAAGGGTCGCGCTTCGTTATACAGTTCCCATTCGAAATACCCGAGAGTGAATCCAAGCAGAAAGCACTGGAAGCAGACGGCTCGCAAGGATCAGTCACACCGCATGCCGAGCTGTCGCTCGATACCGCGGAGCAAACGACCGAGGGCATGGTGACGCTCATTGAGCGGAGTAGCAGCTCAGGCGAGGCGCGCAGTCCTCCTGATATGGTACGCAAGAACAGCTCCGAAAGCTTCGGCAGTAAGAACAGCTATCGGTCCGGTAGGAGCAACTTCAGCAAATCCTCCAATCGTAGCAGCAAAAGCGAGGCCGACAGGTTGATCGAAGCTATCCAGGAGCCGCATCGAGTCGAAGGATGGCACGAGAACAGCGTGCAGCGCAGCAGTAGCCGGGCTAGTAGCGGGCCCTCAAGACCGCTGATTCAGACTCGCCATTCAACAGGGGCTGAGCATAGTGACTCGACATTCAGGACGCGTCGCAGCAGTATCGAAGCGACCGCAGGTCCTGAGCAACAGCAATTGCGAAAAGCAAGGCTTGGTCGGCCTGGGGAAAGTGAAGTAACCGATTCCGGGACGCCCATTCGTCCTATCCGAGTGCCGGATGAATTCGCATCGCCGACAGCAGATCAGTCCCCAACCACCAGATCCCGATTAGTTAAAGCAGAGTCCATCAGCTCTCCTGGACCTAGAATCGATGCAGGGCACATGAAGGTGCTTGTCGCCGAGGACGACCCGGTTAACAGTCGCATCATCAAGAAGAGATTGGAGAAGCTTGGTCATGAAGTTGTTCTCACTGTTAATGGAGAAGAATGTGCCAGCATATATTGTGACCGTACGGGCTTCTTCGACATTGTCTTGATGGATATGCAGGTGAGTTGTCCAACCCCTCATTAGGTGGCGAGCATTGAGAGACTGACAATCAGGTAGATGCCCATTGTTGATGGACTCACTTCGGCCAAGATGATCCGCTCTTTTGAGAAGTCACATCCTACCCAACTATTGTCGACACGAGCTGCTATGAACGGCCGTGTGCCAATCATCGCCGTTTCGGCATCACTCATCGAGAAAGAAAGGCAAAAATACATCAATGGTGGGTTCGACGGCTGGATACTCAAACCAATATCATTTGTTCGCTTGTCAGAGATCATGGAGGGCATAGTGGATCAGCAAGTGCGGAAAGAGAACCTCTACCAGCCAGGATCGTGGGAACGTGGAGGATGGTTTGATGTGGCGCAGAAGGATACTTTCGCAGCCGATACCACTCCCAATCAGGAACCACCCCAGAGCGGACCCAGAGAAGGTGTCAAGATTGCAGCCGCGATCGATGACCCTCAAGTCAAGGAAGAAGGTGACAGCGTGCAGACGCGCGAACAGCATCGACTCGCGGGCATTCAAGAAGGCGCGTCAGAACAGGACGACGATGGTTAATGGAACCGGATACAACAGTACGATGAAACAGGAGTGAGGACTGCGATGTTCAGGGCCAGACGGGATATTGACACAGGCGATGGCTGACAGGAATGGGGCTCATCTGACAACTTTTGCTTGGATTGCCACAGGGGACGGGTTATACACGACGACGGTACGCAAATACACGAAGACAAGAAACCTTACATGCAACTGGCATGCAGTTGCGCAATCGCTGCGAACCTATGAGACAGTAACTTTGTTGCGGAGCGTTGAGCGTTCACATTGGCGGGCTTTGGGGCAATTGTTTATTAATGCTGCTACAGACATGCTGCATGCGATCAGATCTTCGCTATTGTTATCTCTATGGGACATACCTGCGAGCAACTAGCTTTGACCTGAAGAGGCGTTCGGGCGTGAAAGACACTAGGAGGAACACGAAGAGTCTCAAGCGATTCGAAATCTGATATTTTTTTCGCCATTGTTTGAGGAGCGCAGCTTGGGTCGCCGTGCTATGTATTCCTGCGCACACGCCGTTCGTGAGCACCCACGTCCAGCCCTCTGGGCGACATGCGCTTGGCTGCAGTCTTCCGGCCTGGTTGCGCGTTTTAAGCCTAGCGAGGCCACAAAGCCGTGTACTGCCGTTTTGTCTTGGATCGAGATGTTTTTATGACATCGTTTGCACGATAGATGCTTTTCTCCACCTCCTCACTCCCGAGTTTGCGGAGGCGGCAGCGCCTTCTTGGCTGGCCACAACAGACTGTTCTTGCACCTTTCATGTCGGTAATAAGCAGCGTGTCTAGACTTCATCCGCCAGCGCTTCCGCATCGTGGCAGCGGCAGACACATATTTCAGATATACCGCAGTGCCCAACCGATCCCGATACTACCCGCACCGCAAAGACGTGTTTTGGGAGATTTGACGATCACGTGACGGCATTTCGTGGTCCGTAGAATTCTCGTTGCTTCGCAGACAGGCCAATCACCAATAACGGCTTGTCAAATAGCTCGTCGGAGTGGTTTGCGGTCGTGGGGCTTAGATCATACACACAAGGGATCGTGTCCCGAGGGCATGTCGAGTGAAGGTCGAGCGAAAGTACAAAACTCTCGTGCCGCCGCACTTCCTGGAGAGGGTCACTTTATTTCTTCCTCCAGCAGCGTTTGCTTCCATCTCCACTCTCAAACTTCCGGCAACTCGTGTCCAAGTACAGACAACAACGAGGCCATAACACATCACCTGCAATCACCATGGCGGCTCGCGTTAACAAGACGGCGCTGCACCCTACCGGTGTCGAGTGAGTGCTGTCCTGTCCGCCCACTGCCATGGAGCTTGCCCCGCTGACGAGAAACGCATCACAGGCCCAAGCACGAGCACACAGAAATCGAGGAGGAGCTCCATGACCGCGCACACATCGACTACGACCGTGTGGCCATTGTAGGCCAAGCCCCCGCTGCCCCCAGACGTTGCAAGAGCTAACCGTGGCTGCAGATTGCCAATCCCTCGGTAGCGGCGTTGTACGAAGATGCATTGGTATACGAGACCGGCTCGGCCATCACATCGACAGGCGCTCTGTCGGCATACTCAGGCGCGAAGACCGGCCGCTCGCCATCGGATAAGCGCATTGTCAAGGAGGAGGGCAGTGAGAGCGATGTGTGGTGGGGACCAGTCAACAAGCCCATGACGCCAGAGGTGAGTGTGCTCTGCTGCTGCTATTCCTTCTGCCTCTTCATCCCCCATCATGCACCATCATCGCTCGGCAGCGTACTGGACGGACTAGACGCGTTTGGCGGGGCAGCGGCTTGGCCGAAGCTGTGGTTGCCATGTCCCGCCAAACGTCATCCCCAACCTCGCATAGCCGACAATCAGCCGCGCTAGACCCCAGACGCCCGCTTGCCCGCTGCCGCTCTCTCGGGCATGACCGGACACCACACTTCACACGACTCGCGCGCGACTTCACGTGCATCTTCACATGCTAATTTGTGTCGGCGACAGGTCTGGCGTATCAACCGCGAACGTGCCGTCGACTACCTCAACACCCGCAACCGCATCTACGTGATCGATGGCTACGCCGGCTGGGACGAACGCTACCGCATCAACGTGCGTGTCGTCTGCGCGCGTGCCTACCATGCTTTGTTCATGTACAACATGCTCATCCGTCCTTCGCGGAAAGAGCTCGAGCACTTCCACCCCGACTACGTGATCTACAATGCCGGTGCTTTCCCTGCAAACAGATATACCACGAGTATGACCTCCAACACATCCGTCTCTATCAACTTCCAAGAAAAGGAGATGGTTATTCTTGGAACTGAGTACGCTGGAGAAATGAAGAAGGGGTATGGCTCTCCAATGATATCTGTTTGTGAGAGGGAACACAGCTAACGATATCAGTATCTTCACTGTTCTCTTCTACGAGATGCCCGTCAAGCACAACGTGCTCACACTTCACTCCTCCGCCAACGAGGGCAAGGACGGCGATGTCACCGTCTTCTTCGGTCTGTCAGGTACCGGCAAGACCACTCTCTCCGCCGACCCCAAGCGTGCCTTGATTGGTGACGACGAGCACTGCTGGAGCGATCGTGGTGTCTTCAACATCGAAGGTGGTTGCTACGCCAAGTGCATTGGCCTCTCCGCCGAGAAGGAACCAGATATCTTCAACGCCATCAAGTTCGGATCCATCCTCGAAAACGTCGTGTTCGACCCAGAGACTCGTGTTGTGGACTACGACGACACCACATTGACGGAAAACACCCGTTGCGCATACCCAATCGAATACATCGAGAACACCAAGATTCCATGCATCTCAGACCACCACCCATCGAACATCATCCTCCTGACCTGCGATGCTCGTGGTGTCCTTCCTCCGATCTCCAAGTTGAGCAGCGCACAAACTATGTACCACTTCATCTCCGGTTACACCTCGAAGATGGCTGGTACCGAGCAGGGTGTGACCGAGCCTCAAGCCACTTTCTCCTCTTGCTTCGCCCAACCCTTCCTGGCCCTCCACCCAATGCGCTATGCCAAGATGTTGGCAGACAAGATCTCGCAACACAACACCAACGCTTGGCTCCTCAACACCGGCTGGACCGGTGCTGGCGCCACCACTGGCGGCAAGCGTTGCCCACTGAAGTACACTCGCGCCATCCTCGACGCCATCCACAACGGCGAACTCGCCAAGGCAGAATACGAGACCTACGAGACCTTCAACCTCCAAGTACCAAAGACATGCACTGGTGTCCCAGATGAGCTGTTGAACCCTGCCAAGGGTTGGACCGGCACAGCATCGCTCAAGGACGAAGTCACAAAACTTGCAGAACTGTTCCAGGAGAACTTCAAGAAATACTCTGATGAGGCTACTGAGGAGGTGCAAAAGGCCGGACCAACGATTTAGACGTGTTTCTGCTGTACAACTAGATTGCAGCGCTTTTTGACATGATGATGAGATAACTTTTGGCGCAGAGCACAGGGCGTTCACCAGGACTGACTACCAGCTGATTGTTTAGACGCTCGCCCAATTGAAAAATCAGAAACAATACCCATTCAGTTTCAGTGTTCATTCACGCCCTATCCTAGTCTACTGTCGCGTCAGTGTCTCATTGCCCTTGACATCTATCGTCTGTTCACTGATCGAAACTGCCGGCCGACGATTTGCCATTTTCCCTTGCTCAACACTCCCATCAGCTAACAGTCCTCTTCACCCCGCCGGAGTGCCCAAAGCTGATCCAGGCAACACTGTCTGCACAGGCTGTCGACTTGGAGTACTCGGAGCACTAGGATTCTCAGCAGCAGCAGGAGGTCGGAAATTATTCACCCTACCAGCCGCCATGATCTTATCCTTCCAAATCTCCAGAATTCCAGCGTCCGAAAATTCCAGATACTTCAACCATAATCTCAAAGCCGTTCGAGCATCTTCTATACTGTCGTGCACATCTTGTTGGATATCCTCTTGCAGAACAGCCCATGCGAGGAATCGAAGTGATAATTTGCGTTGGGTTCGACTTCCTAGCGAGAAAAGCTCTTGCGTATCGACGAGTTGTGCTTCGGGGACGTGGATGTTGATGATGCGTAGGTCGCTTGAGAGGCCATGACCGATGAATGAACAGCCGAGATTTACCAGTACCCATAATTTTTTGTAGACGTCTTTGAGAACAGAGAGTTTGTAACGACTCCTGCCAGGCGTCAGGTCTCCATCGTGGAGGCCAGAGAATTGTGTCAGGTAGTCATCAATCGGGTCCTCGATTGCAATGTAGTCGTCAATGAATGGTAGTTCTCGATCGTGTCCGTCTGCTCGAAGCACAGAGACTCGTGCCAGGCCTGAGCGTGCTGGACGTGTCATTGTACGTTTGCCAGTTGGACCAACGTCGATTTCCTCTCTGAGTAATCGCACGAATTCTGCATCGATGGCGACGTGAATTCCTGTCGTTGGCAATGCTTCATCGGCTGAGAGAGCTCGGAAGTGATACGATTCGCCAATACCTGGCTGAGCAGGGCTGCGGAACAGTATACTAGTGTCGATTGCAGTCTTCCACGTTTGGTCCACAACGTGAGACATGGTCTTGGCTTGATATGTGATGACTGATGGTAGCTTCCACTGCGGGTTGAAGTGCAAAGCATCTTCTTGAGAGACCGGATGCACCAGAAAGTCGTTGAAGAGATGCCAGTCGCGCTCTCGGGTCGTATCCGTGGAGGCGAGACCGACATCGATAGTCGCGACAAGGTGAGACTTTTCGTTCTCGCTCGGCAGCACGTCTGCCACAACGCCCACAAGTTCGTAGACCGTAATGTTATATTGAGCCCTTTGCAAGTGTAGCTGCAAATCCTCCCCCTCATAGCAGAAGAACCGGCCGTTGTTGACAATGACTCCAATTTCTCTCGGCAAGAAGTCTGGTGTCGCCCATAGTTGTCGAGATTCTCCAGTAGTGATCGCTGCATTCAGCGTAAGTACCGCGGGCAAGCAATGTACAGCTCGATGTGAGACCATATTCTTATACGAATTACATCGGAGACACCACCCTCGGTGTTGGCTGTGACGTTCGATCGAGGCCTTCAGTATCTGGGAGAAGTATTGTCGAGTCGACCTTGCCTTTGGTGGACGTGATGGATAGACGAGATCATGGGCGTACCAGACTTTGTCCACTCTGCTCTCATAGTGGCATTGGGCGCATTGAGTGCTCTCCAAACCGATAGTTCCGAAAGCTAGGTGGAATTGATCCAGTGATGGCGCGACCTGTTTGAAATTGTCCTCGAGCCGCAGGAACAGGAAACGAGTGAGGTTTTGCATCATCGTGGTGAGAGAGACGCTGGTCGCCTGGGTCTCGATGATGTTCTGTGCAAGTGCGTCTGGTTGCTTACTCAGAGCTCGTAGGAAATTAGTCGCCTGGCAGTTGGGCGCGGTGGCCTTCTCAAGCATATCGACCAAGAATCCCATCTCGCACATCAAACACGTTTCCAGTTTGCAATCGCGAGCTGTGTGATGCAGACTCACGTTGCGGGCTGTTACTGTGAATCGAAGAAGTTGCAACAGAGGATTAGCATAGGAGTTGGCAATATGAGTCTCCAATCCGGCGTAGGTCGTCTTGTTGAAATATCGGAAATCGAAATCCTCGACTCCGAACCTGCTGTATTTGATTTCGACATTGCGATACAGGAAACGAGCATCTTTCGATGCCTTCCCATCCACTTTCATTTTATCCAGCGCGTTCAGTAGATCCTCACTCATGCGCCGGTGAGTGTCTGGACCTGCATTCTCCTGCCTGGACTTTTCACTTAAGAATTTCGGTGCTGACAGCGGATCAGGCAGCATCTGCTGTGCAGGTTCCGTTGCTTGGTGACGCAGTCTAGTTCGAGGATTGTTTCCAACCTTTCCGAAATCACAATTTCGAAACGATGCATCGAGATTGTCGAGACGAGGTGTTTGAACCCCTACTTGATGAACCAGATTATTTGGCCAGCTAGAGAGCAATGGCTCACGGTAGTGAGGCATTCCAATCAGGTTGATAGGTCCAGTAGTCCAATCCACTTGCTTGTTGCCGATGACGGAGTCGGGAAAGTCAGTAACCTTTGCATACTCGGTGAATTGGAGTTTGGAAGGCGAGCCCCATAGAACCAAGTTATTGTTGCTATCAGCGAGAGCAAAGCCCTTACCAGAGGGCATGAGTTCCAGGCCAACGAAGTGACCGTCTTGCACACTAGCAAATTTCATACTGGGCATTTCGGGGTTCTGTATGTCAATGGAATGAAGTGCACCATTCTGGGAAAGCACGATGCATGTAGAGGATAGCTTGGGATGGAGCCGCACGTTTGCGGCACCCCCTTGAAATGGTAGCGGCCGAGCAGGCTTTCGAGTCTTGAGATCAAATACGCGAACTAAGCGTTCCAGCGCCAGTCCTTGATGTTGGGATTGTGCCCAACCGCAGGTTAGCAGATAGTCGCCTCTAGCATCCATGTCATTGACAGTCCCTGCGTATGCTTTCCAGCTGTGGATGACTGTAAGCGATTTCGGGTCAAGCAGATGAATAGTCCCGTCATGTGCTGCGGCGCAAATAGTCTGACTGGCAGTGCGCATCGACGTGAACGGGATCGAGGTTTTGGGAGCGATGGTCTCGGTCACAATGCCCTTGTCGATGTCGATTCGAAATAGCTGTGTTTGACAACCAGCCACAACCAAGTCTGTAGCATCGCGATTGGCGAAAGTCATACAACGTAGGTCAACCATTTCTGGCAGTGATATGTGCCATTGCGCGATTCCTCGCCGCGACGAGAGATGTACGCTCTTGCTCGAGACGGAAACCACACCTCGGCTGCAGAACAGTATCTGTTTGACTGGCGCGCTTGCCGGAGCTGTGCGTGACGCATTGCTGGAATGGGCGCGGTATGAAGTGTATCTTTGCAGATCAGGGCCGTAGAAAGAAGTTATTATGCCCTGTTTACGTGATCAGGACGAAGGAAAAGAGAAGAAGCGTGTGCCGCTTCAAGAGAAACCCCAACAGAACACATATTGACACAACAGGTTGTCGTGATCGCGGGCACTTACCGCGTCGTTGCCGACCCAGAACAGCTCCTCTGTCGGATCGAAGCAGAAGGCGGTTACACGTGAAGATCGAGCTGATGCCAACGCGCCGGGATACGACAGGCGGATGGTTTCGGTCCAGTCGGCCTCCATAGCTTTTGTCTGGTAGGTTTGCCTAACATGCCTGATGCTGGAAGCTGTAAGGTCTGTGATGATCTTCGATTCTAGCAAGTGGTTGTGGCATTGACGGTAAACAAGTGGTCGAGGACAAGAAGACGGAAGGGAAAGTGGAGCCGAGCGCCGAGCCACTGATGCCTTCCTCACTACTGTCGGAGCTGCGCTGTGCTTGCAGTTGACAACACAACACATGGAATCACAGCATAAAATTGAGCAGGCAGTCGTACTACAGACTCGAAATCGTATCTAAGCATCTGATCACTTGCGCCGCTGATGTTCATGCGTAGACGTCCGCCCCTCAATCATCTATCCTTTTTTGTTGCACACAAGTCAACAACTCCTCGGCTTTGCTCCAAAAGACGCTACACAATGGCTATGACAGGCCCTGATGCAGTCGTAGACTTCCAGAACTACCTCCAGAAATCTAACAGAGTAATGTGCTTGTTAGGTGCTGGTCTATCTGCCGCCTCTGGATTACGTGAGTTCCACATCGTACTGTCTTCACGCAATCAAGGCTCGAACAGAGGAGCTGATTTTGAGCTTTCTCTCACAGCGACGTTCCGTGGAGCAGGTGGTCTCTGGAGATCGCATGACGCGGTCTCTCTGGCTACGCCTGAAGCATTCGCTCTAGATCCTGCTCTGGTAAGTCCGTTCGTGCAAATGCTTATATTTGGTGACAACCTAATCGAGACTTCTTCGGCTCGCAACAGGTGTGGCGATTCTACTGTTGTACGTTTGGTCCCTCTGATCAAAATGCTGCTTCATCCGCTCAACAATCACAGACCGACGCAAAATGGCACTGAGCGTCCAGCCAAATGCAGCCCACTTTGCTCTAGCAGAACTGGCTCGCCGCATGCCAGGCTTCATCGCTCTCTCGCAAAACGTCGATCATTTGAGCCCAAGAGCAGGCCACCCTCGAGAGAATTTGCATCTCCTCCATGGGACATTGTTCGAGGTAAAGTGTAACGACTATAGATGTGGTTATGTTGCAGAAAACTTCGATGAGCCCATCTCTCCGGCGCTGTATATTCCCGATGGCCAAGATCCTACATCGACGGAGGCGCGAGCACGAGATATCAGTGATGCAGCAGTACCACTGCCCGAAATTGCTTTGGAAGATTTACCTCATTGCCCCAAGTGCAGAAAGCATCTGTTACGGCCCAACGTGGTGTGGTTCGGCGAGCCACTTCCAGGCCAGGTGTTGAATGCTATCGATCAATACCTTGAAGATGGGCAGAAAGTCGATTTGATCATGGTAATTGGCACCGCGGCAGTGGTATACCCTGCGGCCGGCTACATCCCACTCGCTCGAGAAAAGTAAGTGGAGGAAACTGGGGAGCACTTGTAGTCCAAAGTTCACGACCTCGTGCTGACTGGCATTCTCTTAGGGGTGCTCGAGTGTGCGTGGTCAACACAGACCCGAACGACTCGCCGCCAGACTGCTGGCAGGAGGGAGATTGGTTCTTCCAAGGTTCGTACTAAGCTGACAAGTTGCTTGCTTCGCTGACCACTGGGCTAGGTGATGCTGCACAATTTGTGCCGCTCCTGCTGAAGTCGGTGATCGGAACGCTGCCTCCAGCGACGCCAACATGATAACGGGGTTCGCGATTCCATATAAGCACGGAAGATAGCGTGATTCCACAATGAACATTTGATGTGGCGGAGATGTGTAAACATGACAGTAGATGAATAGGAAGTCTTAAGTGGAGTGATCTGAAACGTACTTATTCGGCGGAAGCACTTCCGCTCTCCAGTCCTGTTCTACGACAACCTTCACAACATGAAAAGCTTGCGGCGCATACCTCTACGCGCCCTAGCCCGTCCTGTGCCCTCATTTCGGAGCAGGCCTCTGAGCACGACAGCGGCACCATGGAATCTCATTTCAGCCGCCGATGTCCAGTTCGGCCAGCCGATTCACGAGACACACCCGCATCTCATCCGAGCGGGCGACCTCACACCTGGCATATCGGCTCTTGAGTACCACCACCGACGCGCAGCGCTGGCAAGCAAGTTACCGCAGAACAGCGTAGCTGTACTGGCTGCAGCTGATCTCAAATATCGTTCCGGAGCAGTTTTCTACAATTTCGATCAGGATCCCAACTTCTACTACCTCACCGGCTTCAATGAACCCGATGCCGTCGCGATCATCGAGAGAGGACAGTCTGATGTGGAATATACGTTTCATCTCTTCGTGAGACCGAAAGATGAGCGCGCCGAGATGTGGGATGGTGCCAGGTCTGGTGTGCAGGCAGCTCAAGATGTGTTCAATGCCGATGAAGCGGCCGATATCGAGAGCGTGGGCGCCGCTATATCACAACTCGTGGAGGGTAGTAAGACGGTGTATACGGACATAGGCTTCTCGAATCGCCAAAGCGCTTTGAGTCGTCTTATTTCTGGACAGCTGAAGGTGGAGGGCCTTGCTAAGCTATTGCAGCAAACGAGCGTGAAGCCGCTTCGGAATATCATGAATGAGCTCAGATTGACCAAGTCTGATGCTGAGCTTGATTGTATGCGCAAAGCGGGACATGTCTCGGGCGAAGTCATCAGTCAGGCAATAGCAAACACGCCTGGAAGCGAGAAGCAGCTGTGGGCTGACCTGAATTACGGCTTCCGCAGTTCTGGACTGGATGGAGAAGCTTACGTCCCAGTAATTGGAGGCGGCAAGAACGCTCTGAGTATCCACTACGTGCGCAACGACGCCCTTCTTTACGACGGCGATATCGTCTTGGTCGATGCTGGTGGTGAGTATGGCGGATACATTACGGATATCACACGCAGCTGGCCCATCAACGGGCGATTTACAGATGCACAACGCGACATGTACAGCATGATTCTGAACGTGCAAAAATCGTGTATCGCACTGTGTCACGAGGACGCACGAGTCTCACTGGACAAGCTGCACAGCGTTTGCGAGTACGGCTTGCGCGATGGACTGAAAAGTTTAGGCTTCGACCTGTCCGGGAAGGCTTTTAACAAGCTCTTTCCGCACCATGTAGGGCACTACATTGGCCTGGATGTGCATGATGCGCCAGGCTATCCACGCGATGATCGTCTCCGCGCGAAGCAGTGTATCACGATTGAGCCGGGTGTCTATGTGCCGGACACTGACGAATGGCCGTCTCACTTTCGGGGCATGGGCATTCGAATAGAAGACTCGGTGGTGGTGGGGCTGGACACACCAGAAGTCCTCACCAAAAGCGCGTATAAAGAGATTGACGAGATAGAAGGCAGCCGAGCATGATGTAACATTACTGTAGAATTCGGCGCAAACCTCGTGCCAGCCCACTTTCGTTGTTCTGCGACTAGTCTCGTGCTATGAGTGAAGTCGCAGTAGCTGCCAGCCCCCGTGCCTGCCACCTTCAAGCCAAGTGACATTGGTGAACGGCGGCTGTTGCAGCCTCGCCATTTACAAATATCTTCCATGGTCACCATGTCTTGACCACGCCAGCATTCCCGAGCAGAGCAAAGCAGCGCACGCGACAGATCACGACCGTTGCTATCGTGTCGTCAGCGCGTCCGTGTGAACGGCCGCCGTTGCTAAGTGGGTTCGGCTGTAAGTGCCTGAGGCCGCAACGTTTGTCAACAACCCCACTGACGCGAACCTCTAGACGGTAGCCAGCGTTCCGACAACTACGCACGCACTAACAACGCTCTCTGGAGACGCGGCGGCTTCGGGGACGCGCGCAGACATGGCAGGCAGGAGGGTGCCTCTGGCCAACGTGCCACACGCCGCCAACTCGCCTGCATTCGGTGGACTGGGTGGAAAACGAACGCGTTCAGAGCAGCGCGATGCCATTCTGGGCCAGCCGCCGAGCAAGAAACAGATTGTCGAGCAGGACGAGAACGTGGACCCGCGCAGGAGAGCTGGAGTGACAATCATCGCCGTGGATAAGCTCGAGGAGCCCTTTCTGAAGCGCCAGAGCCTCGCTCCCCAGACTGCCTTCGAGAAGAAGCTCGTAGCAGCGCGAGAGAAGAAGACGACACCGCAGCAGCAGCCACGACACGAGAGCCGTGTACAGAAACAGCACGCCGATAACATCGAGTCCATACGCCAGTGGCAGAAGCACTACCGTCGCCAATTCCCCAACTTCGTCTTCTACTTCGACAATGTCACCGAGGACATTCGGCACAAGGCGGTGCGTAAGATCACCAGCTTGGGTGCCCGTGAGGACAAGTTCTTTTCCAAGGCCGTCACGCACGTAGTCACAACACGTGCCATACCTTCAGAGACCGCCACGACAAGTCTCAATGAAGAGCCTAATGACGCCGCTCAGCTTCGCGGTGCACAGCATACACTGGCAGCAACCGATCAGCGACGCACGACCAGCGTACTTGTTGCCAGTCTCGTGCGTCGCACTCAACTTCCTCTTGCAGCTGCACAGCCAACTGTGGACACACGCCGGACGCAGCAGCACGGGACCGACATACTGTTCAAGGCTCGCGCCCTTGGCACCAAGATTTGGGCCCTCGAGAAGCTTCATCGCGTCCTCGACACCATCCTTGATGCTGACCCGGGGGATGCTGCTGAACAGCGTGGTACCGCCACGAGAATCACGGGCAGGCACGCTCGTGATGCCGACTTAGAACAGCTGCTGCGCCACGAGAAAGTGAAAGGCCCAGCCGATCGCGACATGACTGTCGCTGCTCAAGATACCATCACGTTACGCGGTTGCTACCTCTATGTCCATGACATGGATGAGAAGACCAAGCCAGTCATGGTGCGCGACTACTCCAAACCACAATCCAAGGAGCAAGGCAAGTGGCCACAGTTCCGACTCTCCGCTCCAGGCCGCTGTCCGTTCGTAGAGGACCTGGCACACGCGAGGAAGGTGGCACAGCAAGACCGAGATGCGCAGGAAGCACGGGATGACCTGCAGCGCAAGACACGAGCCAATGTGTCCCTGCCAGGGTTCCCTCAGCAGGGTGGTGGTCGTGAGACAGCACTTCGGCGCTCGCCTCGCAAGCTGGCGCAGAGTAACATGGGTGCAATGACCCAGCCATTGCCACCACCATATCAGGGAGCACCGAGACAACAGCCGCCTACAGATGGCTTCGCGCCCTTTTTCAACAGCACGCAGCTGAACGCGCGCGGCCTGCCCAGGATGGTCCGTGGGGAGCCCGTCGCATCTGGCGTACAGCCATCCAACGTCACATCTGCCATACGCTCGCAAGCCATCTCTTCAGCTGCAATCTCATCTACGACGGGCCTTCATCGCCGTGTTGGAGATAGCAGAGAGATGTCCATGCTCAAGCGCAAAGTCCTGGGCTCCAACAGTATCCCTACGTCTCACGCCAACGATGTGCGGGCCGCCATCAATGAGGATGCCGTGCGTCCACCGCGTGCTGCCAAGCGGAAAGCGCAAGAGACGCTCGGGGTAGTGTACGAGACTGAACACAATGGCGCCGAGGCTGGCGCTCACACTGCCAAGCGCAAGAAGGTCGTGGAAAAGGAGGCGAAGCCAGGATACTGCGAAAACTGCCGTGACAAGTTCGATGACTTTGACGACGTAAGTTTCATGTTTCCACATCATTGCCGCCTGACGCTAACAAGTTCTTCAGCATATCGCATCTCGAAAACACCGAAAGTTCGCCCTGACTGCAGAGAACTGGCAGGAACTTGATGAGCTCCTTGCGCTCCTTAAGCGTCCACATAAGAAGCGTTGAACAGTCTTGCACACGCGAGAGAGTCTCGAGGTAATGGGCCGGCAGTCACGAGAGGCACAGCATGCACAGTTTCGGTATCTTGAGGGTCAGCATTGATGCATTTTTGAGGGAGTCGCGTTGAGCGCATCCGTGAAGACCAGTAGTACGGCTTTTGTTTCAGAGAACGCATAGCGAGGGCGCGGCATCGACCAGGTCGGATGAGGCTCACGAGCTTGGCATGAAGAGCATGTATGTTGCAAAGTAATATCAATGTAGTAGCTTCAAACTTGACTCGTTTGAGACCTGAGATGTACATCCATAGGATGTGCGCATGCTGTGAGCTCGCAACTGCAATTTGCACATGACAACAACACCTCAGGCTCCTGCCGTGCCAAGCGGAAGATAGGTGGTCAACTATTTATCGTCTTCCTCCAACATTACAGTGCACTTGTCTTTCTGTTTCTGCAGCTGACCACCATGTCCGGCGTAATGGACGACGAGGCGCACGAAAGCGATGGGGCAGATCTCCAAATGACAATGGCCGCTTCGGTAGTGCTGGAGCATCTGCCACGAGACGCCGCAAGAGCACTCGATACTGCAGGCGAGCTTGAACAACCTAAAGGTGCCGTCTGACCTGTTGCAGTAACTTGCTCTGCATGGAATTGACGAAAATTGCAGTCACAATTCGATTATCACCTCTACCGAACACGCCACAACTACGGCAACCTCGCTTCAGATGCAGCAGCAATCAGCGCTTTGAGCATATTGTGAGGTTTCTGCGGCGGAAATTGGGGTTGAAAGATCATGAGTCTGTGTTCTGTTATGTCAACTCTGTCTTTGCGCCTGGGCTGGATGAGGGAGTGGGGAATTTGTGGCGGGTGAGTTGCTCATAACAAGTCTTCCACGCTTGTGCTGACTTGATCAGTGCTTCAAAACGGGCGATGAACTGGTCGTCTCATACAGCATTACACAGGCTTTCGGATGAGGTGAGGTGACGCGAGCGAAACTACTGAGGTGCATTGACTATTCTACGAAATTCTTCTACCTCTTTCTCTGCAATTGGGTATGTATGTTCTTTCGCTGGATACGCCCTCTCCTTTACCTCTTTCCCATACTCGCGAACAGCTCGACTAGCTTCGCCCCAAACATCCCCGTACTTCTTCACGAATTTGGGCAGGAATCTGCCTTCGGGGAAGTAGCCTGCCATGTCGACTTGGACCAGTACTTGACCTGAGCAGGCATTTCCTGCACCGATACCGATTGTCGGGACGGAAAGCTTTTCGGTCACGATGCCTGCGATTTCTGCTGGTACTGCTTCGATTACCATGCCGAAAGCACCGGCTTGTTGAACGGCTTTTGCGTCTTCGAGGAGTTTCAGTGCGCCGGCTACTGATTTTCCTTGTACGCGAAAGCCGCCGAGGGCGTTTTGTCGCTGGGGTGTTAGGCCGATGTGTCCCAGGACTGGAATTCCTGCCGAAGTGATTTTGCTGATTTGTGGTGCCATGTCCAAACCTCCTTCTAGCTTCACAGCATGTACATTCCCCTCTTTCACAAGTCGAATTGCGGATTGTAGTGCTTGCTCAGGCGAAACCTCGTACGATCCCATAGGCAAATCGCCAATGCGAAAGAGGGCTGTGGCTCCTCGGGCTACACTGCGACAGTGTAGGATCATTTCGTCTAGTATTACGCTGCTTGTATCCTCTAGACCCAATGCCACCATGGCGAGACTGTCACCCACTAGCACAACGTCCATGCCTGCGTGCTCGGCGACATGTGCGCTGGGGAAGTCGTGGGCAGTGATCATGGCGATGGGTTCTTTCTTCCGGTACATGCTCTGCAATGTTTGAAGTGTGACTTTTTTGCGCCCGGATGCTGTCCCAGCTGCTGAGTGTGACGACCATCTTGATTGTATGGCGGCTATCAAAGCAGCATGCGCGTGTTGTGGTGGTGAGAAGCGTGATGTTCTGGCTGCGGTAGTGAACGCGTGTATGTGAGGACGGAAGGCACGCGACATGTTCGTGGTTTCTTCAAGGCGGATCTGCTTGAGATGATGTTTGGACTAGTAAAAAGTTATGGTCGAAGCGGAACAAAGACGTTTGCTGCATTGTAAGGGGAATCGGCTACCAGACGGCTTTCCACTGTGCAGCGTGCTGCATCGTAGTTGTGAGAATATCTACACTCTGTCCTCGGTTCGTTAGGCCGAGACCGTCGGCTGCCGAGAGGTCGTGAGATATGATGACATGGGTTTGACCGTGACCAACAACCACACACTGTCTCAGGCGCATTTCTGCATTCGTCAAGTGGAGGCCCGCTAACAACTCGACCGCAAGTATTGTACACTCTATGACCTCGGGTATATATGTGCATCGACGCTGACGACTATTCGCCTCGTCACGCTCTCCATCTCATCCTCACCTCCCCACTCCCAGGGCCATTCGACGGCCTGCCCTGTTTCCGGATACCACTACATATGCATGCTTGCGAATGAGAACAAGCACAACGATGCGAAGTCATGCATACCAGACGGATTTCGCCTGATAGAAAGCGCAACTGGACAGGACATCCTGCAAGAACCCATGCTTTTCAACCATGGCTGATGATGACTCTCGCCCCTTCTTTCCCCAAAACTCCTCTCTCCTTTTCTTTCGCTTTCGGGCTTCGATCTCTTCCCTTTTTGCGGCTGAGAAAGCCCAGCATGCCCGAAGGTCGTTCTGCTCTTCGCGCTTCGTCAGCCACCATCGCTTGACTTTGATTCGCCATGTCGGTCCAGCTCCCCTGCTCGTTAAGCACAACTTGCACGCCTCCACCTTGTGATGTGCTCCTCGTCGACCCTCGCTGTCGATGTTGCTGGTAGCCTCTATTGGTCGGTGGTGGAGGTGCTGCATTCGCTGGGTTCTCGAATCTCATGGGGCGTGATCTCCCCGTCTCTCGAGGATCAGGGTTCGCGTATGGAGAGGGTTCTGATGTCGGCGGTATTGGGTATTCAGATGGGTGGCTGACAGCCACGCCTATCTCCAGTGCTGCGGCAGGCAGAGGAGGTGAGCCGTCGGGAGAATGTGTTGAGGAGCGCGTCCTTGACACGCTTCCCGGTGTATTCGAGCGTGGTGTCGGGACCGATCTTGTCTTCTCAAGCCCCTGCTGTCGCGCATAGTTGGGGTCCAGGTCTCTGTCTCGTGCAGACCTCGTCGATGATTTAGTCGTGTTTGGAGACCCAGTCACTGATGCTACCGGACTTCGGTCCTGGGGCACTGCAGTGTAGTTGAAAGGTTCAAACATAGTTTCGATCATTCGGTGCAGCTCATCCGCGCGGATCTCTTGCTGCGTTGCATCCTCTCGCAACTCTGCCCGAGGCTTTTGTTTGCGTGCGCGAGCCTCCAGTGGTGCTTCCTCAAGGAGAAGCTCCTCGAGATCATAAGTGGCGTCAAAATTGGTCTTTTCGCTCGACGGGCAGAAGATGGGCTCGTACTCCTTGTGTTCCAAGGCAACAAAATCAATCTCTCTGAAGAATGGGTTATCCGTGAATGTCTCCCACCCGGCAGCACCAATCCGCAGATGCTTGTTCTTCTCCAGTAGTGAACTGATAGCATGCAGACATGGCATGGAAACGGGTGGCGATGTCACTGGAAATGGAGGATCGGCTCTGACGATCGCTTGTGCTAGTGCATCGTGATGGTTCGCCTCAAACGGGCGCCGATTGTAAATGCATTCGTAGAAGAGCACGCCCAAAGACCACCAATCGACTTCGGAATAGTACCCTTTCCCAGAGTAAACCTCTGGTGCCAAGTATGCCAACGTTCCTGATTTGCTCGTGAGCGGTTTTCCGGGAGTGATGTCGGAAGCAACATTGAAGTCGGCCAAGTGCACATGACCTTCCGAATCTAGGAGCACATTATCGGGCTTGACGTCTCGATGCACAATGCCTTGCTTGTGTATGTATCTGAGGGCGCAGCCGAGCTCAGCAATCCAGAAACGTACAGCCTCTTCCGTGAAAGTCTTTCGTGAAATGTGAAATCGCAAATCGCCTCCATTCATGAGATCAACGACAATGTACCTGCGCAGACGTCAGTCGAGGGCCGAAGCAGCAAACTTATAAGGCGCGGGGCGATGTACAGGTACTCCATGTCCTGAAAACTGTAGCGCAGGTTGCACAGGAACGGGTGGTTCAGGTGCTCCAGCATACGCCGCTCTCGAATGATATTCCGCACACTCTCCGACCTAACCACCTCATCTTTCCTGATATACTTGAGCGCGAACGTCAAGCCTGTGTCTTTTCGCTCCACTATGCGGACCTTGCCAAATGCGCCCTTGCCCACCACGCGCAGCAGACGGAAGTGATTGAGGTTGACCTCGTCGGTGAGGACTACGGGCTTGCCATTGGAGTTGCCCATCTGTACTGGACCGCCAACCGATCCAGCGTGGGCGGCGGGAGCTGAAGGAAAACGGTGTTGCGGACGTTGGACAAGTAGCCAGCGGGAGTGCTACGACGTCCGCAGCGTCATCGCTCGCGGAGGACGTGAAGCGGCCTGCCTGGGTGGTGCAGTGGGGGGATGGAGCTCGAATCGCCGCCAGCCCTGGGCGCCACGGCGCGAAAGAAGGACAGCGGGGGGAGGTGGTACGAGGCGGTGTATGGCGGCGGCGGCGGCAGCAGTAGCAATAGTAACAGTCGAGGCAGTGGCAGCGGCAGGTGGACGTTGTGTTCCAGGCTATCGGAGCGTGCAAACGAAAGAGTTAACCCGATCAAGCTCGCCGAGACAGCGATCAGAGCTCTGCGCACAAGCACATTTGGACGGGTGCAGGGCGCGCGCAGTGTTCAGGTCGGGGGTGGTTAGATGAGCACGATGCTATTCGCGGCGGAGGGCAGGCGAGGGGCGGGCAAAGCAAGTGTCGGGGGGCCTGCGTGACCAGCAGCAGCGCTGCCAGAGCCCGCTACTATGTAATGTCCAGTGCAGTGTGATTACCACGAGGTTGCCCGCCGTGCGCCGTGTGGATGATGGGCTAGCTGCCGGGCTAGCGACGATGATCTGACCCAGCATGGACAACGGTTACCGACGCGCCTAGGGAGCGTGACTCGGACTGCTAGGGAGCGTGATTGAGCGTTAGTTACGTAATCTACGAGGACATAGAGTGCTAGCACTCTAACGTCAAACGACACTATACCTTTCTTACACGCTCTGGAGCTTATGCTCGTCGTTACCGGAAAGAAGTCTTGCTTAGGGACCTATACGCGCTCGGGTGTCGTACGTCGTTATTCTACTCGCAAGGTCGTACCTCCGAATGCTTGCTTCGCTCCTAGTACTAGTACTAGGACACGAAAGCAATAGGACAGCCGGCAGCACCTCTAGAACGACGAACCTTACGATACGCTAGGATAAGAGCTTCGAGTTCTAGGTATATAGTCCTATCGAACGCACCGAATAGGAAATTATAGCCTTGTCGTCGCGTTGTGCGTCAAGATGTCGCCTCTTGTCTTGGAAATCATCTAGGCTGTTACGTTATGTTGTGTATCGTCACGTTCCCTAGTAATCCGAGTCACGCTCCCTAGGCGGTTCGAACGGTTACGATGCCTCGCGCCACGCCCTCGTGCTGTTGCTGCCGCCGCTGCTCCTCCGCCGCCGCCGCCATGTTGGTGTTCGTCGGCGGCAGCTCCTGCATGCCCGGCGTTCCAGAGCCACCACCGCACAGCAAGCCATCAGCATGCCATGTGCTGCCATCGCCAATATCTGCCTCGTCGCGGGGGGCCTGGGCGCTGGACACATCTTCACATGTGAACCACGGCCAGCCACTCCAGCACGCCTGCTCGGAGTATTCATCTACCTCTGGCCATCACTCCTCCTCCTGTCACATCCAACAACAGCCTCCTCAGCCCGCGACACTATCCATTACCAACCATCGCGCAGACAATTAGCAAACCGTCTCCCCATTCGGCCTGCACGCTCCTCCTTCGGCGTGCTTTTCGCACGTGGCAATCCCATCAGCCTGCAAGCCACAATTGTCCACGGCGGCCGCCTTGCCTGCGTGTCCAGCGAATGAGAAGAAGCTACCAATTTCAGCTTGCTTCGACCACTTTGTTCCAGAAGCCCCTCCCAATTGGCTCGCATCGCACCACATGCAAGCCACAGTCGATCCTCTTCATTCGTGACTCCACGGCCGAGCAACGTGTTCGCCGCGTGATACGGCGGTGAGCACAGAGTCATATCTCGGTTATCGTTTGAACAAAAAAGAGTACATCGAAGAGCACGTCCAGGCTTGGCTACGGACAGGGCTCCTGCTGGAGAATTGTGCCCTGGTACCCGGTCGACAACATGTCTGTCCATGGCTGACGAGCAAGGTTATCCATGCTAACGACGACAGCTCCCTTACGCTCTGGGACTGTCCCTTGGCCACTTTCGTTTCTTCGTACGTCTACTCTCAGCGCCCACATGTTCTTGGCATGCAACACGATGGGTGTATGCACATGGCGAGCCTTTCGAAACACCGTGTCGAGACGAAACAAGATCCTACCATTTTTTCAATAGCAGCTGTTCTCTGTAACACTGATCCATACACAAACGCATCGCGTTCCACTGTCTCGGATTGTATCTGCAGAGGACATCCGTGTCACCCGCACAAGATTGAAATTACATTGCATAAACCCATTCTGATCCCAAACGCCGCCGCCACCCAGACCTTTGCACTGTAAATCCAACACCGTAGCTACCGAACCGATCAATCATCTGCATGCTGTTGGCTATCCTCACACTTCCATGGTCCCCGCTGGCTCATCGTCTTCGTCATCATCGAAACTACCGACGCTACTCATTTCGTCACTATCGTCAGAGTCGTTTCCAGCCTCGTCAACGCTTTCTTTCGTTGCGTATTTCGTGACATATTCTGCGGGGGAATTAGCGAGGGCTGAGATCAAGGATTATACCCCTACCTTTGACCTTGGCATCATAGCCTTTGCTGTCTCTCATCAAAAGAGCGGCTGCTTCGCCGTTCAGAGGATCCGTAGGATTAGGGTACCGCAAGAGCTGCGGCAGAAAGACTTCGAAGATGTTGACCATGTCGTACATCGGTGACCAGGTTTGGTTGATGACGTCGAGACAAACGCTGCCTGACCTTTTGGTAGTCAGCATATTGCAACCGGAGTAGCTTGAGGCCGCAGCGCTCACAATTCATCAATATTCGGGTGGAATATCCGATTGACAAAGCCGATGCTTGGTGATTTGTAGGGGTACTGATCCGGAAGTTCTACGTGAATCTTCCAATGACCACCCACAAACGGTGCTACATATCAAAGTCAGCATTCGTCCCTTTGTAGCTGTGAGAAAGGGATGTCTACGTACTCTCCTCTGGCCCCTTGAAGCGGACATAGAATTCCTGCCTAGAAACCGATTAGTTTGTACACTTTCGTGGCATTTTCATAGCAGCATGAGGTCAACGGACACTGTCGAGACAGGTCAGTCAGCATGCTGCGTCAGTAGGGGTAGCATGGGGACCGAGAGTGCTTCGGACTCACTATTGTCATTAACAAGTGTCACTTCGTAGTCGCTCATCATCATCTTCATGACCTGTTCTCCGTCAACCCGTATGTCCTCTCTCTGTCGGCAAAGACTCCACTAACGTCCGTCTCTATCCTGCGCTTTGGACTACTCATCTTGCCGCCTGCCTTCGGCCCACCCTTATCTGTTTCGTAATGTGAGGCTCAATCGAGCGGCCGGAAGTCGTGAAAGTCGGGCGTTTGAGGCGTTCACTGGTGTGCAGTGGGGGTGGTGAATGTGGTATTCTGCGGTACACGAGTGCAGTCCGGGACGAAGAGGTGACGGTCGATACTGGTCACGTCAAACAAGCGCGCGATCGGTCACTTGACCAGTTCGGCTTGTGTCTTGTCGTGGTACGGATCGGGAAATGAGACGATGTGGTCGTAGTTCGTGATGGAGGTGTTACGATGCGTTCCAAGATCCTCTGGCACGATCACTGTTTGCCAAACGGGTAGTTAGGAGTAAGTTGGTAGGTACGAATGAGATGGTAGGAGGTTGTGGCAGTGGTCATGAGCTTCCTACGTTCGGGCCGTTGTCGCAGCTTCACAAAGCCGACTTCCACTTCCACATGCTACACTAACCAGTCGAACCTTCCGCGTGCTCCAATGGCCGGTTCGCAACCGCGCTGGTGATTCCCAGACCACGAGACTTAAATCTAAGCGTTACCGTGACTTCCTACTCCCACTCACAAACGAGATGAGCATGCGACATCTCCGAAGGACAATGCCTTGACCAGGCGGCAGCACTTCAGAGCAGTGTAGAGTGGATACAAGTTTAATGGACCATTTCATCGTCCTGCACTTGCATCTTCTGAGTCTGAATGTCCCAGAGAGAGAGAGATCTGGTCATGAGTGACCGAGGGTTGGTTATCACGCTGCACGAACTACATGTATCTGGCCCGTGCATCGATTCGAATATGATAGAGAGGGGACATTTGCGCAATGCACAGCATGTGGCCTAGTTCGCAGCAGCAAAGCGTTCCAGGTGAGGAGAGACATCTAACTCATTGTACTTTTCGAAGGCTCACAGTACGCGTTACCGTTCATAATGGCACATTCCATAGCTTTGGCTACCTTGGGCCGATCTGGACTTTGAAGCGCGGTCTCGCAAAGGTGAGTGAGCTTGATGCAGGATGCCTTGCATCCACTCGTGAACTGTATCCACACGCGGTCAGACTCCGGCGTCCAAATGAAGCATGAGCCTGCCAGTTTATTCGAGCAGCCTCGAAGCTTGCCCCGTGTGCGTAGTGCATCATCTGCGTTGCACCCTCGCTGCTATAGTACATTCATTGTATCCTCGTCAAGTCATGATTCTATGCCGTTGGCTCAGCATCTTCGCTGCTTTTCCCAAGCCCATGCTCTTTCAGTAGTGAGTCGATCTCCTCGGCGGACCACAGCTTGTGGTAGATGGTGCCCTTCTCCGTACGTCCCACTGTCGCGAATTCGATCTTCTCGCTGGACAACTTCGTGCTGTCCATGGTCTTGGATAGGACCTTGACGGCCAACTCGCAGGCTTGCTTGAGAGTGCACTCCTCGTTGTAGTCTTGCTTGAGTAACGACTGCGCACTGGCACTGTTCGACCCTACACTCGTCGCCTTCCATCCTGTGTAGTTGCCGCTGGGGTTGGACTGGTACAGCTGGAATTGCCGCTGGTTGTCCCAGCCAGCGTAGATGAACGACACGCCAAAAGGCCGAAGGCCACCATGTTGCGTGTAACCTTGCTTCAGATCGCATAGTCGGCGTACGAGTTGCTCGCAAGGGATGTCGGCGTTGTAGGTCAGGAGGTAGCGTTGGGCGGCTTGACGCGCGTAGTTGATGAGGATGTTGGCATCGGCAGTCATGCCTGCCACAGCGGTAATCATGTTGTCGTTCAAGATGTACAGCTTCTCGGCGCTAGTGTCTTGCTCCAGCAGCTTGCTGGTGACCTTGCGTTCCGCGGCGAGCACAATTCCATCGGTGGCGAGGATTCCTAGGGCGGTACCGGCGTGCGAGATGGCCTCGAGTGCATATTCGACCTGGTAGAGACGACCCTCAGGCGAGAAGATCGTAGTTCGACTGTTGCCGTCAATCAGCAAGAGCTAACAGAGGGATCAAGCAAACTTACCTATCGTAACGCCTAGACATTGTCGGTCACTCTGATGGATGTGATGCCTGGAGTGTGGTGTGTGGAGTTGAATGGTGGGTTGTGTTGGAAAGTGGTGTTTGTGGAGAGCTGTTGCTGATAGACCGCGTTCGCAGGCGGAGCTTGGACGATGCGCGTCACGGCTGCTGCCTTTCTTCAATAATTCCACAACACCACACCACTTCCACCACGACCAATGGCCGACATCCGCTCGCAGTCGCCCAACAAGCGGCAGAAGACTTTTGCGACACAAGATGACTTCGTATCGCTCCAAGACGAGCACGACTCCGCCGCCAATGCCACATACGCGCAAAATCCGCCTCCGTCGGCACCGCGATCCGCACATCATCGACATCATGGCGACCGTCCCAAATCCAAACATGCCCTGCCAGATTGTGAACCATGGCTGCTAGTCAAGACAAAACTGAGACGTCGTTTCGTGCATAACCCCATCACAGGCGAGAGTCTATGGCGCATACCGCAGTCTGTCTTGCCTGCTGTGCTGGCCCTGGAGCAGTATGAACGGGACCAAAAAGAGAAGGCCGAGAACGCCGCTTGGGCTGAGCAGCAGCTCCAGCAAATGCGACCGCAGCAGGGCCTAAATGAAGCTTCCAACGCGCCGGGATCCGGTACTGCCTCGGAGCGACGACGAAGGAGCATCAGTCTGCAGAGAGAAGATGAGGCCGCTCTTATGGCCGAGCTGAATGCACAAGCAGAGGAGGACGCAGCAAAAGCCTCTGCTACTGCTACGAGTTTGCCCACTCGCACCACCACGTATGGTTACGACAGCGACGGTTCGTATGAAGAGGTTGAGGTCACAGATTCAGAAGAGGACGAGGACGATCCGGCGATCGAAGGCACGACACAAGATGCTGGTGCATCACGAGAACAGCCAGATGGCAGTGCTACCCCACCGGATGCGCCTGTTGAGTTCGGAGAAGATGATATTGCCTATCAACTGGCTGCAATGGGCGAGGACTACGAACTGGACGCAGGTGAATATGGCGATGAGCCAGAAGCGGGCTGGGAGGATGGTGCTGAGGGTTTGGGCCTCACCGAGGAAGACGCCACGAATCTGTTTCGTGACCTGCTCGACGATTACCGCATCAGTCCATTCATTCCATGGGACAAAGTTATCACCGATGAGTCAGAGAACAGTATCCTGAATGACGATCGATATACTGTGTTGCCGAATATGAAAGCGCGACGCGAGGTCTTCGATACCTGGGCCAGAGACAAAGCCGCACAGCTGAAAGCTGAGCGAGCGACTATGCATAAACTCAACCCGAAAGTCCCATACTTGGTGTTTCTGCAAGAAAACGCGAGCCCCAAGCTTTACTGGCCGGAGTTCAAGCGGAAGTACAAACGCGAGGCGGTGATGAATGACCGCAAGCTGAGCGACAAGGATCGTGAAAAGCTCTATCGGGACCATATATCCAGGCTGAAATTGCCCGAGTCAACACGCCAGGCAGATCTTAAACTGCTCTTACAAAGTGTCCCTCTGAGCTCGCTCAACTCTCAGACTACTCTCGATTCTTTGCCGGAACAGGTTCTCTCCCATGTCCACTACATCAGCCTTCCGCCGAAAGTCCGCGATGCCGTGATAGCAGAACATATCAAGAATCTGCCCCTGGGACCAGAAGATGGCGAAGCCACAGCGCAAGATGCCACGGCTAGCGGGAGGAAATCTGATGATCGAAAGAGACGAGAGCAAGCCCTTGCTGATCGTGAAGCCAAGGTAAGAGAGGAGCGGAAGCGCCAGGCAATGGTAGAAGAGAGAGCAAAACGGGATTTGCGTGAAGGAGAACGCGAACTGGAGCGCGCCATGGCTCGTGGTAGTCGTGCTGTCCACTCGTGAGCATTCAGCCTGATAGCACAGATCAGGACAATCGAAGGCTCCTCCGAGCCACTGCACTGACGCTTGAAGCACAGTATGCCACAGATCCAGCAATACCAGAAGAGCGGCTATACGGGCCTGCTAAGCCGTCGTAGCCGTGGCGGTTCTTCGGACTGCCTGCTTTTGGAAGACTCAATGCCTGGCAGAGGTCACCTTGATGCGAGGACACCAATGACAATTCAAGCCCACAGGAACGGCAGCTGGCCAATCGCAATGGTATACTTAGCTACCTTCACGAGCCGTCACCGCTAGACGTAATTGCTGCGAGCTGTGCGAGCCGCCTGCAAGGGCAGCGTCGATCTAGTCGACGGAGCGGCCTGCAGTGAGTATCTTTACCTGGGACCACGTCATGCAGCCTTGTGTATCTGCATTACAGCGTGGACCTTGCCGACTTGGTAATATCACGAAGCGTCGAGTGACCATCGAAGCACCGATCGGCTTCGCTGCAGGAACGAATGTGAAGGGTGAAGTATCGATTACATCTTGATGGCATTCCGATCTATTCTTGATCACGGGAAGGGGACTGGTGCTCAACGACTGTCAGCTTGACAAGTTTGTGACACTTGAAAGGGTAGAGATATGTCGTCATCATCGCCATCGATCATCGCCCAAAGCAAGAGATGCGGCGTGGTAGCGCCCATAAAATGTGAAGTGAACCCCTGTACTCTTCCTCATTGAGCCTCCTTGACGGGCGTGTCTGTAGCCTCATAATCACACTATAGTCGTTCAAGAAGGCGGTCACATATTTGGAAACGAACTAGAGCCTGATCGCGTAAGGACTAGAGTGTGCGTGACCGCCGTTTGGAGGATGCTGGTACCACCTGGCTGGTAACGATCCTTCTCCATAGGCATATGTAAGGTTCAGGTACTGCAGAGCCACGCGGAACGTGGCACGCTCCCACATGCCGCCAATACGATGGGACTAAAAGTGGGGGCTATCCTGCTGTGGGCAGATGAGATGGCTCATAGATTTCTCAAAAAGGAAGTCGTAGATGCGTGCTGGGGACGGCAAGCTGCCGGAAATAGTGGTTCACTGCGTAGCACATGCAGCGTGCTGTCCCATATCTCTGGCCACGCTTGGATGCACGCTCCCAACGCAGCGCGGCCTTGCAGGCAGCTCACGGCCACGGAGAGTACGCGGTTCGTATGATGATGCAGCACAGGAGGCGAGCTCGCGCAACCTCGAGAAATGAGGATCGGTACTGCAGTGCTCTCGCAGGATCTCAGGCGGCCGAAGCGGAGTGGTCGCCACCAGGACCATCGGTGCATTGGGCCATTCGACTGCCTCGCCCGTGCAGCAGTTTGCTTCGACCCACGCAGCAGCCACGAGCTCGCCACGTGATACAGCGACGCAGTACCGCAGCACAGCGAGGCACGGCCCCGAGGCAAGGGGTCCTGGGGCGTGACATGGAGATGAGCGTCCCCGGAAAGGCGGTGACAGCAGCGTGGCAGTCAGGACACAGCTGCGCGAACACCAGATCGGGGTGTCGTTGCAGCAATTGGTGGTGTTGATGGACTGAAGACGAGATGTTGCGATGCTAGCGCCGGCAGAAAACGACGCGGCCGCGGCAGGGACAGCTCTGCGATCCTTCCCGCAGCAACGTGAGGGGACGGAGACAGCATGGGCCCGACGACAGCTGCGCACCCGGGAGCAGTTCGTGGTGGCAGGCGAGGCTCGCACTGGCAGAATAGAATAATAGAACCGCCGTCGAACACGAAGCGCTGAGGCAGGCGGCCGAGTCCCTGTGGTAGCGAGCGTGGCACAGAATGCACCGGGACTTGCACCACAGCAGCAGGCCAGGCGATCCCACACCCACTCTCTTGGTCCCGCTCGCTCGTTGGGACCGCTCGTCGCACCGCCCGTCCACCCACGACACGCGAGGACTGCAGACGTGACGCGACGCTGTCGGGGCGGCAACGAGGGGGCGACCGACACGGCTCGAGAGGATTCGAATCGATCTGACGACCGGCGACGCGCGCGCGCGCACGCTCACTCTCACTCGCAGCGCTGCAGGCCGCGCCCCAGGCACAGGAACGCGCTCCGTCGCACAACGCTGGGCGAGAGTGGGC